AAACTCCTGTTTTTGCCACAGTGTCAACAGGTAGAGATGAAATGCAACAGACTTTTTTCTGCAGACTGATTTGATTCGACGTGTCTGATCAGGCTGTGATTAACCCTTTTTAGTATTTCCTGTCCTTAATACTTTTCAGTTTAAACTTTCTTCAGATACAAAAAAAATCTATTTTTATGACTTCTGTCTGTTCTGTTCTTTATGTATTGTTATTTTATGTAAAGTCATCCACATACTTAGCTTGAACTGGCCACATGACTATGACCTCTTTAACTTGCCTTGTGTTATGCGATACCTCTGAACTTCAGGCAACAAAATGTACTTGGAACAATGCTGTGCATCTTTCTGACATTTACACCAGGCGTATCTCCTTTCAGCCTTTCAGAACTATTGTTACAGAGTGATTTCGAACTGTTCCCCCATGATGATCCGAGTACCACAACAATAATGTCATAATCGAAGTACTTGAAGTTATGAAAGCACTTCTTAATTTTTTGTGCAACAGCTTCCAAACTCGCCCTGACAATCTCGTCATACTTCCACAGTGGAGTCAAGTGGACTCTCTGCAGTTTCACCCCCTTGGATTCAGTCACTCATTCCTCTCCTTGTAAGGTGACAAGTGCGCCAGCTAGTCTGCCAGTATCCCGAGTACGATCGTGGACAAACACTGCAGCTTCCTGTGAACCAACATGGAGGCTTAGATTTATCAGGGAGCAAACAACACCCACTGTCCCGTTGGCCCAGGGTACCACCTCGATATCAGATATTTTTTGCGAGGGGGACCGACTGGGTGGCGGGTGGAAAGTCACATTGTCACAGTGCTGACATCATCCCCCGTGAATTTCAATCCCCCAGAAGCCCTGCTCCACTGGCCGAGAGACGCGAATAGAAACGCTGTGAACACGTAGTGAAAACGGAAATAGAGACTGAGAGGACAAGGGAGGACAAGGGCCAAGGGACCAAGGGAGTCGTAAAGAGACTATCTGTGCAATAAAATCATAGAGAGAAACATAAACAGTAGAAAAGTTTTTAAACTAAACAAAAGTTTTCATATAAACAGTGCAAAGGCAGTCATCTAAAAGCTCTGCGTTTGATCCATGTGACTATGGACATGTAGGCATGTAGGCGTCTGGTTTCTATAACCCTATTAATAGTTTATGTAATAGGAACAATGTAAAGTGACATCATAGAACTACTAGTCTTGACTTCCACATGCTTAAATAGCCTCCTCAGGTACAAAAGCTCACCCTGCTGACTTTTTGACAGTCTTTTTCTGTGGCAATTTAATGTAGAATATGTAGAAACAGGGACTTTTCCTCAGTAGCTGAAAGAAAGAAATCAAGATAACATACTATAATATGCAAATAATAATGACTTGAGGCTGAGGGGGCTTTCACACCAACGTTGTTTGGTCCGGACTTTCAGGTGTGAAAACACCCTAATTTATTCTCTCCTCAGGCATGAAAATAGATACTTACATTGGAAAGGTCCTGACAGGATTGATTTGCAATGTATGCATGAAAGAAAACTCACACTTCCAGAGCAATTCAGCTTTTTACTACACTGCTTGGGTTTTACCTTGTGTTGCAGACTCAAGAAATCAAAGGTTAGGGTCAAACACGCCAACATTTCTGGAATTGATTGGATAGACACACATTTTGTACCTGTGCTGAAAACCTGAAGAAAGGACCTTACACCCGAGTTGATGGCATTCCAGTTAACAAGTCGGAAAACCAAGATGGACGCCTACTGTTAGCCGTTGTTTACAGTTTTCCGCTGTCATTAGCCGTTGTCAGAAATCCGACTTCCAATATCTTTTACATTCTATTCTGTTCAGTTCAAGGGAAGGAATAACCCCTGAATTCGGAATACCCTACCACTGAGGGACATGCTTAAATTCCAGTGAAAGTTCTTCTGGAGCACTTGCCAACTTTGTTTGGGTGTTTTTCTACCTCTGCATTCATCTGCACCAGTCTGCACCCCCCCAATCAGACAAAATCCAGCACAGCCCTTCATTATAACAGCATTCCTGTCCACTTGCCATTGACTGGGTCACAAACTGAGAGGCTGCAGGTATGTTTATTGCTTTAATTCCCCCCCAACCCCCATCTTTAACAAAATATGACCAAGGCTCTTTAAGGTTTTCTAAGGTTTATGAGATGAGATCATAGACTGTGTAAAAAGTGACTCCCCAGAGGTGAAAGCGAGACATTTAGAGCTCCCCCTAGTGGCAGTCCACACTGTAGGTCTTAAATAAAAGCTGGAGCACCATTTTCAAGCATGTTCTTATCCATAAGTCCAATCAGACGGGGGGCTGACATCAAATCCCCGGCTCCATCAGCCAGATCAGTTCAGGGCATATTTGACTCCAGCACAGTGTGTCAGCACCCGTCTCGGCGGTGTTTTGACTCCTTTTACAAAGAGGAGGGATGACGACACATTTATTTTGGCTCACAATGAATCTGAAAAGGAGGTTTATGACTTCATGAGTACACGAGTTTATGATCTATAAAATCTGCTTATGTAGTCACACCCTCTCATGACATCTAAATCCAGGTTAATTTGACTGCAGATTTCTTTCACAGAAAAGCTTCCAGATCCAAATCAGAGATGTAAAAATTCAGTAAATAAAGAATGAGAAGGAGGTCAGGCCAGTCCTCTGTGTGAATGTTTACTGATCCCCACTGTTTACCACTCCCTGTTTCTTGTACCCTCCCGCTTCCTCAGCCCTCCAGACATTCCCACACCCAGGATTCGTTGGTTTTTAGTTGATGTTGGCGTGCCTCTGTGGAGCCGAGACCCGGACTGATTGAGGCCGTCTGAGGTCACTCATGTTGGACTCCTCAGTCTGGTCCCCCCCTGAGACAAAGTGAGTCGCTTATCTCACGCTTCAAGAATTGTTTTGACCTCATCAAGAGATATCCACGTTTATTGTTCTCTGTGATTACATTTATCCTGACGTGCTCTGGGGGAAGAGACTCGAACATTACTCTACATTTTATGCAAATCAGCTGATGAAACTGATGGCAGTAAAAAGACAATATGAGGGCAAAGAGCAGACTGGCTCCTAGAGCTACAAAAGCAGTGGAACCAATTTGATTATCTCGAGGGGGAAGGTTTTGCTGTCCTTTTTAGTGTTTTTTTTTTATGTGGTTCACTGGAATAAACATCAGAGAACCTTAATTTGCCCGTTAATGCCGATATTGTTGAGAAAATGTTCCCCAATTTTCCCCTTTTTCCAAGATATTTTCATTTCAAAGTCATTCCCATTTTCCTTTTTTATGCATCAATTTTATATAAAGTGCCTCAAAAGTCAGCTTTTACTTTTTTATTCTTTTGAAATCCATGAGGGGACTGTTTTTAAAACTCATGTACTTGGATTACAAATCAATGGATATGGATTCGTAACTCATGGAAACAGATTTGTACCCCATGTGTGCATAATTGCAAACCATACTCGCTTATCCAATTCATGCACACGTTCTGCAAATCTGGTTTTCAACAAAGAATCAATTAATTTGCTGTATTTCTGTTTAATGTAATTGAAGTCAATACTTTAATAAAGAACATTTAGAGTAATGGCTCTAACATTATCAATGACAAACAGGTGAAAAATGAGTCTAAGGAGAAAGAAGAAAAGCTGTTTAAAAGTTAATAAATTTCAGGCTTGCTGACGGACTTGTAAATAAACTGCTGAGTGTTCCTGACTGTCTTCTTTGTGGCCTGGCTTGGGTCGTTCATAATGTGGTCCACGTAATTATTGGGTGGTGGACACTGCCGAGTTATTACTGACTTACATACTTACGTGTGTCTGAGTTTGTGCCACTGGTGACAGCATGACTGCTGCTTTGAAATGAGGCTGCGGTTTGTTGGCGTATTGACGGTAATTCAGCCGAGGAGCAGATCTGAACAAAAAAAAATCACTGCTCTGTGAAAACACCGCTTTAATTTACTGTGTTTGTCATCTTGTACAGATTGTTCTGTACTGGCCTCCTGCCTGTTGTCGCTGGAAAAGTCCAGAGTCCACTTCTGCTTCATTTCATCTTGTTTTTTTTTTCAAGCAGAGAGAGGAGGCACAATTTCGGGAAAGGGGAGCATCACCGCAAACAACTGCACAAGGCAAATTTCATGCCCCGGTGATGTCTTTTTGACCTGTTTTTTTTATTTAGAGAGACCTCATTCTGTCTTTCAAGTCTCCCTCTGAGCGACTTACGTCATTGTTTATCCACCGCGGCATTAAAATCACTTTCTTTGACTCTCTGGATTCTTTCAGAGGGGCTACGATTTGCATGAGAAGTAGCCAAGAATGGGCCCCTTTCCTGTTTGCCCCCTTTTGTCTCGCCGTTCTTTTATTTCAAATACTTCTCACTTCTGCTCCTTCCTCGCTTTGTGCTGCATGTTATATAAGAGAGCTGCAAAACACCGGCCAATCAGCTAGTTAATAGAGTCGCGGCTTCATTTACACTCACAATAAGGGTTTTGTAAAATGTTTAAAAAATGGAACGAATGCATTAATGAGACCCGAGGTGCTTCAGCTCTGAGTCACAGCTTTGTGTTATTTGGCCTCCCTTAAAACACTGTGTCTATATTTACCTGGCTGCCGCTCTGCCACAGGCTTTCATCTTCAAAGTTAGGTAACAATTACCAAGAAGAAGCTCCACGGCAACAAAAGATTATGAGCTTAACCTGGACCCATGCTAACAGGCGCTGCCGGTCCAGATTGTGCAGTGTTTGTGCAGCTGCAGTGTTCGAGTGCTCCACAGGGGGCGTTCTGACCTCTGACATCCTCTCCTCTGCGCATTAATCCTGTTAGATCTGGCTGTCTGGCTGCTCGGGAACAGCACGAGATGAATCAGTGACTGTGATTCTGATAAAAGTGGATAATCAGAGTTTTTGAGAGTCACAGTCCAGACACGTGTTTCTATGAATGTAAGTGTTTTTGATGAGCCGAGAGGAGGAATTACACACAAAAGCAATCAAAACAACAAAAGAAACAAATGCAAAGTGTTTCATGTCACTTTTTATTCATAAAAAATCAACTTATTATGATTATCAGCGGTCCTTCGATCGATATTTCCCACGTAGATTAAAAATTAACCAAAAAAGAGTCAGGGCGCACACAGAATAACCATCAGCTATAGAATACAGTTCACACAATAATGAAGTTGGACTTATAAATTTAAAAAAACAAGACATAACTTTGCAGAGATGTATCCCTCAATATGGCTTTCAGGACGCAGGTGAAGTTTCGAAGGTGACTTAGAGCCGGACGTTCTTCTGACTTTTCACAATCCGCTGTCATCCTGCAACAGGAGAGAAGAAGTCACATGTTTATTTTGTGTTTGGGGCAGGAAGCGAGCTCACAGATGACTTACAGAGCTGTGAATGAATGTGAGCGTCATGTTAATGTGTGGACATAATAAACACGAGGATCTTTCTGCGTTTTCGGAGAAATGTGACAAATAGGGTGTGAGGAAGTTTTCATATTACAAAAATACACAAAACAGTCAGGGTAACTGTTTCTATACGTTGTTAAAGTAATATGAATTATGTTTGAGTCGGCGGAAAAATGCATCTCCAGGAGTCATCATTGTACGTTCAACCAGGTGCTAAACCTGGGTTTAATTTTCAAGCTGTGGAGATATTTTTGTCTGAAGACACACGTCCAGAATCATCCAGTTTACTTATTTCCAGTCGACTTGGTGCACATGTATGGAGGGAAACCAGTTCTCACACTAAGTCACGTTTTTATGTCCCTGTTCTGAAGAAATAAATCAATGAATAAAAGAAAAAATCATTTCCATCTCACATAAAAAGTTGTAAGTATGCAAGTATTTCTCCAGGCGATATAGTACGACGTAGAATTAAGTCAAAATGTTACAAGAATGGAGTCGTTAAGTTACGAGAATCAATTCAAATGAAATGAAAGTTGTCATATCACAAAAAAGAAATCGTAATATCATGAAAACAGATATACTTTAGTTGTAATATTACGATAGATAAAGTTACAACGTTTCAGAGTGTGTTTCGAGAATAAGTCAAAATGTAACACAAATGGGGTTTTTATATTACGAGAATCAAAGTTAATCAAAATGAAAGTGGTCATATCGCAAAAATAAATTGTATTTTCGTTACCGTTAAGTCGTAAAATGACGATTAATAAAGTTACAATGTTTCAAGAGTGTGTTTGTGTTAAACTTCGAGCTGAATACAGTCGAAATCGTAATACTACCAAAACAGTTCTGATTAATATTACGATAAAAAAGTTACAATGTTTCAAGAATGTGGTCGCGTTAAACCTCCAGCTGAATAATTCAAAATGTAAAGTCATAATTTTGGTGTATTGGCTTCATTCTATCAATCTTAATTCATTTTAAATTCTTTAATATCACTCTAATACTCAAAACTAAACGAGTAGCTACTTAGCTTATAGTAAAGACAGGATAGATAGTTACTGTTTAAAGAGATTTTAAAAAACAGAGCTTTAAACCTGCAAAATTGTGATTGTATTTCCTGTGCTAAAGCTATGCTAGCAGGTGGTTAGCTTTCTGCGCTGACTGCCGTAACAGATTTAAAAAATTAAAATGAATCTAATTTAAAGAAAACCTCAACATTTTCTCTGTAGACCTGTGCTAATTTAAAGTTGCAGCCAGCATTGAGTAATAACTTCAAATTTGTTGGTCTAAAGGTCATAAAAGTGAAGACAGAGGACCTCTGAAGCAAACTGTGCCATCTTTTTTTTATTGGATCAGCACATCTGATCATTAAAGGAACAAAAACTGCTCCTTTAAATTAGGGCACAGAGTCAATTTTTTGCTTTGCTGGCAATCTCAGCCGATCTTCCCTCTTTTTCCTGCACTCATATTATGAACGTCGGGTCAAAAACAGCCACATGTTTTCCTTTTCCTGTTTTCCATCAGTGGCTGGCCTGATAAAAAACCAGAAAGGCAAAACCTCACTTAGAGCATGTGATTTTTTTTTTTTTGTTGGCCTACTTAGAGGAACAAAAACCAGAGAGGGTCCAGTGCTGCTTTACATCAATATTGTTCAGTTTGATTAAATAAACTCAAAGTTTTAACCTCTCCTCTTCATACCAAGTATAGCTTCCTTGACCTTTCTTGACCCTGAACTACCAATGTTCAAATCTTGTTTCTTCTTGTACCTTTAACAGATTTCAGAGTGCTTTCACTTACATCTTTGCTGTCGCGGCAGTCCCCGCAGATGCATCCCAAGCAGCCATTGAACACCTGGATGCCGCAGAGCACCAGCTGCAGCGCCCCCATCGACAGCAGAATGGAGAACAGAACCACGTGCCACATCACGGCGTTCTCGGGGAACTTGCACTCCGTCCACATTGTCTGGTTTACAAGGTAACTGCCATTACCCCTGCAAAGGAGAGCAGCGACAGAGCATGAGCAATGACCAGTACAAGGACGCATTAAAGGGATATTCCGGCGTAAAATTAAGGTAGGGTCAAACACACCGTAACACAGAGTTAGACACGCTGTTGAAAGATGAATGTTGCAGACCGCTTGCTTCTCTAGTTATACCAACTTTAGTAACAACCGCAGGATAGCAATACAGAGAGCCACATGCTCAACCAAAACAACACAAATAATGCTCAGAACAGCATCTAACTTCATCAACAGTACATATAGGGTACTTATAGCCATAGCACTAGCCACCAAACATCTTTTTAACTTTGCCTGATTTCTTTAGCAAAGAGGCTAAACACAACTCACCTACTCTCCTCCAGCGGCCGCTGAGGAGCCATAAACAAACCTCAACCAAAACGCCACTCTATAGCCACAAATAATACTCAGAACAGCGCCGAACAGCGAGACCTCAGGCCAATCCATTACAGACAACAGCGGGGTGTCGCAGCTCAAGGAAGAACATTTATGATCATTTCTTCATGGAAATGCAATCAGACCGAGATGCTAAGGCAGAAGAACTACTGCATCTGCAGTGAAAAATTATTAGTATTGTGATTATTACTTAAAGGAAATGATAAAGTAATGATCAGAAATGTTCTTCCTTGAGCTGCGACACCCCGCTGCAGTCGATCAGACTTGCCTGGATGTCTCCATACAAACATGCGCGTGCTGGAAGAGAGTAGGTGAGTTGTGTTAAGTCTCTTTGTTAAAGAAATCAGGCAAAGTTAAAAAGATGTTTGGTGGCTAGTGCTATGGCTGTGACCCTATATGTACTGTTGATGAGGTTAGGTGCTGTTCTGAGCAATATTTGTGGCTATAGAGTGGCGTTTTGGTTCTGTGGTCGTTACTTAAGTTGGTATAACTAGAGAAGCAAGCGGTCGGCAACTTTCATCTCTTGACGGGGTGTCTAACTCGGTGTTACGGTGTGATTGACCTTAACTTAATTTTAAGCTGGAATATCCCTTTAATAAGAAAAAGTGAAGCTGGCCAAGTTTAGGGGATGAAGGGAGAAAAGGAGAGGTGACGAAGTTACGGAAAAATTTTTCAGTAAGGAGAGGGTGAGTGGAACAAGTGAGGGATCCAGCATGGAAAAACAGAGTAAGAAAGAACCAAGACAAGAAAAGCTTACAGACATATTGAGTTTTGCTTGAGAAATGTTCATTAAAACGACATAGAAATGTTTGAAAATCTATCACTAACAGCAGCAGGGATTTGCTTTGTTAGGAGATAATAATCTGGCCTGTTGATGAGAGATTAACACTTTGAGAATCAGAAACAGAAAAAGAGGAAATTAGAATTTTAAAGAGGAAGGTCAGTCTCAGGTCAAACATTATCATCCCACCATTGTTTCCACTCCTGTTCCTCTTGTGACCTTTAATCAGGAACAGCGGCGCATAATAACAGCGTGCTATTCTTCATTAACAATCGTCCCAATCAGCTGATGGGCCTCCATCAGGTGACTGAGTTTTCCTGCCTAAGCTCGGTGCTAATCCTGCTCTCTTTTGAACATTATCACTTTGGCTGGGCCTCGTGTTGTTTTTTTTTTTTTTTTTTAAGGGGGTGGCAGCGAGAAGACAAAGTATAATAGAGCAATTGTTACTCAACCGCAAAATCCAACAACGCTAATCTGTAGCTTAGCAAGACCTATGATCAAGCTAAAAAAAGAAATTCCCAAACATCTCTTGAGATTTTCTCTCAGCTGAAGCAGCAGACTGACACAAAAATGGATCACAGTGACAGTCTGCCACCTGCTGGATTAAGAAAGCAGTGCAGTTTCTGTTTTTGTGATCAAGAAGTGAAACTCCCCTGCTTCTTTAAAAGAAAATGAGTCAGTAAATTTAGCAAATGGAGACAACAGTGAAGAGTAGATATCTAAAAATGAGGAAGGGCTGCACCGGGGAGAGAAAAATCACAGTCAGATGAGAGTGAGTAAAAGTCAACAAACACTCACAAGCTTTCAAAGGGGTACTTCCAATCACCACTGTCCACCTCACACTTGGGTCCAATGGCCAGACCAGCTGAGGCCACACTAGTGCAGTAGATCGATCCGACCAGGCCGAAAGCAGAGCAGAACACGGAGTTCAGCATCTAAAGGATGAAGCACAAACTTTATCTCAGTCGAGTCATAAAACAATCACTGGTGTCTAAGTTTACACAAGAGTATCAGAGATCATGGTCTGATAAAATGAATAAGAGCAACACTTTTTTAAAGCTTTCAACTGTATTTCATGGTCTTTTCAGGAAGAGGGGGTTTTCTTAGCTCAAATAGAGGTACATCAGATTTACCCAGAGCCCATTTAGACACCAGACTTTGTCAAACCTATGCCCATGACTCAAGGAAACTACTATTGGACTTGGTAACAACAGTGTGCAAGGACTGTTCTGAATCAATACAGCTGCGGTCTGTATTGCGCACCATGCCAAATTCCCTTTCTTACTGATTTCCTCTTTTTTACCAACTTTTCTCTAATTTCCAAAAGTTAAATAATGGTGGATAGTGAATCTTGGACAGTGCTTTGGATGGAGTTTATTAACTGGGCTAAACTGGGTGGAAGAGTCAACTCCATCTGCATCTCCTAATCTGGTCTCGCAGCTGCCCTCTGAACTAAGGGGCCAACCTAGGCTATGTTCACACTGCAGGTCAGTTCCGATTTTTTTACCATATGTGACACATATCAGATTTTTTCATGTAAGTGTGAACAGTGCAATTCTGATTCTTTCAAATCTGACCCAGGCCTCTTTTGTTTGTGGATATAAATCGGATATGTATCCGGTGTGACGCTCAGGTGCGTTCATCCGACCTATACGTCATCAATATGCGACAAACGTCACCATTGTTCAACAACTCAAACAGGAAGTAAAGCAATTTGTGCGCATGCGGGTCACTTCACGGATGATTCCATTCACATTAGATGCCGCATTCATTGCTGTAATGTGAAAGACCTCACAAAAAGATCGGATTCAACGAAAAATCCGAATTGTGCATCATAACCTGCAGGGTGAACGTAGCCTTAGTCCTACAAGTGCAGACTTTAAAGGTCCGGCACTAACTTTCAGATTCACTTTTTAACCTTGTATGAATGTGATTAAAAACTGTTACAAAAGGGTTAAATTTCAAACTATGCATAAACCAGAAGAACTAAATTCGACTTCCAGATAGCAAAAAAGAAGTAAAAATGTTGATACTTCTGTTTAACGTATGCTAACGTAGTCCATATGGTGTATTACTGATAAAAATACTTCTGTTTGTTCATTGGTTTTTGCACATAAGGTCACCCTCGCTTGTGCCTTTTACCACTGATCACTATCAGTCCAGTCCTTTCGCCAACTTCACTCACCCGGCAACGGTTTCCGCAGCAGCCTGCACCACAGCAACCCTTGCCCCCAGCCCTGATAGCCGAGCAGCTCGGACACAGCATCTGAAAAATACCAAAATTTTCATTTTGGATTTTTAAAAGCATTACATAAATACCTAAAGCATTATCTAACATGCAAACTACAGGAGGTTTCTTCAGGCATTTATGATAGAGGCTTTATTGGATTTATGGATGTTTCTGTGCATCTGCTCTGTTATCTCTTTAACCAAATATTTGTGGATCCTGAGTTGAGTTTCACTCTCTTCTCACCCCAGCAGACAATGACATCAGACGCTCTCGTAGTTTGAAGCACGAATGAAAAGGCACCCAAACTTCCTGGTGATTGGTCTTTACTGTAATATTACAGCAATAAAGACGTAAGACTCAAAGGTCTCCGTGATCCGTTAATGAAATAAATTTTTAACTTATTATTTATTGACCCTGTTAACCTTTAGATATTAAGATAACGCTTCTAGAAACTCGTGTTATCATATCAGTTGAACGGCAAGTCCTCGATGAGAAATAATAATAGATAAAACAGAGCAGAGTCTCGATGGCGTCTGTGTCTCAAAAAAAACTTCCTCTGTTGATCGTTTGTGGTGTTTGAGGTCATTTTTGGTTCTGTTTTTCAAGGCCAAACAAAAGCAAACTTAATAAATTTGGAAGTGATTGAACTAAGAAAGTTTGGATATCTGCGTTCATATTGTTTCGCTGATTCTCCACTTTTTTTCCAACCAGGCGACCCCGCTTCAGCTGAAATGTTCCTCCTTTATATTTTAGAGGTAACCTTGTCACCATGTAAAGACAATTCAGATAATTTTCAGAGATATGAAGTGAAAAAGAAATACCTTTTTTAGAAAGTGTTTTACAAATGGACAAAATGATTCAAACACAGTGTAAATGAATAAGAATTGAAACCTGTACATTTTAATCTTGTGTTTATATATTACGTCTCTCTTTAATATCATTGAAAAGTACAGGTGGAGATACATTTCTGCACATTTTAGGAAGTTAAATCAAGAACCGTCTCTATGGTTGATATGTTTTATGTAATATTTTCATTTTTTATTGCAACATCAGTTAAAGATTACCAAAGTGGAGTGTAATATTTATTACTTCCTGTTAAAACTCACGAGATTCAAAGCATAAAGTTGCATCAAGTGGGTGTATTAAAGCAAAAGTGTTGTAAAACTTTGAATGAGTTATTCACTTCTGTGATAATCTCATGTTTCGTTTTCAAGACAGTTTGATCCAAAGAAAAGTTTTGAATGAAGGTGACGACTTAATAGTGCTGTGAAATTAATAGTTTATGAATTGTTAATACAATATAAGACTTAAAGTAAGAATGAAATAAAATGATAATTTCTGTCATCTTTATGCCAAAAAAAGTCCTGAAAAGAGTCCCAGCCCAAATATATCACAGGATTTAACAAAAGTCCAACAAACACAGAGTGCAGATAATGACTTAAATAAAATACTTAAATCATACTCACGAAAAGGCCTCCTCCGATGATCCCCCCCATGAGCCAGACCTGCATAGAGATCTGACCATTTTCCAGCTTTTCCCCATTAGGGAAGAAAAGCAGCAGGTTGGAGATCATGCAAACGAATGCAGACGGCAGCAGGATCAAGCCCACCAGGCGGGCGCACTTCCCCGTACAACACATGTTTAGTTTTTTACTTTTTCTACTTTTTTTTTTCTCCTGCTTCTGCTCCTTTTCTGTTTCTGATATCACTCTGAAGGTGTGTAAGTCAAAAGACAGCAGGTGAAACAAAGAGAAGGAAGCGAATGACACAACACACCTCTCGCCCACTGTGAAAGTCAAATACAAGCAGGGATGGTTAAAAAAAAAAAGAGAGAGAAAGAGAGAGAGAGAGAGAGAGAGAGAGAGAGAGAGAGAGGGGCAAAGGCTAAGTAGCGGTGTGTCGTCTGTGTTATCTGATGTGAGAGCTGTTAATCTAATAAAGGCTCTCAGATAAAAATAATAGTCCTCATCAGCACCAACGCAGACTCAGTCACATGTTAAAATACCGTTAACCTTATAAAAAAACAACAATTAAAATGAGAGGGGATGGGCACGTGTGTGGGGACTCGATCACGCAGTTTAACGCCCTTTGGTTCCTATTGATTAGTGGTATTTATGGGTCTGTAAACACAAGAGAAGGCTCGGCTTCATGACACTAAATATGCTGAATAGATACTGAATATTTACAAGGTATGGGGTGTGAATTTGTGCCCTAGTTTATGTTGCCTCTTGGGGACTATGACTCTGTGACGAGACAATCTAACTGGGACCAGTATCATTCTTGAGGTCCCAGTTGGAAATTTGGGTTTCAAGAACTATTTTGGTTAATAGACCAACTTAATTAAACCAAACTTAAACCTTTTAAGGACCTTTATCAGAACTCGTAGACTATATGTTAACTTCAGTTAGCCTGAGGTCTCAGTAAAGATTTGAGGTAACATTTTAGAAAATACTGGGCTTAACTTAATGTAAATGTACTTCTTGAATCTCATCTGTCTATCTTTTTTTTTTTGACAAATAAAAAAAATTCAGAACAATGCTTTTACCTTCACTTTCAGTTTGTTGTTTATGACGTGCCGACTCACAAGACAACTGGCACTACCTGTTTTGTTTTCACGCTACTTTCGAAAACCACTTGTAGAAATCTCCTGTTGTTCTTGAAAGCGGCTCAGGCTCTTGATTTGTCACAAGTCGAATTGTTGAAGACGGGGGAGCTTCAGCTGCAATGGCAGGTGAGTGCTTCTTTTTACTGAGTTGAATAAAACTTTTGTAATCTGTTTAGTCATCCCTGCCTGTACTTTTTCCTTTAAGACATGTTATCAGTCAGTAGCAGAGCTTTTTGTTTTATTAAGCAAGACAGTTGTTTTCTTTACGCAGTCTTGAGATTTTACAGCTGCTCTAACCATGTCCATGAGTAATTTGAAATTATATAAAAAATTTTTTGCCATTTAGCCCCATCTACAGGCCGGCCAGTATCAATAACAGTTGCTGCCGTTTGGAGACTTGAGGTGAAACCCCCACCCAGACCTCCAAAGCTGACAGGTGGGTAAAGACCAAGTTGATCATTTTATTTTCTTCTATTATTTAAATTCAGTCCTCAAATAAGATATTGAAATTTTCAGTGTACAAATACATGTTTGTACGCTACAAAACCAGTCAAGACCTTCATCTTGTTTTGATTTAGTTTAGAGTCACATATTTCAAGGAGCTTTCTGTTTGTGTGGACGTTGATTACCTCTGTTCAGGCTATGTCAACAAAAAACAAATGTTACGTGAATAGATTTTTTTTTATGGTAAAGAAAATAAAATAAAAAATCTTCATATCTACATGAAAAAAAACCCACCAAAATGTGATTTTCTTTTTATCTTGCATCACATTGACTTTAAAATTTGCTTAAATTTGACACTTTTAGTTGCAGCTACAATCGGGTGGAGCGTCCTAACTCTGGCACAAGTCATCTTAGGTCAGTATAAGCTTCTCCTCTAACACTTTATTCTACTCTGTCTATAATTTTCTTTATGTGTGCTGTTTTGTTTTGCCAACACACCTGTATATCCACAGGTGTTGTGTACTTTAAGGAGTGCCCTCAGCAGCCAGTTATTCCTCAGTACCTCTTAGCACTGGCTTTGACTCAACTTCTGATGATTCCGTTTGTAACTCTGTCGTGTGAGAGTGATGAAGCTCATCCTCAGCAGCATCCCAAAGGCGTCAAAGCCTGTTTGCAGACACTCAACATCTTCTTTCGCATCGCATGGGTCCTGGCGGGTAAGTATGAAAATATCACAAATGCTACTTTTAACGACTACGATGACTCATTAAAAACATTAACTACATATTTTTTTGTAATTTCAGGTGATGTGTGGATCCTCTCAGTCTATCAGCCCAACTATGATCCTGCAGCCGGTGATGGTCTTTACTGTAATAAGAACCTTTACACATTTGCTTTCTGGTACGCAATGTGGGAGACGTTTTTATTCTGGCTCTTCCTCACCAAACTTTGCAGAGGCTTCCTTTGCGGTGTGATGATGAGTCCTCCACCAACAAACAATGACTTTTACAGGAATGTGTAAAGCCTGCAGGTACAACTCTGTCTTTGTTTTAACTACAAAAAAAACTCATATTATCAAAGGTTTTGTCTGCTCACCAATCTGAAGTCAATGAAAATTTTTACATGGCATTAAAGCTCCTCTGAGCAACTTTCAGTTTGTGTCAATTTTGGCGCCCCCTGTGGACAAAGTACTCTTCGTTTATCTTGTCCTCTACATGCTAAAGTAGAGCACACTGACCAAAAATCTCATTTTGCTGAGTTTTGACTATCAAATGCAACCATTAAAAAAGTTATCTCAGAAGCTTCTGGGTTGACATCTATCGCCCTCGCAAAAGTTTCAGGCATAAAATTACAAAGTAAAATTTTTTATGTTGTTGCTGATGGTCTTGTTTGCTTCTTAATGTACCATAATAAGCTTTCAATATGAATTAAAGTGTATTTTATCAATATCAAAAACTCCTCACAGAAGCTTTAATATTCCTCCTACCTTTTTGATTAATAAAACATTTTTTAAACAAACAAAATTTTCTTTAATTCTCAAAAAACAAACAAACAAACTTATATATGTTCGGATTTTATGTGGAAATTGTCAAAACAAGGCTGACACCTACCCCATCGTATCAGTAACAGGCAAGAAAATGGCAGATGCAGATGTAGATGAAGTTTTTTTGACATTCATTTTAACTTTTTTTTTGTTTTTGCCTTTTTTTTCTTCAAATTGTGATCATTGTTGAGCATTTTCTGTCTTATGAAGGAGTGTGGATCCTTTAGCTCTTCATCAATTTTTTTTTTTTTGTTTTTTTTTGTTTTTGCTAAATCTGAGTTTTGGTGTGATAATAAAAGTGTGTATTGTTGCTACAGTTGAGTTTTGTGGGCCCTTGAAACAAAGTAAGAAAGTTTCAGAGTCGTGATGCACTGATATCAAAATCACTTTGGCTGTAAATCCGTTTGTGCCAAATCGGTTTAATTTTATTATCATGAAAACAGACAAAATAAAATGTGAAATGGTCACCACACACTGACGGACTGATGACGCTGCATTCAACCGACCAATCAGGTGAAGGTTAACGTTGTGCTTGTAGGTCGAATCAATATCCAAAATCATTTACCTGCCGGTCATTCTCGCGGCGTCTGTCACGTGATGGTCCGGCTGTGATCCGTGACAGAGTCCAAACCTGTCCACTCAAAAACTGCAGACACTCTCCCTCTACAATGACAGGTGAGTTTTTCATTTAAACCTTTTACATTTTTATTTTTGTAAAGGATTTTATCAGCATTTGTCACCGGAAATAAGAGCTTCAATCTTTGGTCAAATGTCGCCGTGTTTTTGTCACGTGAAGATAAGGTTAAAGAGCTCGTATCAAAGTGCCTGAAGGCCCGGGACATGGCATACTGTCCATACAGCGGGTTCCCTGTTGGTGCCGCTATACTGACAGCAGAGGGCGCCATAATCACAGGTAATATACCTACAGGTGACCTTTACTTCTCTGTATGTGCTTTTACAAAAAACTGCCTGAAAATGAAGCAATTAATAAACAAGAAGACAAAAGAGAACGGCTCAGAGTTGCCTTTAATTATTTCTTTTTTCAGGTTGTAATGTGGAGAACGCCTCCTACGGTCTGACAGTGTGTGCTGAGCGCAACGCCATCCAGAGGGCCGTGGCGGAAGGATACAGACAGTTCACTGCCATTGCTGTAACATGGTGGGACTTTCAGTACTATATTACAGCATTAAAAGTGTCAATAAGCACATATTCTTTCATGTTTATCCATCTTTTCTTATTGTAGTGATGTCAAGGACAGTTTCGTCGGGCCGTGTGGAGCGTGTCGACAGGTTCTTGTAGAGGTGAGACATCTCTATAGTAATTGAGTTAGTTTGGTCTGTTTATTACGGTGGCCGAGAACTGCCACTGCCGCAAATAAATCACAACGGAAGTTACTGATGCAAAAGAAAAAGAAAAAACGAAGCCTGCTGCAAACAAAAAAAGAAACGGTGCAGATTAAAAAAAGCCAAAACGGAAGTTAACAATGCAAAAAATAAAATTTGCAACGGGCTTTGGTTTCTTTTTTTGCATCAGTAACTTATGTTGTGGCTTCTTTTTTATTTGCAGCAGTGGCGGTTCTCGGCCACCGTAGTTTATTTCTTAAAAAACTTATAAAATAATCTTAAAGTACAGTAGTGAGTCTTTTTGTTTGTTTTTAGAAAGGTAAACTTTATTTCATGTGACTCAAGAGAAACACTGACTCTACCTTATCAGACCTACTTTTTGTATTGCATTAGTCAGTGGGTGTGTGTAAATGAGGACACACTGTATCTTACAGCGATGTTAAACATTAATACTAATAACAAGGACTGTAAAATTCCTGCAGCGCTCTCATAAAGTAGAGCAGCAGTGGATTAGATAGTCAGTCTAAGATTTGTTGCTAAAAAGCCATCGTGACATTTTCTGACAGTTTTTTTCAGACTAAAATAAAGCTAAAGAAACAAAATAAAAAATACTCTTCGATACAATTTACATTGGTGTATCTCTCTTTCAACATCATACAGTTTTCTTCATCTCTCTTCCCCTCAGTTTGGAGCAGACTGGATTGTATACTTAACCAAACCGGATGGATCTTACAAAGAAACCAGCCTCAATGAACTGTTGCCTCATGCTTTTACTCCAAAACACCTCGAGAAGAAGTGATGAGCCAACACAGCATCATAACACATCACCTTATAATTATATCGTTACTGTTGCAAAAAAATAGGTAAATAATAAAACAAATATCCCCCCTGAATGTGCCTATTATTATTATTATTATTATTATTATTATTTTAGCATTTTATCATTATTGTTTTATTCTTTGTTATTATTATCATTATTATTTTAAAATTATTATTTTATTCTCATTTTTGTTATTATTATTAAATTTTTAAATGTTTTTAATCGTTATTATTTTTAAACTAATATTTGATTCAGAGTGAACGAGAGCGCTCAGGGTGACGTCTCTACAACAGCTTGGTCACGTGATTTAAAGTGGGCGGGTCAGGAAGCCATTTCCGGAAACATGGAGGCTGTTGTGAGTGATGTGGTAGCTCCCGAGGATCTTCTAGTAAGTATACGAATTATATAACCGCTTTGTTTCACTAATAGTGTACTTAAAATTCTCTGTAGACATTTTGTTTGACTATTTTTACCGTTTCAGCTTCGTTATGTACTGAAATTACGGTAAAATGAGCTGTGTTTGATGAGATAGTCGCGTGACCCTGCTGGTTAACTCTGATGTTTATGATTAAAATCGGGTCAGGTTGTTATTCTGATGATATTTTATAGATTTATATGAATCGTAGATACACTGATTCTAGAATAAACTTTTCTTCTGCCATAATCAAGTCGTAACAGGTGTCGATGAACGGTTATTTCGCTTCTATTTACTCAGGAGATATGACACAAACCTGCTCAAACTGACGCAGTAAAATCTGATGTAACGTTATGTAAAGTTTCGCGTTTATTTGTCACTGCTTTCTTCTTTTAAAAGTTAAAAACAAACTGTTATCACGCTTATACTGTTGTCATCATATGTATAATGTTTTAATGTGTTTTTGATTTGACAGAAATTTGAGAAGAAATACAACAACGAGCTGGTGAAAGGAGCAGTCTCCAAAGAAACAAAGTTTGAGTATGCTTGGTGTCTAATCAGGAGCAAATACTCAGAGGATATCAAGAAGGGAATCGTGCTCCTAGAAGGTCAGATAGATTCAACTTTAATGTCATATTGATATGACAGTACAAAAAGATTTCACCTGTGTGGAGCTCAATTTGATGAAGATTTAATAGAGAAATTTTAAAAAAGACGAGTATCTTACACAGTGTTAGGCTCCTATTATCATATCCGTCCATTCAATTATTCCATTCAAACTAGTAAACAGAAAAGTAAAAAACGAGTCAATATTTTTTATGTGTTTTTCTGTATAACTGAAAAATTAAAGATTAGTGTTTGTTTTCATATTTTCAGCTCAAAACAGAATATATAATAAAGAAGGAAACGACAACAAACAACAATAATCCTTAAAATGAAGGGAGGAAACACTCACCAGAAGTTAATGTTTTGTTTTGTTTTGTAATATGTACAGTAGTGGTGGACAGTTTTTGCTGGAAGTGTTTACAGGATTATAAATTCTTGAGAGCGTAACTTTTGTGAAACAATCTGAAAATAACTCCTCAGCTTTCAGTTTTGCCATGTTGTTTACTGTACTTTTGTTTTCCTTCTGGACTGCTGTGTGCTCCCTCACTTTCATTTCCTCACAAAATATGAAAAACCATAAAGAATTGTGTTGTTGTTTTTGTGTGTTTTAGAGCTCACCCAGAAAGCATCCAAGGACGACTCTCGGGACTTCTTGTTCTACCTTGCGGTGGCAAACTACAGACTTAAAGTTAGTGTCAAACCAAACAGTATTTACCTTTAACTGAGAGTGTTGTTAGCGCATCATTTAAAATGCCCACTCGTAGTGAGTACTTAGTTTTTCCTCCTCTCTGTTCTTCTTCCAGGAATATGAGAAAGCTCTGAAGTACATTCGCACTCTCCTGAAGAATGAGCCGGGGAACAAGCAGGCTCTGGATCTGGAGAAACTCATCGACAAAGCTTTAAAGAAAGGTAACAACTCATCTGTGACACAGAACCTGATTTCCTCAGTTTTTAGTGTGTAAAAATATAACTATGACATCTACATGTTGTCATCTAGACGGCCTGGTTGGCATGGCGATTGTCGGGGGCATTGGCGTCGGAGTGGTGGGATTGGCGGGCCTCATCGGCTTGGCTGTGTCAAAGGGAGGTGCTAAATCCTAACCTGGATGTTGGACTTCATGTCCTTGTTTTGCTGGACTCACACACTGACCCTTCCCCTGCATAGAAATGATTAAAGTTTACCGCAAAAGCTCCAAGAATCCCTGATGGATTTTGGTTTGAGGTTGAATATAAATAATATATATTAAAGGGTTTGAAAAATAACCTGTTTTCAGACTTTAACATGGTTTTGATTCATCCTGCCTACAACAATGCTCAGCTGTCTATTCAAACATCATGCATGGCACTTTGTATTATTTGTGTACATAAATTAGAGTAGTAACGGTGCAGCTACATTTATGTTACTTCTTTGCACCTCAGCCTAAACTTCTCATTTTCTTTTTTTAGATTTTTTACAGCAACTCTCAGCGACAGTGCAGTTGTTTATGTGTTACTGTGTTGAACTGCAGTGTTTAAGAAAGTGTTACAGCTGTTGTAGGAAGTGAAGCCAAAATCAACACAGTGGTTTGATTTCAGGTGAGGCAGCAGTGATTCTTCTGCTGCTGTGGAGGCATTGAAACGATGTTTGCAGTGATTTAATCCTGAGGTTTCTGTCTTGTTTTGGATAATTCTTAAAATGAAGGGAGGCAACACACTGATGAGAAAAATAATATTTTTGTTTTTGTAAATTGCATCATAAATTTACCTGCAGATAATGGGTTGTGTTCTTTTCCATCTTGTTAAATAAAAAATGCTTTTGAACTAAAAAGAGATTTTTGTCTCTAGAAGTCATTGATGAATTGTTCATTGAACCACTGGCTGGATATGCATCTTTAAAACAACATAAAAAAAAAACTAAAACAGAGAAAGAAATAATTGTCAAAATATGAGGAAATGAAAAAATAGGCAGTTGCCAACAAATGCTGCTACTCCCCCCAAAACATCAGATATACACACAGTATACAAGCAGCATATAAATAAAGTCTGTATCTATGTACAAGAGTCCTTTATCCTGTAGTTGTCTTTGCAAGTTATGTTTTAAAACAACTGCCAGTCAGGATCTTCTGTGCCAAAGCAAACAGAGAACAGCTCTGCAAGGTAGCTACTCAGTTTACTCTTTAATGAGTGCAGAGATGCAATCTGAAAATAACAAACTTAACCTTTTACCTGTGATTCAAATACCAGTGAATGACAAGTTCAGCTGATCAATAGGTCCAAAATTTGCAAAACAAAGTTTGTGGAAAAATTCCAAACAAGTCCATTTTCAATACAATTAGAAATTCCCAAATTTCTGAAAAAGGGTTAGTGAAATTTTATGGACAAATACAATAGAAATGCAGTAAAAAGATTTTCAGTTTAAATTCTCTCAAAATTTATGAAAGTTTCTAAAAGTGTATGTTGGTTGTGCCTGAAATTACTGAGATTTTTAAGGAGACATTAAAAAATTCTGCGAGGTTTGTGGAATGTTCTAGGTTTATGATTATTTTGTCTGTAAATTTCAGAAAAATGTTTTCAAAATTCCTGAAAATTTTAGGAGAATTCAAATATTCCCCAAAGTTCACAAAAAATTCAGGTAAAGTTTTACAAAATTCCTGAAAGTTTAAAACAATACATGACCTGAAATTTGTGGTGCAAATTTTATGCAAGTGTCAAAATTAGATTTTTCTTTTTTAACCTTTTTTTTAAACCCTCTTTAGAAGAAATTCAAATATTCCCCAAAGTTCACAAGTATTTGAGGTAAAAGTTTACAAAATTCCAGAAAATTTAAAACAATAGATGACCTGAAATTCATGGTGCAAATTTTGTGCAAGTGTCAAAATTAGATTTTTTTTCCCTTTTTTTTTTTCTTTAACTTTTTTTTTTTTTTTTTTTTTTTTTTTGAATTTGCCTGATGAAGGTCTTGTAGCGAAATGTTGCATCAAATTGTTCCTTTCCCTACAAGTTGGACAGTGTGCGGGTGTTTTCTTTTCTTTTTTTTAAAATTGAATTTTCTGAAAATTCCTGTAAGAATCTGGACAACGTAATTTCCCATTCATGAAACCACCTCCATTTCCTCATCTATGTCACAACAATGTTTGGTCAAAGTCAATATTTAAGTCCACTCTTAATCTTGGTCATTTATTGACAGTATTAAATTTACTATAAGGTGTTCGTGGAGACAGTTCAGAGGAGCTCATCATTATCACTGTTGAAGTGAGTCTTCAGCAAAGAGATAACACCGTTCATGCCTGAGCAAAAACGTGTCTGGCCTACTTCACTTCACTTGCAGCCGATCATCCTCACATCTTGACCCGCGGGAGGATTCATGTCGCCGTTTTACAACAGGGAAGCTTCTGGAGGCTATCAGTTGCGTGCGCTGTTATCAGCCTCATAGGGTGTTACTCATTAACTGACTTGACGCGACCGAAACTTCACAGGGAGGGAGAGATCGATGAGCACAATAACTAGCTTTGGTGTGAAAGAGGTGATCGAGTGAGTTCAGGAAAACAGAAAACTGATAAGGCAACGAGTAAAAAAACTGAATGTAAAATGAAAACATAAGGTAGAAAACAATTTTAATAATTAACAAACATCGCCTTTTAGAGACAGTTTTACAAACTTTTACATCAATGATTCCTCAGAGCCAGGGTAATTCAGCTCTGCATCAGTGAGCTTCAGTTACAAGGGCCAATGTTCATGAGTGCCCACTGATTCACACAGCTGAGAGGAGACGTCAGAGAACATGGTGTATTGGTGAAGTTACGCCTTATTTTCATGTCATCACAGTAATTTGGAGTTACTGTGTAAACCAGGCGAACAGCAGTTTACGACTCGGACGAAAGCAGTAAATTAAGATATTAGCCAACGTGCTGTATGATGAGATGTTTTTGTCTAAATCTGTCACACTAAATACTCTTCCTCTTTTTTAACGGCTGATTGTGATCTGAGGTTTTATTTGCGGAGCATCGATCCATGATTAGATAAACAGGGAACCAATTCTTATCTTTATCGATGTAGATAACAAACCTTATCTGAAGATCTCATCTGCCACGGAGTCACGTTTTCTTATTTTTCTCGAGACACAAACCAGCAACAGCAAAAACAACCTTGAGGGGACGAAATACACGGCAGACTTAAGCAAGCTTTTTTCCTGCCACGCCGACACTTAAGTTCTTTATACCGTACATTTGCAGTCCATTAAAAAGATTCAAATATCATTACAAGGTTGAGAGAACCTGCAAATTTATCTATACATAAGGGACAAGACCAGAAACTAGTACTGAATGATCTCCAGACATGACTTTGGGCTTAACTCAGTTCTCAGGACCTGAGTCTGGAGTCCTGACCTGTGACCTGCTAGACCTGCTATCAGAAGACTTAATTCAATCAGACAAATGGATATATGTATTTAGCCATGCAAAAAGCCCATTTACATCAACCAATTAGAAGGCTAATACATACAGCCAATCTGAACGCCTAAATCAACCAGCAAATTTGAATCCTTGATTCTTTCAGCCAATAAGAACCTGTGATGCATTTAGCCAATCCAAAGAGGCAATTTTAACCAGCCTATCAGAAAACAATACATTCAACTAAAGCAAATTAAATCATTCAGCCAATCAGACAGCTGATTCAATCGGCGACCAGATTTCTCCATTCAATCAGTTTATCAAAAATTGATTCGTCCAGCCAGTTATTCAGCTTACTGTAGGCTTGTGTTTCAGTCAGCCAATCAGTGAACTTGATACACTCAACTAATCAGGTTGCTTGAGTCATTTAGCCAACAGGAATACTTGGTTCAAATCTTCCGATTTCTTAAACAGAAGGCTTGTGACATGGGGCTCTATTTTCATGCCTGGTGGCGGATGGTGGCACACCCCGTGCAGTGGTATTTTTGTCTGGTGCACAGCCAGTTTGGTATTTTCATAGACTGAGGTACTGGTCACCAAAATACCAAAGTGTGTTTGGGCATGCCTTGTTGGCGCAGTGGACCTGACTTACGCCGTGCCTGTGCCACGCTGCTGGCGAGGCACAAAAATAGAGCCCAGTGAGCCAATTAGCAGGTTTATTACATTGAGCCAACCACAGGCTAGATTTACAGGGAGACAAATTAATAAATAAATGCTCGATCCAGTCAGCAAATCAGAAGGCTTGATACAGTCTGCCAATCAACACACTCAATAGATTTAGCCTATTGAAAGGCTTGAAATGATCAGGAACCAGCTTGTTACATTTAGCCAACAATAATGCCCGATTCTATCAGCCAATCAGAAATTTTAAAGGATTTTTATCGAACAACAACTTTTAGTTTTAAAAATACTGTCTGTGCGTAACTTTGAAATATCATTTAGATTATTGGTAAACCCATTTTTAGTTTATTTTGTCCGGCAGTGACCAGCACACTTAGACACGTTTTGTCTGTGCAGCCGTCCACCTTGTTCATCTTTATGACTTACTGACCCCACCTCTGTTTAATGAGTTCCTCTAAGAAAGTGCATTAAAAAGTTATAGTCCCATCAACTCTTCCTTCAATCACATTCAGTTTGTTTTCACGGGCAGAGCCTCTGTGATTTTCACATCTAATAACACAAACTCATTAGCAACACCATGGCCAGGTGAGCTGTAAAAGCAGGCTTCGCAAACAGCTCTGCCATAAAACAAGACGTTTATGAGAGGGGGCGGGATCCAGTTTTCAGAGGAGCCCAGGTGGAGGTGAAGGAAGCCAACAAGCCCAGAGTGACTTCTTTGGTTTATTCCCAAACATTAACAAGACTGTTTTGTGGCAGACTTGTCGTATTTTTTTCTAGAAAGCAGCCTCATTATCACGTTTTAATCATGTCAGCAGAATTGCAACTTTACCCTGCCTCACCCTGTTAGGCTCGAACCTGAGGTCACTGACAATTGACTGCTTCTTAAAGATGTGAAGGCCCTGAGTTAAATATTCTTTGAAGCGAGAAGAAATGTGTGGTTATTGGGTGATGTATAAATTTACACCAGTCTGCTTTTAGGAATGTAAAATTTAGAAATGGATGAGTTTGGGGCTCTTGGCTCTTTTAACAGTCGCTTTCAGAGTTAATCCGTCAAAGACTAGATACATCTGTTAGCGGTTTTGTAGGCTGTAGCCAGATGTACTTTACCAGTGAACCAAACAGACAAAAATACTGTGGCGCTAAATTGATGACAAAAGGTTCAAGATTAATACAAAAACCTGCAGGATTCAGGTTCTGCTAGTGAATGCAACTTTGCAGCCTGCATAGACCTGCAAAGATCCATGATTCGCAGTGGCAACAGCGTAGCAGCTGCCTATGAGATATGATTTGAACCAGGTAATCTCACCTGCAGGAAGAAGGAAGTATGTTATGGTCCAAAGTATCAAAGCTTACTCTGAAAATCTTCTTCTCATTTTTGTCGTTGAGAAAATTATGGTCATAGATTTTTTTTTTGTAGCTCATTTTCATTCATAAAATTCGAATATTATTGAACCGATATGATAACAGCCGTAGAAATAGGTTGTGAGCCTGGCCAGTCTTAACATGACTCGGGGAAATGGTCACCAATGAGCAGGACTTGATGACATTGCCTTTCAAGACTGTGGAAAAAACACAAGTAGTACGCAACGTCCAGTTCTGAGTGCGTTTCTTGTATTTTATCTACAATCTGTTGTGCTAAGTGAACACACTGTGCTTTTATCAGGCTGAGGAAATAGCAGATTATGGTGATGCTTTCTAATGGGGGGTGGTAAACGTCATTGCTGATATATTGCCTGGCTGAAGAGATCAGGAGACGGAAACACAATTAGGTCAATGTCAGTAGCTTTTGGCCTTTTCATGCAGGGAAAAAAGAAAATACACTGATTGAAGTTTTAAGGTTCGGGGAATAATTTCTAGAAGTAGGGAGTTCAGATTATGAATCCTATCATATCTTTCCCTACAGCTAACCACTCCCAAATTTACTGTCTTAAATTGCCGTTCAGTTAGTGGCACTTGGCCTAGCAGTAGCATCTCCCGTCTACATTGTTAAGTGTTTTAGATAAAAAAAAAAGTAGTTTTATTACAGCTCGGTGCATTTCCCTCCATAGTCTTAGGTTTCTAGTTACAGAGCACTGACATGGCAAAATGCTAATAATGTTTGTAGTTTAGGTTCTTTGAGTCTTGGAGAAATAATGAATGTAATAATAAAGTAGCCTCCTTTTAAAAAAATAAAGTCCCTGGGATTAATACTTACAAAAAGGTTACTCAGAGCTTTAAAAGATACAAAACATGCTAGCAACGCAAGAAGTACTAGCTGTTGAAGAAAACATTAGGAGACTTGACTTGACAAAGTAATTATTGGCCTTGGTTTGATGTGTGAGTTTTTCTTGTTGTTTTATTAATTACTTTTATTTATTGATGCTGTTGTGGATAAAGTTGAGCATATGCAGGTCTTGAGTCCAAGAAACAAAAGGAGTAACGTAATGTCGCATAACGTAGCATGGTGTAGCATAACATAACACATAGCATCCTATCATGTGGAATTGAAGCCTAGCATATCATATCATTCATAGAGTATTGAATCATATAGTACTGGACGGTATTAATTGTGTCAATCATATTAATTGTATCGTATCAAATTATATCATATCGAATTGTATCGTATTGTACCGTATCGTATTGGATCAAATTGTATTGTATCAAATAGCATCGTATCGAATTGTATCGTATCGTATCATATCGAATCAAATTGTATTGTATCGCATCAAATCGTATCGAATCGTATCAAATTGTTTTGTATCAAATTGTATCAAATTGTATCGTATTGTAACTTATCGTATTATAACGTGTCATTCTGTATTGTACCGTAGCATCTCACAATGTATCATTTCGTGAAGTATCGTATCTTATAGCATCATATGAATGAAGCATAGAAGAACAAAGTTTTTTTTAATGATCCAATCTGATATCATCCTGTCAATCCGTATGAACCACCGGGTTCTTGGGGTCACCAAGACTGTTTAAGGTGAATTTGTTTTGGAAAGTTCCACCGGACTCTATCACCGAAAAGAGGCCACTCCATATCACAACACGTACAAGCCTTTATTGTTATCTCAGAACAATATGGTAATCTGTAATTGATTTCTTCGTCACAGATTATTACACAATAGCAGCAGCAGCAGTCTCTTAATATCTAATTCCATGTTTGTCTTGTTTAATGTTGCCAAGTGCTTCCTCATGGCGTGGACGTCTGTAAATATTACAACAAAGAGTAAAGTTAGGTGTTTTGTAATGAGTCGGCACTATACTGATAAAACCTGATTGATTCATGAATGGAAATATGGGTGATAGGTGGTAGACTGAGCTGTTCCTGCAAATAAGTTTCTCTTTGTTTTCCCTCAAAATCCCTTTAGATTTTTCACCCTCTTTCAGGAAACCACCAGACGTCTTGGATCGGGTTTATCATTGCTGAAGTGCCGTGCGTTGATTCCTAGCATCTCTTTCTTGACCTTTAAACAAACAAATTCGCAGACAACAAATCTGCTCTCGTCTTTCAAGTCGACAGCTTTGTCTGAAATGCGGGTTAAGATTTATCTGAATATTATCAGCGTGTTGAACTCGCTGTGCCCTGGATTTGGCAACGCTGACCCAGCAGCTATCAGGAAGATAATTAATGAAGACACACAAACACAGAAACCATGGGACACGCCGGTTAACTGAAGAGCGTTTGGGAAAAAGTTAAACTGTAGCCTTAAATCAGACAAATTACAAGCTGGTAATCCTCCAAAAGATTTCAAAATACTGGGTGTGACGCCCAATAGTCGACCTTGACCTTGAGATTCCCAAATAAAACAATTAAACCTACAAGGTGTTTTAGCTTTTTATAAAAAGTATTCTCACCTGAGCATGAATCGTAGAGGAAAAATAACTCAAAGACCAACATCTCATTCAAAAAATCAACTTTTTAGTGTTTTATTGTTTACAATATTCATCTCTTTCTTGTGATTGGATGGATTTCAAAGGAAAACGTGATCCAACACGCCTGATAAACATACCCAGCGCAGTGCCATTAGGAGTGACACATGACCATTGGACCCTGAGAATGAGCCGATAAACACCTGTTCAGTTTCAGGGGTGTAAAAGGCTGCTAAAAAAAAAAAAAAAAACAGGGACGATAGAGTTTGTGTGTGAGGGGGAGGAGGGAAGAGAGGAGGGAGTCATATAAGCCATTTTACATATCTGTGGAGCTGGGCACATCTCACAGTGGCAGACAAGAGTCAACACTCTCACAGACACACACTGCCTTCAAAATAAGAGGTTCTGATTTTGAAGACAAATTCTCCTGAAACAAAATCAAACCAGATTTGGATTTACTTTTTTTTTTTTTTTTGACTGCCGAGCTGAGGAAGGATCATGGATCCGATTGTGGAAGTAGTGGCTTTTATTTTAGGGTTCATCGGTTGGGTGATGGTCGGGGTCGCCCTGCCAAACCGCTACTGGAGGTCCTCTACCGTGGACGGGAACGTCATCACGACCTCCACCATCTATGAGAACTTGTGGATGTCATGTGCGACGGATTCAACCGGGGTGCATAATTGCAGAGAGTTCCCTTCTCTGTTGGCTCTGAGCGGTATGTTGACGAAAAAAACATCAAAAACGCAAATACATATTATAATCATATCAAAATGATTATTTTCCTGTGGTGAACAAAGGTCATGCATTACGGTAATGTCTGTTTTATACGACAATTCCAAGATTTATGGCGCCTTAAACATCCCAAACTCATTGAACTTCAATGTCTATAAAAAATGCTTACAAGTCAACATCGACGTAAGATAAGATTATATCACATGATCCTAAAAGCTGACGAGTGAAATCTAGTGAATGTGGTGACTCTTTCTGTAAACTTCCAGGCTATGTCCAGGCGTCTCGTGCCCTCATGATCTGCTCTATAGTATTGGGCACCTTTGGACTGGTGGCGGCCCTGATAGGAATGCAGTGCTCAAAGGCCGCGGATGACAACCCCATTCTCAAAGGGAGGATTGCTGGCACAGCCGGAGTCCTTTTCATGCTGCAAGGTACCAAGTTGATAAAACACATTCAATTAAAAGTACTTTTAAGGATGTAAGAGTTAAGAAGAAGTTGTGCTCTTGGTGGTGTTTATGGCTCGTTAAATTTCTCTTTAACTACTTTTTATTATCGTCATTCAGTTATTGCACTTTCAAATCAATAATCTATAAATTCCCTCCCGGTTTCCTGCAAGACTTTGGACTTCTTTGTATCTCTCCAGATGCTGCCAGCTGCCTTTTATTGATTAAAAAGTATCTGATTGTTTTTTTTCTTTTTTCTAAAGGCTTGTGCACAATGATCGCGGTGTCCTGGTACGCCTTCAACATCACTCAGGAATTCTTTGACCCCTTTCATCCCGGGATAAGGTAAGATTGTGATGTTTGTTGTATTTTCGTGGTGGAAAGAGGGTCAACTAGAAGTCTGATCCTGGTGCTCACATGAGTCTGCCATGTGTTTCAGGTACGAAATAGGAGAAGGGCTTTACATCGGCTGGTGCTCGGCCGTGCTCGCCATCGCCGGGGGAGCCTGTCTCACCTGCTCCTGCAGAATTGGCCGAGAGGAAAACTAGTGAGTGTCCATATTTGATACCAACCAGTGATAAAAAACATGAGGCAATAAATCTATTAATAGAATAGATACAATAGTGTGCAGACTAGGAATGGGCATTTTAAGGAAGTCCCTCTGTCGATTAATCATCGATACATTAACGGTCAATCATCAATACATTGAAAATACGCAAAAAAACTGGTTTTTCCTTTGAAACAACCCCCCCAACTGTTGTTCAGGCCTGCACGCTACATGCTCACTTACGCTTCCTACCTGCCCGGATACCGTAATAATCTTTTTTTTTTCTCATTCGTGAAATGCTAAAATCAGCGACATTTCTGGGGAAAACTTTAGCCAAGGACAGGTCATCCAAAATGGGGACTGTCCCTAGAAATCGGAGATGAGAGCACTCGGAAGATTCATTAAAGTCAGTTGGATGTGTTTGGATCAATGGTACATCATTAGCATCATTGTCGAGTTGTACTTTGCAGCAAACCTCATCATCATTCCGCTCGAAACAGTCCCACATCACAATTCGCCTTGCTTGTTTTCATTTTGTTTTTTTTTCCCGCTGTATCACTCCCCTTGTAACATGTCAAAATCCCATCGTACGGTTTTAGTCACTGCGTCGCTTCAACACACACAGGCTGAATCTCAATCTCCTCCCTAAACCCTGAGACCTCATTGACTTGAGTGACTGCACCTGGAAAGTGATTGAGTGAACGAGGCAACTTTGGGACCTTTATTTTATGCTTTTTTTTACACTGCTTTGCTTTACTTTTTTTTAAGATACCTACACGAGAACTTCTTTTTTGCGGCATCATGTGTTTTGTTGACTAATTCGCTCGTTTCACTTCCCTTTTATAGCGGCCGCAAGCTGGTTGCCTCGGAGATTCCTGCCAAACGTCACAGTGCAATAAGCGATGGGTAATTCCCTCATACTAACTCTACAGATAAGACAATTGGGTTTTCTGACTCTCCCTGCGCTACTTACAATCTGTTATTTTTTGTTTCTTTGTATACTTTTTTAAACTGTGCAAAAACAAAATAAAACAATAAATAAACAGAGATGCCCACTAGCGAAAAGGGTGCATGAAGGGCTCAAAAAGTCAATGCGATTGCGATTTGACAGTGGGACAGTTCTAAGCCCTCACGGACTTTGCGGGAGCGCGTTAAAGTCAGTGAGTGTCGACACTGAGATTGGGCCAAACACTGATTGGACCATAGACTGTATATAAAATGGACGCCGTCTGCCTCCTTGCTGGGTGAAGCCACCGAGAGAACAGCACCCTCTGGTGACGGGCTGCAGTATAGGTCATAAATCCCGCCTCCTCCTGCAATCCCTATGGAGCTGTGGACCAACTCTAGAACCAACAGAACAAAATAAATAAATAAAGCTGTCAGCCCTCATTTAATAACGTTAGAACGATCAAGATTTTGCATGATTGACTTAATTCTTAATGATTAATTAATAAATCATTGATTAGTCGTGCCCATTCCTTGTGCAGACGCTGCACATCAGTATACAAGAGGATTGATTTACTTACAATATCAATATATCAAGAAATTTATCAAAGAAACATACATAACTGTGACATAAGGGTTATATGCATGTATAAAATTCACATCTATTTGTTTTTTACAAGCTGGTAAAACTTGAATAATGTGTTTTTGCCGTGATTGTTTTTGCTTTGTGTCTCAAAACACTTCCAAGAAAAACATCATGACACTCTTGCACCCTCTAGTGGTGCAAGAGTGTCCCCACTTCACCTCCACTTTAATTCTTACCTCCATGAGACACCCATGTTCACAACAGAATAAGTTTTTATGAGATTTGCAGCTGTAAAACGCTTGAGTGAGGCTAAAAATACTGAGATAAAAGATGGGATATGATTAACTATGATTTTACTGTGCTGTCTGATTGTTAGTCAGTAAAACATCAGTAAAAATATAACAGAGTGGAAGGAGTGCCTGGGTCGATAAAAGCCTGGCTAGACTTCAGACTAGTTAGAGCTACCTTAGGGGGAATTTCGACACTTTAATACAATTCAGTATGATACAAAAAAAACAATATTATACAGTATAATACAACTTAACTTAACTTGTATCCTGATTATTTGTTTCTTCATTTACAGCCCGATGCCTTATCAGACCAGAGGGACTGTATATTCTGGACCAGCTCAGACCCGAAGTGTGGCTGCCAGTACTTACGGCCGAAATGCTTACGTCTGAACAGAAACTGAAAAAGGAACCTGATCTTTCACATGTGCCTGGATCGGACTTTTCATTATGTTGGATTTGTACATTTCAGAGGGACTTTTTTCCCCCCATTACTGCTGAAAGTGTTCTGTCTGTTAAACCGTTGAACTGTGTTTTATGACAATATCTCGTGAGTTTTCTGCACAAATGATACCGTTGAATTGATAGTGTTAAAGTTGTCAAAGTTGTAAAGTGCCTTGGTTCCACATCACACAAACATATGTACACTTCTGATTATTCTATTTATGCTTCTCTGATGGTGTTAGCACAGAAACATTTACACACAGTCACTTTTTTCTAAAGGTATGCAATCGTTTGATAATCTGTACACTTCCTATTGGACTGTTGTCGACTTTTTCTTGTACAGTTTTATAGAAAGTTCTTGCGGATGAAGGAGTATGACGCGTTAACTTCATTGTTTCTTTTTTATTTGTTTTTATACAATTGCGCACAATAAAATGTTTTATGCTTAACATTGTGGTTGGACAGTGAATTCTCGCTGTCATCAAAGTTAAACTGTACTCTCTTATTTGTGGTGGCTGCTTTCAATACTGCAAAAAATTTCATTCCTGAGGTCATTTGGGGAAAAAAAGAACTGCAAATATTTCAGTTTAATCTTGCTTATATGATACTCTCTTTGACATGAGCTTAAAGGGATATTACGGCGTAAAATTAAGTTAGGGTCAAACACACCATAACACCGAGTTAGACACCCCAACTTTAATAACGACAATAACGATAGCAATACACAGCAGTCTCAGGAGCCATAAACAAAACGCCACTCTATAGCCACAGATAATGCTCAGAACAGCACCTAACTTCACCAACAGTACATATAGGGTCCTAGCCACAGTTCTAGCCACCAAACATCTTTTTAACTTTGCCTAATTTCTTTAGCAAAGAGACTAAACACAACTCACCTAGTTTCTTCCAGCAGCCGCTTGTTTGTAGTGAGACCTCAAGCCAGTCCATTACGGACTGCAGCGGAGTGACGCAGTTCAAGGAAGAACATTTATGATCATGATTTTATCATTTCCTTGACGTAATAATCACCATATTAATCATTTTGCACTGCAGACGTGGTAGTTCTTCTGCCTTAGTGTCTCGGTCTGATTGCATTTCCATGAAGTAATAATCATAAATGTTCTTCCTTGAGCTGCGTCACCCCGCTGTAGTTCATAATGGACTGGCCTGAGGTCTCACTACAAACAAGCGGCTGCTGGAAAAGAGTAGGTGAGCTGTGTTTAGTGTCTTTGCTAAAGAAATCAGGCAAAGCTAAAAAGATGTTTGGTGGCTGGGACCCTATATGTACTGTTGATGAAGGTGCTGTTCTGAGCATTATTTGTGGCTATAGAGAGGTGTTTTGGTTGAGGTTTGTTTCTGGCTCCTCAGACCGCTGTGTAGTACTATTCTGTGGTCATTACTAAAATTGGTATAACTAGAGAAGCAAGCGGTCGGCGTCATTCATCTCTCGAGGGGGTGTCTAACTCGGTGTTATGGTGTGTTTGACCCTGAATTAATTTTACGTTGGAATATCCCTTTAACTCAATTTTTGGCTGTTAAATAATATTCCCCAAACTAAAAACAACAATGATTAACTAAGCGGTCAAGATTTTTATAGACATAGAGATCCATTTTTTAAAAATTTAATTTAATTCACAGTTTTTTATAAACACCTGGAAAATGATGACACACCATCATGATAAGCAGTCCACACTCCAGTGATGGATTTATGAGATTATTTTTCATTACTGCCTGTATTTGTGGACATTTGTGAGAACAATCATTGGATTACAGCGCCCTCTAGTGTGTGAAAACTCTACTGCAATCCACAGCCAGTTAAAGAAGAAGAGACTTCATTATCAACTCTTCTGTCAGGACAGGGAAATCATAACAAGACAGAAATAAAACTCTTAACGTTAAGTCTTTCTCGCTGCGGGTGCCGTAATTATCCTAACACATGCGCACTTAGAATTCCAGAGCGGTTAAAAAGGCGAGGAGTGGTTGGTATGAACGCAGTATTTAACGAATGCGGAAGTAACAGTCTGGTATCATCTTGCTCCCCTCTCGCTGAAAGCCTGCAGTTTCCCTCCCTGACTCTCTGACAGAGGGAGTACCGCTTTAAGATCAGGGCGTATCCACTTTTGAAGAATTAGGAAATGCGCTGATGTTTCTGAGAGAAGTCCCTCCTTTTTTACTCTTAGTTTGATCACACGGTGACTGTCCGCCTGTCGTCCACACACAAACAGGAGTCCACCGACCACCTGACGGATCCATCACTCCCCCGGACCCTCCAGCCTGCAGCGGTCCTGTCCGTCAATGGCTGATCTCAGCGTCGTTACGCGTAAGTTTTCGCCTTTTTATTTTGGAGCATCTCTGGAGTGGAAACGAAAAGGTTAAGCTGTCAGGCGATCACGTTTACTTCCACCTCATCCTCTTCGGAAAAGTTTAGTCAGTCTAACTTTACTTGTCTTTTTTTGTGTGTATGTTGACATCCCACAAAGTGCACTCAGCAGAAGAGGAAAGTTTGAGGAGGACACTGCCGTCTTTGTCTTACTCCAAATTTAGAAACACCGCCAATATTTGGAAGAAGGAAAAATCCTGTAGAGCACCCCTGAAAGCTGCAGATACTGAGGAGAGGTTGCCTCAAATGTCTTCAACTGCATGACACTCTATGCTGCCAAATAGTGTTGTTTCGTTCGCGAACGATTCGTTCAAAAGAACCGAATCTTTTATGTGAACGTATTGAACCGAATCACTTCCCTGAGTGATTCGTTCGTTTCTCACTTTAGTAGAGCTGAAGTGAGAAACAACATTGACAGGCCAGCAGCCGACAAACGAGGGACCACATGCACCGACGCCTGAATCACTTGGTGAACGAATCACGCATTGAACTCGTCTCTCTGGAATCATTTTTATCAGACAAAACTACATGTTTTTTTCACTGCTAAATTGCCACCACAACAACTTGCATACAATAGGACAAAGCATGTAACAAGTAGCGCATTAAACCCTCAACATCATATCATTGCAGCGGTTTGCGAGGGAACGGTGCATGTTCAGTATGAATTCTTTTTCCACGACAAAGATGTGACATTGAGGAGCTAAACATGAGTCTTAGACGAATGTGACGAGACAAATGTGCGTTTACATTGACGAGACCAGACCAGACGAAAAAGATAGTGGTGGACGATGAACAGAGTTGCAAAATTTATGAGCATTTCGTCAGTCAAACATTCTGCAGTGTTGTTTTCGATGACGTAGACGAAAATAACGAATCACTCACTGACCCCAATTTACCAAGCAGACCTGATACATAGCATACTATAAGACAGTACACTTAAAACATCACGACTTATAAACAAACTTTACAAACCTGTTTGCCAAAGCAACACAGCCACACACTCTCATCTCCTGGTCCCAGGAGCAATGAACTGAACTGAATCCTGAACTGTTCTGCTGTGTATCAGTCCAGGAGGTCATAGTCGCAGGCTTCTCCCGCCAAGCGCAAAATGATTTGGTGATTTGGGGAACGAATCTTTTGAACGAATCTTTTTAGTGAACTGATTTTAGTGATTCAGTTCATCTAAAAGAACTGCTGTGCCCATCACTACTCTCAAACTAAATTCCCTTTCTAGTTAAATTTCAGCCATCCTTAAAATACAGAATTTGATGCATAAAGTTGTTGTACTTACGACAAATTTGCGTTAAAATGCACTGAGCTACAAGTATGTTTTAACATTGAAATAAAACCCAAAGGCTATTAAGATGTAAAGAAGAGTCCTGCTGTTGCTGTGCATGCGTCTTCTTTAAGAAAAAAAAAAACAGCCTGTGTTTATTTCAGTCTACGCTGATGATGCTTTGATTTTCTTGGTAACCTTTCAAAACGCTGGGCCTGGTTCCATTTTCCATGGGGAGGCCAGAAGAGTGTGTGCCATGCGAAAGGCCAAGGCTGTATCCATATGCTCATTTAATTGGAGAAAGTCACACTCTGCAATGCGTCTTTGTGTGTGTGTCCAGACAGCACAAGCCTTTGGCATGTCTCTGAGAGGTGCTGAGTGCCAAAGACATTTGCTAATGAATCAAACTGCAAATGGAGCAAACAGAAGCAGATAAGCTTGATTTATAAATTGGCTCAGAATGCCTTTTGTTCCTTTATTCATTTATTTTCTTTCACTTAAAGATGACTAGCTTGACACGTCTCTTTAACTCAGACAAGTATATGTTCAAGGTTGTTGTTGTTCCCAATCACACATGGGTGAGGATAACAGGTGAAGTATCTGGAGCTACATTATTAATGTTACCTCAGCAAGGAGCTCCTTCATCGCACAGTCTTGGGGCAATTAAGGAGCTATTCATACCTCACATGTGGTGAGGGCAGAAAAATGTGATCATTTATTGATACAGAAATTGAAATCCATGAGAAATTTGATCACTTCTAGACGATGAAGCCTCAAGCTCTCTATTTCCAATCTCTACATTTGCTGCTCTCAGATGTCTGCTCAGATAATTCTACTGTTTTCTCACAGTTACAGACCAGTCATTTCGTCTATCCTCAGACTAAACTTGTTCAAAAGTGTGACATAGACTTGCGCCTTCTGAATTGCTTGTTTGCTTTTAAAAAAATCTGATAATTTATCAGACAAAACGTTGAATTTTCGGCTCGCTGATCGTGATGCAGCATCAGAATGCAGTTGGGCAACAAAACAAGTGCTTGCTTGCTTGCTAACCGGCGAGGGTGAATGAAATCCAGCCAACGCAAACGCCTTGGTACTTTTTTAAATCACAGGGAGTGTAAAAAGTTGTGAATAAACTCAGCTGCCGATTGAATGAACTTTTGAAGGTTGAGATAACAGGTCTACCGCTGAGATGTGGTAAGTGTTTGTCAGCAGGTCTCAGATTTGCTTTCATAGCTGCTCATGATTTCCTGAATATGAGGAAATGAGTAAGCCACAGATAGACGCTGAACCTTTTAACCCATCAGCGTTAGGTGTGTTGCTGCAGGCCACAAATTCTACTCTTAACGTGTTGTTGCTGTCAGGTACAGCATGTCACTTTTTCTGCAGTTAAGAGCAGATTCTTGACTGGCAGGCTTTTTTACAGTATGGGAAAGTGAGGCAGTTCAGTTTTAGTGACTTTAGGACAAAAAAAGTGTTTGTATGTGTCATGACTTTTATTTAGTTCTCGTAAATATAAAATTCTGTATTTTCCAGAACAGATTTATCCAGGGTATCTGCAGGGAATTTAAGGCATTGAAAATGTCCAAAACTCTCTTAAAATCTCCTGATACAAGTTTTTAATTTCTGATACGATACTGATATTGTAGCCTTCAGTATTGTCCGATACCGATATTGTAGCCTTCATTATTGTCCGATACCGATATTGTAGCCTTCATTATTGTCCGATACCGATATTGTAGCCTGCAGTACTGTCTGATACCGATATTGTAGCATTTAGTATTAACCGATACCGATATTGTAGCATTTAGTATTAACCGATACCGATATTGACCTGATTTTAGTACAAACTTGTGCATGATAAGTTTTGCACTCAGTTGCAACGTCTTTTCGGACCTTAGCGAAAAATACTGCCACAGGGCCGACATCACTCCTACTCCTTGCTTTGTTAGTACTTAAGTACAGCCTGTTGTTCTAAACACATAGGCTCTACATGCTGGAAGCTGGTAGATAGAGGTGCTGGAGCGGAGTCTTGAACGGACTGCTTGTATCAGAGTGCTGATATCGAAGATTTTAGCAACAGACCGATGTAATCTGATATTTGATTTTTTGTTGATATCGGACCGATATCAATATCGTATCAGGTCACCCCTATACAAATGTACTCTTTTTTTGAGTGTGCATGTGCAATAACTCCATCATCTGATACCAAACATGCCATGCTGTCCTTGATTGATCTGCTTTATAAAGTACCTGCTGTGCACACAGTCTGTGTTTATGTGTGACATGACTGTTGAGCGTAAACATGCATGCAATCCTGCTGCTGTCGCACGACACCCTTGTAAATAGATCTAGATTTTACACTCATCCCGGTGCTTGTTAACACGTGTACTCTACAGTACTGCCAACAGGACTATGGAGAGTACAGAACATAGATGGTGTCACTTTTAGAGGAAGGGGCCACTGTCCATCTGTCTGCCTTGTGTTTTGGATCTTCCTCTCCAAGAAAATGGGGTTGAGTCTTGGTTTTCTAGTCCTCATCATGTCTCGTGTTGTTCTGGAGGGTTGATGTAAGGGAAGGAGAGGTTATCGACTGGCCAAACAGTGGTCAACTAGGAGCCGTGGAACAATTCCCACATCCTCTCTGTGCTTCCTAATGTGAGTCTCTGCAGGAGAGTAATGCAGTTACAAAGAGTCAAGGATCGAATTACTGACTGAGAGGAAAGGCTTTCTGCTCTCCCTGATTTCTCTTTTGAAAGATTTTGCCAAGAAGTGACACCAAAAGTTTGAAATTCTGTTGAAAATAAAAAGAAACACGGAGTGCCGTAACTGGTTTCTTGAGGCCTTCTGCTGATATCAACATCCTCTTTTCTGAGATCCCTTTTGGCACTGTTGTGTTGTGATATGATGTTGCAGCTGGAGAGCACTACAAAAGCGGGACACAGCTCCAAGATGGAGAAATTTCACAGAGTACAAATAGTTTTTATGAAGCTACAAAAAGTTCCTGTTATTGTGAATGATGGTTAGTACACTAAGGGAAACACGCTGCTTAGTGTCATGAGGTTTTCCTCTTTGAGTATTGAGTTTTTTCAGGGATGAAATCGATCACATATGTCCGTGAAAGACTTGGTCAAAGCTGAGATGTGTATAACTTTCAGGCAGACATAAGTCACGCGGTAAATCCCCACAAATCTGCAGGAAATGAAACCACAACACCGCAAACTGAAATACTTCAGGGATGGCGTTGGGGAAGCTCCTGCCGTTTTTGGGTGTTAACCTGCTACAGTCCTCCGTGTATCAGTGTGTGTCTGGACACTATGGGGCAGTTTGACCCAGAAAGTATTTGCATGACCTTGCTACAAATCTCATAAGCCAGTGAATCACTGGATCAGACAACCTTGTTTGCAACACAGGATGTTACAAACGCCGTATGTCCTTCTGTCCCAGATATTCATGACGGCCTTTCGTACATGCACTCCTGACATTTTCCTGACAGTGTCCTTGGACCAAACAGAAGCCGGGATATACTGTCTAATGTAAACCTGACTCACTCCCTCCACAGCTCTGTTAGGTTGTAAAGTCTCATTGATTAGGATTGTGTTAGTATCAGAAAATTTCAGGTATGAAACGTTCAGAAATGTCAGGAGTGAGCCCTGTTGATGTCCATCTTTGCTGGACTGGTGTCAGAGCAATACCTGAATTGTACCTGTATAGTTTGATTGTCAGTTTGCCATAGACAGTGATTGATATGTCCTGTAAAACATAGCAAGATTGCAAAGATTATACAGAGGATGTGTGCCAAAGACAAGGAAATTAGATTTCTGTGTGAATCATGAAGAAAAGGCCCAAACAATTTTGGGTTTTGCTTTTGAATTGCAGAAATTCTTTGCTTTAGTTCGAGAAAATTTCAAGTCATGAAGCATCCAGATCAGAAATGTCAGGAATGAGCTCTGATAATGTCCATTTTAGCTGGACTGGTGCCAGAGCAATACCTGAATTGTACCTGCATTGTACCTGTATAGTTTGATTGTCAGTTTGCCATAGACAGTGATTGAAAAGTCCCATAAACATAGCAAGATTGCAAAGCTTATACTGAAGCTGCGTGTCCAAGACAAAGACAGTTGATTTTTGTGTAAGTCAGGAAGCTAAAGTCTCAAACAGTTTTGGGTTCTGCTTTTGTAGTGCAGTGTTTTTTGTTGTTGTTGCTTGTATTGCTTTTCTTCAAGAACATTTTGGGTCATTAAATGTCCAGAAACCTCAGGAATGAGCTCTGTTGACATCCATTTTTGCTGAACTGGTGCCAGAGCAATACCTGAATTGTACCTGAATTGTACCTGAATAGTTTGATTGTCATTTTGCCAAAGACAGTGATTGATAAGTCTTGTTAAACATAGCAAGATTGCACACCTCATACTGAAGTTGCGTGTCCAAGACAAAGAAGGTTGATTTCTCTGTAAATCATTAAGTAAAAGTCCCAAACAATGTTGGGTTCAGCTATTGAAATGCAGGACTGTTTTTTTGCTTTTTGATTCAGGGATAAAGATTTTTGGGTCTGTTGGATCATGGAAATTGCTTCTGTCATCTCTAGTCTCTTCTGTTTTTAGTTAAGATTTTAACTTTTGTGTCCTGTTTTGAAGTCTTTTCACTAATCTCTGCTCGAGGTGTGGCGCAAACTATTCACTCAAAGCAATAAGAGAATAGAAGTCAAGAAACAAGAGTTATACAACACTATTGTCAGGATCTAAGCCTGGGATGTAGCACACGTGTCAGATGTCCCTCTGAGGAGGACTGTCATCACCAGCTCTGGTTGCTAAGAGATTCATGACTCATCCCCAAGATCCTCCTGGAGGAGTCTTTTCAGCCCATTTGAAAAACATTTTTCTAATAGAGTCCTTCTATTTGCTCGGGAGTCATCGTGACACACGCGGTGAGACAATGCTGTATGTATGTGTGGACATGGACGCAGCAGCAGTCGTCCACAGGACGGTCAGCAGGCGGACAATGGTCTCTATCAGTGTGTTTTCAGTCTGGTGCACCAGAGAAAACTGGGACAATAGGAGAGCACAGATGCCTGTATGCATCAGGAGGCACATGGTTAGGTATGCAGACTCACCAACACATAGCCTCTACACACACACACACACACACACACACACACACGCACACACACACAGAGCTGTGGTATGTTTGAAAATGGCAGGAACATGTGATTGGAAATGTTTTGGACTCTATTCAGACTGCTATCAGTTTCTCTCTGACTCTCTCTATATGTCTCTCTATCTCTCTCTCTCTTACACACACACACACACACACACACACACACACACACACACACACACACACACACACACACACACACTGGTGTGAACAGGAGAACAGACAAAAGCTCTCTTGTGTGTTGTCCTGGAATGTCTCACGTGGTGTTCAAACAGTAGAGCAAGGGGAGCTCTCGCCTATATATCACCACAGGTCACAGTCTACCCTTTGACCTTTGACCTAATCTGGTTGAAGATATCATTTTCAAAATGCGAAATGCAAACAAATGAAACTAAAGAGTGATATTCTTGTATTTTTAGTTTTTTAAAAGGTTTATCTGTGTGTCGTCTGCATAGAAATGAAATGGGACCTAAAACTGAACCCTGAGGTACACCACAGGTAGTTATTTCATTATTGGTGAAATGCATATCAAGTCTTCACTGTTCATATTGGACTCTAATGGTGCAGGTTCAGTATGCTGGCCTCATAAGATGCACTCAGCACTTATCCCAAGAGTGTTATTGTGGCACCCTGGTGGGTCTAAAGTCCGGTGTGTGGGTGGGTGGACAGATGGGAGTGGGAGAAGGAAGCCAGAGTTGTAAAATTTATGGTATTTTGCTCTTTTTGCTGCCGTCAGCCGCTCTTAAAGCAGACGTAAATGCACGGCATCTGTTCTCTCCTTCGTTTGTGTTTAACTTTGAGATAATCTTCTGTTATTACGCTCAGATTAAAATATTAAATATGTCTCCAGAGCGGCGAACGGTCAGACCCAGACTGGCGTGGGAACATGAAAACTCAGTCATGTTGCAGCTAATGGCATTTAAATCCCCTCAGCTGCTCACTGAGGATATCAGGTTACAATCAAGGGCAATTTAATAACATGCCGTGTTGCAGGAGTATTCAGAATAATTAAGTTTTAATCTAATTCCTCTCTCCTTCGTTCCCCAGCGGGTCCCACGACAACAGTTACAGAAAAAGGAGACGGTGGAGGCCGCACCAACCCGGACTACATCGCCTTCGTCCTGGTGCCTGTTTTCTTCCTCCTGGGTCTGCTGGGGGTTGTCATCTGCCACGTGTTGAAGAGGAAGGGCTACCGGTGCACCACTGAAGCCCAGGATGGAGAGGAAGAGGAGTGTGTGGAGGAGGGGAAGGATCTGGAGCTCGGGGGAGGTAAGGATGCCAGAGTGAAAGAAAGAAAGATGAAAGGGGTGGAGGCAAGCGTGGAAACTTTTTGGTGTTGAAATACAACCTGACATTGTCTTACTAAGGCAGCCATCATCTTTCCTCAGAACACACCCTGGATTATTACTCAAGATGGTTTATATTAAAACGAGTGGATGGAAAAGAGGGGAGGTGGTCTTATTATTAAAGATAAACAAATGCAGCATGACCTCAGACGAAGGGTTCGAACGAGTGGCTGCAGCGGTCTGAGGGACGGCCAAGAAGCGAATAAGCTGTTAGCTCAGCGGTGTTTGTGGTGGATGTTATGCAACCATGATCCAGGTTTTTATCAGCCTCATGTTGACTTCTTCCTTTTTACAAAAGCAGAACTCTGCTGGTGTGTCAGTCACTCGGTAATAAGAACAATCAAACCCTCCCCTCTCTGATTCACGACTCCAAACAGCAGCTTATGTAACGTCCTCTGAAGAGTTTGGGGTTGTGGTCACTCTGATTCGCTCCAAACTTGAAGATGTCACAATCATGATGTCAGTGTCGTTCCTGATCTTCACAGCTGCAGCACAAAGACGCAGAAAACACCCTAAAAACTATCTAATGATTAACCTCTGATCAGTGTCTGACCCAGCTCTCCATCATCGTCAAAGTAAAGTCAGAGGAAGTGACTCTTATTCGGTTTTCAAATAAAGGTCCTCACACACCAGGAATGACGCAAATATACAACGCGAAATTACGAAATATTAGGAGGTGAATTTTGACGCGCCTGACTGTACACATCAAGCAAAAAGGAAAAGGCGCGTCCAGGGTGGAAGTGAGAAGACTGACACAACAGCAGACTGACTGTTTTCAGTTCTGATTAGACTCTCGTGTTGAGATGTCTGTCTGTCATGATAGCATGTACTGAGTCAGGGCCAGTACCAGATAAGCACATTAAACTATAATCCATAAACGTAAGTGGGGCTAATTCCAGATGAGGTCAGGACTGTATAATGTGCCAAATATGGCGATTTTCCACCTAACGTACCACGCATTTTGACTGATTACTCAAAAAGTTATGGAATGCCCATCATGAAACTTGCAGGGATGCTAGTGGACATGATAGTCTGTCTTAAGTGTGAATATGAAGAAAATTGAAGGACGCGCGTTTTTTTTGCTATTTCCAATTTAAGTTTTTGGTCTTTTATAATTTTTTTCTGGTCCAATTTGGGAAAAAATGTCATGAACTTGAAGAGAGCTTTAAAATGACACCTGAATCAGCTCTCTAGGTGCCATACTTCCAGAGATATGAACACTTTTGTAACGCATGTCATGCTAGTTAGCCAAAAATTCATTAGCCCCTATCTCACTAATTAGATGGCTTTGAACAAAAATATTTGAGCTCTGACAGTTTCTCCTGAGGGCCAATCACTCCACCAAATTTCATCAAAATCTGTGACGTGAGTGGCGATTCTTGGTTGAATTGACATGGAATGACCCATATGGTATGTTGTATCTGAACAGGTTAGCTTATGAGCTAAAGTTACTTAGCACAGATGAAAGTTAAAACAAAGACGTTTAGCAAACTGTTAAAGCACACAAACCATCATCATATGAGAAATCCGACGCTATGACTCTCCACAAGTTGTCCTTCAGGTCGTTATCTTTGTAATGTTTGTGTTTTTTATCAAAAATCACTCTGTTCTCCGACACGTAAACAATTAGCCGGTCGGCCATGTTGGATACACTGGTGAATCTGACGTCGCAACAACACGAAAATCTGATTGGTCAGAAGTGGACACACAGTTTGCGAAACTTTAGAAAAATCGACTGTGATACGAAAAAATAAATGCAGCAATATCGCAGGACGGGAAAAGGTTGCTGATGTGAACGCTTGTATTGACAGGATACGGGTTCGAAAAAAATATTGACGTCCGAAATAATCGCATGAGAAAAACGCTCCCGGTGTGTAAGGACCTTAAGTCTGCAGCTGCTCTCCTGACATGTGATGGTGAGTTTCACAGTCAGCCATCGTGCAGTAAAAGCACCGACTGTTCCCACCTGACCTTGAGTACTGACAGCGCCGTATGACATTCCTCTGTTTAATGAGTTTACAGTGAGCCAGGTACTCGAGGCGCCGACGGAGTTTAGTTAAATTACACCAGCGTATTATGAATGACACCTTTTATTAGCTTAAGTTTCAGAGTTGGAAAAAACTTCTCAGCTGTCGTCATAATCTTGTTTAGCTGCGGCCTTATCAACGCCAAATCCCTTCATTGTCTGTCTCTTTTAAGGAGTGGAGGCAGGAAGACGTTTCTCATTCACATCGCTCGTGTTGTGACGTAACCACAGCCGCGTTATGTAATATGAAACCCAAAAAAATCCTACGGTTTAATTTTCCCTCGCCCCTGGATGTGAACCGTAGATAAAACTGGATTCCTGGGACCTTTGCATCCATCTTTACAGTTTGAAGTCAGAGCATGTGATTGTGTTTACCCTCTTTTATGACTTTTATTTATTTTTCTTTTAGTAAAAATGTTTTTTTTTTGCTGCTGTAGTGTCAGCCTTTCTTCTTGTAATATACCGAGTGTTTACTGAGCGCCTTTCCGTGGAATCCCATCAATGATTAGCTCATTATTAAAGTGCAGCAGGACTTGAAAAGGACGAGTGTAAATCTGGTTTCTCCTGTGCGGTGTGAGCTCCCTGCCAGCAGCACATTACTCCAGAGTGCTCTGGGGTTTTTCCCCCGCTGTCTCTGTCAACAGGCCCAACCCTGAAAACAAAAGAGCAGGAAAAAAAAAATCAAACATCACATGCGTGTTCCTATGAGCGCGCTCATTCGGTCGATCCATGCGTCTCTTGTTTCGCAATGATCGGGTTTCCTCTTTCTCTTTTCTTTCTGTGTCTGTCAGCTCTTTGTCACAGATTGGAATAAGAGGTTAAGAGCCCTCTTTCCTCTTTTGCTGCTTAAAAGTCAACAGTGCTGCCCGATAAACAGGTGAACAGGTTTATTCTCATCAGCGTAAATAAAAAAAAAAAAGAGAAAGCAATCAGCAGGAAGCTGTAGGAAGTGCCTCCCAGGGGTGTGTGCAGCTGTGCTCTTCCTATAGACCACAGTTCATAGCACATTTATATCTATTATGAATAATGCAGGGTTTAAAGCTCCTGTAAGGAATTTTTGGCTTGTGGTTTCAGGCTTTAAAAATCACCAAAAAGTAATCACTTTTGCAGTTTGTAGTCTTGTATGCATTTAGATTTAATAAAAAGCACTTCTATGAGTATGAGTCTATGTGTCTTTAAAAAACTCTCCACAGGAGCTTTAAATTTCATAATATCACAGTTTTTCATTTAAAAAATGATGCTCTCAGTTATTATTGATTACAATAAAAAAACTGAAGAAGAAACCAGAAAGATGAAGCCGAGATGGGTCTCAAACTTGTCACCTCAGCCGCTTTGCTAGCGTATTTATAAATTATGACATTAGCTGTAATGTGAAAGACCACAAAGAAATATTATTGAGCTGCAGTTTACCCTAGCGTCTTTAAACTCTCCATTCTGGTTTTCAAGTCCTCACTTTTGTTTCTCACGAACTCTCACTGCTGTCATCTGTGTGATTTCAAACAGAGACAGGCAAATATAAGAAAGGTTGTTGTTTTTCTGTCAATCATAACAAATTAATAGTCACAGTTAGTAGCTAAATGGACTTTAAGGGCCCGTCTCCACTTTTTTATTTACTTTTTTTTTTTTGCATTGGCAGCACCTTCCAACTCAAATTCAGAATACATCTTAAGTGTGTTTGTCCCCCTATTCCTTGATAGTGACTGTTAATTCTGTTTTAACTTGCTTATTGTGCTTTTTATTTATTTATTTTTTCAGGGAACTTTATTATCAAAAAATAAAAACAATGCAAAGGAAGCCAGGAAACTGTAGCCTCAAAACAAACTAACAAACAAAACCTTTGCTATTGGTGATGAGAAAATTGTTCAGTTTTAATGTGAATGCTTAAAAAGGCTTAACTGCAGTGGAGTTACTGTAAATATGCCCCCTTCTACTTTTTAAAAATGCCTTCAGTGGACACAGGCCCTTACTGCATTTCCTTAGTGAAAGCTGAATCAGATCTCAAATGGTGGAGGATTTTAAGCTTATTTTTACAGGTTGCCAGGATCTAAATACACTGTATTTTGTCTGGAATGAGTTTGTGATGATAAAGTTGAGTTTGTTGTACTGACGTTAAGTTTTTTTTTTTAACAGGAAAATCAATGAATACAACTTTACGAGTAAAAACAAACCCGCTAACATCAAAACAAATAATGACTCCTTCAGCCTCATATTAGTGTCAGTGGTACTACTTGATTTCTTCTTCTCTGTGGGTCCATGCTGAAGTTTCCACCAGACTCATTGTTTGCATTCCTGCTCGGACGAAGTCGTAAAAAACCACTGAAGACACGTAAACGAGCTGTCAAGTTTACAAGCTCTGTTAAATTTGGATTTATGGGTTTCCTGTTTGGCACTTGTGTCTCTTACTAAAGGATTTCAAATACAAAATTTTGGGCTATATTTAACTCACTCTGCTTGTTTTTGCTGTTTGTGTGATGGCGAGCGTAATATTAATAGAAGTACTTTTGTTTGTGTCGCAGATTTTAACGACACCTTCAGCGACAACAACGACACAGTCGGACAGATCGTCCGTTACATCATGAAAAATGAAGGTAAGTGTCTGACGTATTAAGATCAGGGTCTGTAGCAAACATTGACTGTATTTGGACTTCTATCAGGGACCACAAAGTTAGTACACCTTGCACTGTTTGATTGTGTTGAGAGGTTCATTGTTCCTGTACAGCCCATTCAGGAAGGAAGTGTGTGTTTCTGTGGAGCTGCGGAGGTGTGTTTTTGTTCAAGGAAAGTTCACCTTTAGGACACGGGAGTCTAAATACTTCCTGTGATGAATGTGGTTTCACACGATGAGATTTCCAGCACTAAGGATTTCTACAGAAGTCATCTAGTTGTACTATTTCTACAGAGTTCTTGTGAAGTTGGAAATGAGTCAGGTTGATTGTCGGTTACAGCGCCCACCCTCTACAGACCAGGACAAAGAAATAGAAATGAAGAATCAGACTTTAGAGAGATGCTTAGCTTTAAATCTGGACTCGTTTAAGAGGCATAGGAGGAGAAATCATGGCTCAAAAGGATTCAGTTAAAGTTTCCACTTCCTGTTCAGAATTACACAACATGAGGCTGAAAGTCCTCACAGCGGCACAGGTTTGAGTCCAGCCCTTATGATTCACTGCCCCTACATCTCCACCATATTTCCTGTTTGTCTATTTGTGTTTGTTGGACATTTGTCGTCAACTCTATTTTAACCAAGAAGAAGAAGGAAAATTTTATTTAATAGGGCTGATTAATGGCATTTTTAAGTATTCAGTATCATATCAGCATCGGCCCTCACAAGGCGGATATCATTTTATGTTTTCTGAATTAACTTGACATCTATTTTAAACATGTTACTGGCTTAAATAACCATGAATATTTGATTTTAATGTGCTGGTATAACAGTTAAATAACTAGCAACTATAGCTGGGCTGATTATTGGCATTTTGTTGTACTTGGGCCGATATCACCATTATCTCTTCTATATTAAATATCTAAATCCTTGATAAATTCAGATTTAAGACCCTATTGGCAATATCGGCCATCTCTCATTGTCGGCATTTGAAACACGGATTCAGTCGACCACTGCTGCCTAAAAATTAGTTTCAACAAGGTTCTTATTTACATCCCACCCAACAAAAAGTGGTTGAAAAGACGTTGTTTAGACGTCTTCACCATACCTCTAAACAACATCTAGATTCCGTACATCTAAATAAAGCCTGGTTTTCAGTCTTTTTTTGGGCTTAATTACAGCCATGACGGGCCGACGTAATTTAGCCTGAAAAGAGACATCCAATGATGTTGGGTGTTTGGTGAGATAGTTGTCAACAACTTTGACTTTTCTTAGTCAGTTGATGAAGGAGTAACATAAAGTGATCAATTGTATCCCATACTACCAACTACAGTCAAACAAAAATAGAAAAATATTGATTTAAAAATGATCTATTGTTTATTTATCCATACAACTAAGAAGAAAAGGAGTCAATCTGATCTAATAGTTGGATATGTTTCCATGGAAACAGATTCTGAAACATTAAACTGAACATTTCAGTTTACAATCAAATTTAAACATGTGTCCGAGGTGTCTTTATTTCCCAACTCTCACACCAACATACAGAAAATACAGTTCGAAAAGCAAATGTTGAAGTAAAAACAGGCTGGACGTTTTTCTGTCTTTGACTTTTTAGGTCATTTTGAAATAATGTCGAAGCAGAAAACCATCTCTTAAATGTCTTTAAATATGACTTTGACTAGAATAAAGTGTTAAATAAGAGCCTGAATGAGTAAAATAGGTCTCACTGTTTTCTATGAACTATGATCAGACCCAACCCCCGACTCTTTTCCACGAACCTTGATCTGACTCATCTGAACTGCGGTAACGTGGACGTTTGTACAGCAGGAAGGAATCCCTCAGCTGTGAGTCACTCTCACCATGTCAGCCCGGTCACATGGTGTGGTTCATGATTTATAAATAAACAGACTTACAGCTTTGAAGTCTTCCCAAATATAACCAAGAAGTTTCGTGAAGACTTGGGGAGGAAATCTGTGTCTGCAAAGGACGGAACAAAGAAGGACTGAGTGGACACCATGAGTCGCGGCACAGTCCTTTAAATCTGAGCAAAGACTGCCATCTACAGATCATATCAGTGCAAAGGCATCATTGACAGACTTTGTGAGATATCATATCAGGGTTTATCTGCTGTGTTTGTTAAGCTGGAGTAGTTTTATGTGTAAATCTACTCAAAAATGTACTCATGTTTGATGAATAAGACTGCTGAATGGACCAAAAACCAACAATCAAACCTTGATGGGTGAAAGAATGAGCAATAAGCAACAGTAGTAATCTAATTCACCCAGACTAGACCAAAAAAAGCAAAACTACATTTTCAAAAATCATTTTAGTTTCTCTCTTTTACTTTAAAAACTTGCTAAAATTTATCATCTTAAAGAATCAGAGCAGAAAATGTTGCATTCAAGAGCAACCCAGAAACCAAAAATGGTCATATATACATATATAATTAAGGTCTTCTGAGAGTCCTTGAGGTTCATGCGTGAGGGCTGCGTTGCCAGGATAAAATAACCAAAGCAAAAACAACTTGATTATACATTCAGCCTGAATAATAACTTGAAGTCATCTGGCTTGTTCTTGTAAAAACCCCTCAGTGCCTGATGATGGTATGAGGGCGATACAAGGAGGACAAAATTAGTCAGATGACCTTGCTTGTTGCATCTATACCCGAATATGAAACTCCTTCATGAGTCATCCGTGTCTCTTCTCCTGGAGGTACACACGAGCTCTTTTATCTTCTGCACGCTCATGTGGGATTCAGTGAATGCATCACGGGCAGGCCGTGGGGAAATCTGCGTCTTTAAGCACATTATGGAAATCTGCGTCTCGGTGTTGATGTCTGACTTTATTTAACCGTGCAAAAATCATGACCTTTAAATTTCCTGAGTCATGCTCTGGAGTTTTGTTGCTCCTGTGTTTTTTTTTCCCACTCCTCAGAGGTTGTTGTGTGCATGTGTGGTGTGCCGTTTAATTGTGTTAATCCGTTGTAGCTATCTTTCAATAAGCGCTCTGCTTTTGAAGTCACTGAACCGCACTGCTCCTGCTCTCTAATTCCCAGCGCTACTTTTATCTCACCTTCCCTCTGCTCCTCCTCTAACTTTCTCTCTTTTCTTTTTCAGCCAACTCAGACGCCCTGAAAGCCATGATTCATGATAACAGCATCGACTCTGACGGGTGAGTGCCCCTCTTTTTACCGCCAGATGGCAGCATTAGTCTCCATGAGAGGCTTCACAGCAGACAGGAGTGAGTGTAGCTGGAGAAGAAAATAAACAGAGAGGACAGTCAGCCTCATTTCTCTTCTGATTCGTCTTCAGATTGGCAGGATTTCATTCAGAGTGAGCAGCTGGTTTTGTAACACTCAGAATTTAATCTGGTTCATCATCCATGATCACATCTAAAAACCCAAACTGAGGTACTCTTTCAAGATAAACTCCATATTTAGACAGAAAAACTTTAAATCCTTTTTTTTCGGTTTCCAGAAAGTACAAACTTAGTTTTAAACAAAACTTATTTTCAACATATTCTAAATTTGACAGTTTCATTTTTCTACGCTTTCTGTTTTTAACTCCTCTGACAACAGGAAATAATTGGTAAAATACATAAAAATACGTGGGTGAGCTGTATGTGTGAACAGTGTTCTGTTCAGTTTCGCTGCTTTGTAGGAAAATGTTTCTGTGGTACAGGTTGATAACAGAGTTCGTTGGTATGTGTTAGTGAATCATGATATCAAGGTCCTTAACAGTTTGCTGTCAACTAAATTTCTTGGTGGGAGACCCTGGAATTTCCCTGAAATGTTACTGAGATTATCCTGAAATTTTCCCGACATGTTCCTAAAATCTTTTTTTAAATTTTCTTGAAACTTGCCTGAAAATTTAATGAGATTTGCCTAACACATTATTGAAATTTTACTGAAATGTTCCTGAGATTTTTTGTGAAACTTTTCTGAGCTTTTCCGAGGTTTTCTTGAAACCTAACTGAAAATTTCATGAGATTTTTCTAAAATGTTCCTGAAATGTTCTTAAAACTTTTCCAAAAATTTCCTGAGCTTTTCTTGAAATTTTCCTGAAAATTCATGAGATTTTCCTTAAATGGTCCTAAAATGCTCTTGAAACTTCTCTAAAATTTACCTGACATTTTCGGAAAACTTTCCTGAACTTTCCTGAGGTTTTCTTAAGACTTAACTGAAATTTTCCTGAAACTTGCCTGAAAATTTCATGATATTTTCCCAACATATTACTGAAACTTGCCTGAATATTTAATGAGATTATCCTGAAATTTTCCCAACACCTTCCTGAATTTTTTTTTTGAACTTTTCTTAAAACTTTTCTTGAAATTTTCCTGACATTTTCGTGATTTTTGTCTGAGCTTTCCTAAGGTTGTCTTGGCACAAAATTTTTCTGAGATTTTTTTTTTTTAACTTTCCTGAAAATTTCATGAGATTTATCTAAAATGTTTCTGAAATTTTACTGAAATGTTCCTGAGAATTTTCCTGACATTTTCATGAAATGTTCTTGAAATACTTCTGAGATTTTTTGAAACTTTCCTGAAATTCTTCGGGTGTATCTCTGAAAAGGGACTTAGCATTTGCTTTAACACACTTTTGCTTTTTTATTCCTTTGGGCACATCATGAATGATGCAAGTACATTAAAATCAGTTTTTCAGTGTGATTCAGAATGATTTCAGTGGAGTTAGGCCTTAAAATACATGTCAAACTTTAATATTCACATTTTAAACCTTGTGTCTTCAAACAACCGTGCATCATAAGATCAGGACGTGGCGGTACAAGCTGAGATTAGCCGTCTTCACTTTGCTTTGCTGTCAGATAAAAGGGAGAGCGAGTCGGGCAGATAGACAGAGGAGTGAGAGCAAATTGAGTTAGCCGCGTATGTTTCCCCTCTCTCTCCTCCTGTCATCTTTCTCGTACCCACTACTTATTGTTCTGGGAGGAAAAAGGCTGAGATAAAGAGGGAAAATGTTCCCCTTTGTTGGGAGGAATCAGTGTGGATAAATGGTAGGAGCGGACTGAAGATTAGGTTTTGAGGTTTTCTGCACAGTCACATTGGGTGTTCAGAGAAAAAAAAATCTGCAAACGCACACATTTCCCCTGCGTCACTTTCATGTCTTTAGCTCCCTCAGTTTTCCCTCCAAATCTGTTTTTATTTCACACAGATTTCTTCCATTTTTTTGTCCCTCCCTGTAGTACTCTCCCTCTTTCTTTCTTTCTCTTTGTTATATTCCCTCTCTCCTTTCCAGCCAGGTTGGGCAGTCTGCCAGTGGATCACTTAGAGAAGGGAGAAGGTGGAGGAGGGAGGGAGAGGGGTATCAGCGGGGGTAATTTATGGGACACTTAAAGGGGGAGACAGACAGGCAAACAGAAAGAGAGGGAGTAAAAAAAGAAAAAGAGAGGGAGAGAGGGAGGGATGGATAGTGACTGTAGTGTGGCCAGGCCTCGCTATCTCTCCCTCCAGATTTGGTACTTAACTCGCCTCAGTGCTGCTCTCCACGTCAGTCCTCCAGCATCCACCTCTCCTCCATCCCTCTGTCCCATCGACTCATCTCTCCTTTGCCATGTCAGTTTAACTCTTGAGGATCCAGAGTTTTCTATCTTTGCTCTCACTCCTCAGCTCTCCAATAATAATGCAAATATAAAACCACACGGGCTTTTGTGTTGTACTATTTGCCTGAGCTCAACCCTCCTCCCCTGCTTTCATACTTCCAAAGCTCCAGAGAAGTGTTATTTTAGGGGTTGTCATGAAAAGCCTCGCCAGTAGAGGGCAGGCTGTTATTGCAGAACGATAATACCCACAGGTGCTCAACAGTGACACCTGGTTATAATGCTTGAGTGTCCACTTTCTTATGGCCGCTCGGTTCCCTGTGTGTCTGTGTGTGTCCGTTGCTGCAGTGACTTGTCGTACTGTAGCTCATTAAAGCTGTTTGTCCCCTGACACACACTCACAGGAACACTCACACTGTTTATTACATTTTCATGTCAGTGAGCACAAACTCCGTTCACTCCAGGTTTGTGTGTAAACAATGCGAAGGACCGCTCTCATGGGTCATAAAACATTCAAACAAAGATCCTCTGAAAAAAGAGTCACTAAGAAAGAGTTGTAAAAAAGTGTTCGACTCCTTTTTTCTCTTCGTTGCAAACAAAACATCTTAACATGACGGCTTATTTCTCTCTCTCTTTCTTTCTTTCTGTAGTCCTCCAATGACTCCCACTTCCCCCGGCACGCCAACCCCTCCACTGACTCCCATCTCGCCGGGCGCACCTCCAGGGGCGGCCAAGCACACCTGCAACCACCTGCACACCATCGGCGGCCTGGGCGGCCAGAAGAACATCTGCACGCGCTGCAGCCAGAAGAAATGGCCGCTGATGAGGAGGCCGTCGGCGCGCAAAACGGAACAGCGCCGCAGCCACCACGGGGAGGTCACGGTGCTGGCTGTGGGCAGGTGGGCAGGTGTGTGTGGGTGAAACGTGAGGCTGGAAAAGCATGAGATTTATATGCTTCTTCATGAGGCTTTAAACATCCATCTCGCAGAGTAAACACACGTATTTAATAATACGCCTATAATATGGTTTCTGAGCGCTTTGGCACCAAACTAGTGAACTTAAAACCCACAGGTCAAGGGGTCAGGGGGAATCCTGGAAATAAGATGTTGTTTTCAGTGTGTGTGTTGAGATTTTGTGTGACGTCTCAATGGTTAACTCGTGTTTTGGAAACAGAGATACCTAACAGGTCTCTACCAAAGTTGACTCAGACATTTGGAGCTGCTTGTTGCATCAGGTGTTTCAAACTACTTTTTTTTTTTCACCCAGAGCTTTAATATTCTGTTTTTCTTTTTGTATTTGACAGGATAGAGGAGTTTTTAACTGGTTGTGAAATGACTGGAATAAATATTGATGTCTCCTCATGGCCTACAAAAGCAAACCCAGACCATCAGTAACTAGTTAGACGTAGCTTTTGGGTGTTACTTTTTACACAGCTCTAAAACTTATGCAAGTACAGAAAACATCTTAGGCTAGCTGTTAGCACCCATGTTAGCTCCCCTTTATTCGTTAGCTGTTGTAATAAAGTTACAGATATGTTATGGCGCCTACCTTTCATTGATGGAACAGCCGCAGATCTCCAGTATTTGTTCATTCTAGCCTTTGTTGACAAATAGGTCAACGTTGTAGTGAATGAGTACAAACAGCAACATTTTGATGGTTGGGTATTGTTGTTCCAGACACATAAAAGCTTTCAGCTGTCTTCTGATGCCTTGTCTACACAGAGGTGAAAACTATATAATGGCGTTTTGTTTTGAAAAAGTCTTTTGTAAAGACGAAATCATTTTAAGAAATGTTTGCATAAACATGAAACCACCAAAAATGATGCAGTGCATATCCCAAGCCAGTAAGTAGCGCTATAACTCTGCCCCGGTCATGCGCTAAAAGACGGAGGAAGAGTTCACAGCATGTGGATACGCTGTGTGCTGTAATCATTTCAAGAGAAATGCCTTTTCACATCCACACAGAGAAGAAAAGGTAGCCATATACCAATTAATGCACTCTGTCACCCGTTTTCAAAAAGTATCGTCACCCCGAAACGCCAAAATTTCTAGCATTTACTCCTGAATGTGCTTCCGTGTGGACAAGGCCTAAGTCAGCATGTGAAAATTTAGAAGACTGCCTGAGTGGGCGTGTCCTTGAAAGAGCTCCATTGAAGCTGTTGGGTGGGCGTGTCCTTCAGCATCGTCCTGATTGGGCGGCAGAGCCTGACATCACGTTCAGATTAACCAAGCTTGTTTTGCCAGGTTAAAGTTTTAGATACGTTTTAAAAAAGCTGATTTAAGCGAGATGAAACATCTTTTCAACTCTTAATGCATTTGAAGTTTGTGTGAATCCAGAGAAAAAAGTGGCGAACTTATAGAGATGTAATAATTAAGAGTATTTTTAAGGCCATCTCAAATTAAATTCAGACCATTACATTGAATCAAAAGTTGTGTTTTGCATTTTCATGCTGCAGGGGAAAAGTGACTTTTTTCAGTGTCTAATAAAAGGTAGAAGACAACAGACTAAACCCTGACTCTGCCTCCAAAATAAAACATGTCCCTGATCTTTAAATTAAAGACCACCTTTCACAGTCCACCAGCGTGTGCAGCCTCGTCCTCGGCTCTTAACAATCCAGCTCAACATCCTGCTGTGAGCTGATTGGAATTCAGAGAGGCTGCTTTCATTTCAGGCCCAGATGAATGGACACGCACACACGGGGTCAACACGACCTGGATACGAATATTCATTCGCTGATTTAATTAAAGCTGCCGGAGTGTGTGTATGTGTGAGTGTGTGTGTGTGTGGGAGGAAGGAGGTGTAAACTTTAGGTGAGAGTCATAGTGGAGCTGATACCCACTGAGTCATGCTACACTCATTAAAAGACTATTTCTGTGTTTCGGTACATTATTTACAAAAATCACCTGCAAGCACAGCCAGACATGTTCTGTTTTATTTTGACCCAGATAAATCTTTCCCCCCGGGGTTTCTTTGTAAAAGTTTGAAAAGAGTTGCTCAGTAATCACCGTCCTCGGTGTTTGTTATTTCTGATTTGACGAGTCAGCTCTGCTTCCAAAACTTTTAACATTGTTTATTTGCTCGCTGTTAGGTTCAGGGTGACAAAGATTGAAAAACCAACGAGGGAGAGGCGGACTCTGCTAATATCAGACTCAAACGGCAGCGTTCCTACGTCCCCCGTGGAGTCAGAGCCGAAGAGCCGGACCACGTCAGAGTCCCAGCAGGTCTGTATCCTGGAAACGTCTCCTTTTTTTCTCTCTCTCGCTCTCTCATCAGGCTACTCCCCACTGATGCTCAGTGTTTAAATGAGTGTTGTTTGTGAAATGCCAAACCACTGATGTAAGTGTGCTTGTCAGTCCTGAGCGCGCTCACAGTCCAAATCAAATTAGTTTACGAAGCACTAAAACTTTGTACGTATGAGGAAAATGTATAAAAAAGGAAATGATTGCAAAGAGCAGGGAGGGAGAAAATCATCAGTATAGGGCACAAAGAGAGAACTGATCGATTAATGGTTTTGGGAGGTAGAGAGAGAGACCTGAGTGTCATCGGTGTAACATTTGAATAAGAGGTTATGTTGATGACATTATTTTACTGAATTGGAAAAACAAAGTGGGCTGAGGATGGAGCCCTGACGCCCTTACGCCCTTGTAAGAATGCTCACAGTTCTAAAAAGTTGTACATATTAGGAAATTGCATAAAACCCCCCAAAAAATTACAAAGACAGGGAGGGAGAAAATCAGCAATAAGGGGCACAGAAAGTCTGCTATATCAAAAGAGAGACCCAACTGTTCAATTTATGTTTAATAGGAGAGAGAGAGAAATAGCTCAGTGTCATCAGCGTAACATTAGAATAAGAGGTTATGTTGACGACATAATTTTACTGAATGGGAAAAACAAAGTGGGCTGAGGACGGAGCCCTGATGAACACCAGAGAATAGACTTGTTTGCTAAAAGAATCACTTTCATTTATGGTTAATCTTCCAATGTTTTATTGGGAGCATTGTGACCTTAGGCCCTTGTAAGCATGCTCACAGTTCTAAAACATATATGTGAGGAAATTGCATAAAAACCAAAATAATTACAAAGACAGGGAGGGAAAAAAGCAACTGTCAAGGGCACAGAAAAGTCCGCTATATAGAAGGAAGCCACATACAGAGACCTGACTTATTAATTAATGGTTTTGGGAGGTAGAGAGAGAGAGACTTGAGTGTCATCGGCGTAACATTTGAATAAGAGGTTTGTTGACGACATAATTTTACTGAATGGGAAAAACAAAGTGGGCTGAGGATGGAGCCCTGATGGACGCCACAGAATAGACTGGTTTGCTAAAAGAGTCACTTGCATTTACTGTGAATTTTCCGATGTTTTATCAGGAACATCGTGACTTTACGATCTTATAAGATAAAAGGTCATAAAGTTTCTGCTCGGCTAATTAAAAATAAATACAAATAGTCAAACGTTTACTTAGTCACCATTTTGGAGGCTGTATTCGAAGATTTTGCGTGCCAAATACATGTCTGTAACATGTTTAACATTGTTGTCTTGAGACTTTTCTTTATCCTTTCGTAACCTCAAACTTTTTTTAGCTAAAAAGGAAAAATCCTGATGGACTCGCCTCTGTCTAAGAAGCTGTTTCTGTATGTTGGTTAAGATTTAAGTCCTGAAAACAGGAGCACAGCTTCGTTATCCGGCTCAGGGGTTTTATAGATCCATGTCTGTTCAGGTTCACGTGCTTTGACTGAATCAACATCGAAACCTAATTTGTTTTAGGGTGAAAACATTAACTCATGATTCATCCATGACACAAATAGAACAGATCTATTTTCAGCTTTACAGGACGTTAAACATCCGGGTTTGTTTCTTTTCAAACTATGAGCTCATGAGCTTTCCATTGGAGGGAGTGAACGAACCTTTACGGCATAAAAGTGACTGATTAACGGATGACTATTTCCTGGTTTGAACCAAGATTTCTCTTTCTCCAGGCGGACGATGCAGACAAAGAAAAACGATAGAAACCAAAGGTAGGACGTCTTTCTCTCTCTTTCTTCTCTAAATGTGTTTTTTTCTTCATGTCTTGGTCTCAACATGTTTTTTTCTTTTTTTTGCAGGTTTTTCAAAGGAGAGGACAAAAAACAACATTTGGACACTAAGTAAAAAACCCAAACCAGAACACTCAGACATCAGCACTGGAGGAGAAAAACTCGTCCCTCTGTTATCGCAGCTCCACCAGAGCCCAAAGTGCTGCTGCTGACGGTGTTGATGAGAGTGACGGAGGCAAAAAAAAGTGACACGCAGAGTCACACCAGCGCTCCATTTCCTACTGTCGTACATGTACAATAGTGCCTTGCTCTTGGACAATAGCAGGGTGGCTGTTTGATGCTGCTGAACCACGTTGTGTGTACATAGGATTTTGTATGAGGGCGTTTTAAACATCAGCCAGTTAATTAAAGTGCGCCCAAGAAACCGGATGAGCCAGTCTGAGATTAAATATTGTTATTCCCAAACAGGACGCAGGTACAACCTGATCGCAGGACAAGGAAGTAGAAAGAAGCGCGGCATCCTGGAGTGACGTGAGGATGACGTCAGCATTGAGTGGGTCAGAAAAACGCTGCTCAGTCTGACCGTGTCACATTGTCTTATCATTTTTCTGGTTTCTCACGCGCAGAAGAGCCACAGTTCCATCTTTAAACGTACATTTGTTGATTTTCTTCGCCCCTCTTCAGCTTCAACGTGACGGTTATAAATTACAGAGCTGCCAAAGTGCACACGGATGAATGTAAACACTCTTCTTTTACCTCTGTTTCAGTCTAATCCAGAGCCATACTATTCATCGAAAAATGGACAGGCCTTCGAATAAAAAGTGCCTCAGTTGCATCATGGGAAATGTAGGACTTGAGGCTCAAAGAAAAGTCACTAAAGCTCGACCTCTTTGTCTTTGATTTTAATCGTTTTTTTTTTACTTTGTGTTTATTTTTCTTCTTCTACGTTGTTTTTCTGTCTCGTCTCGTGAATGTGTCTCGTTTTTTTTAAAACACACTGTTTTGTAAGTATTAACATGGAGCAGTTTGCTGTGTTTTTATTGTTGTGTACTGTATGAAAAAAGGCAAATAAAGATGACTAATGCATATCAGACTGTAGATAACTCACAGTGTTGTTGTCATTTAATTATGCGCTGTACACCAGCCGAGACATTTGTACATTAACGGTGATAAAAGCCACTGTCCGCTGACTCGCGGGCCGACCCTCTCCTCCCTCATCTGACTGAAACATCCGTCTTCATATTTTTCTCTTTCTCATTTCCTTCTTCCATCTCTGCTGTAATGAAAAGATGATTTGTCTTCTTCATCTCGAGGAGGTAGTCCTGACGACCCCAGGCTCTCTATTATATTATTTCCAGATAATGGAGGTGAGGCGGAGACGAAGAGGTGTTTTTGAGCTGGATGTGCAACAGCGAGGATTAACAACTCTTGACATTTTGTTTCCTCTTGACCTTCGGATTCCTATCAAGTTCACGGACATGATTTTATAGATTAGAAAAAAGGCTTATTTACACACGTGCAGCTAAATAATTAACTCTGAACAACAACAAGGCAGTGAGGAAACTAGATTTCTGAGTGACACATGGCGGCCACCGGTGTCACTTGACAGAGCTGGAGGGGGGATTGACTTTCAGAGTGTTGACAGGGACGAGGAAACATTCACACGCAGCGGAAAAGAAACCCACAGCACCACCCCACCTGTGTCTGTAGGCAGACAAACGCAGTCACAGGATAACTCGAGGGTGTGAAACCTGTCTTGATAGATGTGGTTGACAGTGCAGGACGTCGATCCCGGTGCAAATATTGACTCCAGTTGCACGTATGTCTGTTTGCTTTAGCTCTTAGCCGGGGTTAAAAATGGACGAGGATGAGGGTGTTACCAGGCTTGTGTAAAGTTTCTCAAATCAGGCATGCACGTAACATTTAGTAAAGTTAATAACAAGCTCTTTTCTGTCTCTTTTGCATGACTTCATAAGCAGTAAATTTATCTCAGGCACTGAATTATTCAGGCCTCCTGGCGACAGGCTCCCATGCCGCTGCCAGGCTAAGTGCCCTACATCTTATCTTTGGCTCTGGCTATCAGCCAGGAGGAGCGAGCTGTGGCTCAGGGGTGGAGATGGGGGTGAGTGTTTTTTTTAAAGAGAAACATTTGGGACTAAGGGGAGGAGGTCGAGTCAATGTTTAACAGCTTTAGAGAAAGAGTCAGGTACAGTGACCTTCTGAGATGGCTCACTGCCCACCTTACCCAGGAAGGAATGACTCTTATGATCATTTCACCAGGTGTAGAAGCACTGACTTACTTTGGCTTCTTGTCTGCTGGGAAGGCTAAAGTTTGCGCTAATTTCAGGGTTAGCAACCATGCACTGCAACTTGACTCAATTTAGGATTTACAGACTTTCTCATCTTCACACTTTTTCACGTTTTCTTCCTCTTTCTTTGGCGTTTTATTTTTGTGTAACCCTAAAACACTATCGCTAAAATTAGTAACACCATCACTATCGACAGGTGATTTTTACCTGAAATAATATACCCAAGAAAAAGTACCTGTCATCAAAGTATATCAAAAAAGGACAAAACATGACAAGTAAAAGTAGTTTTCTATTATTTTTAACTAATGTCCAAAGGGAGGGAAAAAAAGGGCCATGAGGGGACCATATAAAAATACAACAAAATGTCTATCTATCTATCTATCTCTCTATCTATCCATCTATCCATCTATCCATCTATCCATCTATCCATCCATCCATCCATCCATCCATCCATCCTTGTATAGCTGGTTAAGACTGGGGGTCCTTGGCACAATTACAGCTGCAGGAGAGAGAACCAAAATATGGCAGATTTTGAGAGATAAAAATGACAAGCTGACTAAAATATTTCTTATCACCATATTAATTCTCTTAAAAATTACCACTTTGTGATAGTTATTCATAACCACTCTGCTAAATAAAGATAGCATGCAAATTCTACCAAATTATACCGCTCTTACACTCTAAAAACCCCTGGGTTAAAAACAACCCAACTTGGATGAGACAAAAGGGACCGACTACTTTTTGGGTTGTTTTGTTGGGTTATTCAAATTAACCCAAATTTTGGGTTGACTCAATAACTCTTTTTAAGGATGAAGTTAACCCAATCTTCGAGTTAAATTGATTCATGATCTTGGGTTGAATTGATAGATGCATTTAGGGACCTTTTTTTCGGGAGCTTTGCTCGTACAACCTGTTCTGTCTGAGTCGGTATGGCTTTTGATGGTGCACACTTATGTTTATGAGGTAGACCATAGCGCTAAGGGTCTTGCCTAAGGACCCACACGAGTAGATGTACGAAGGTCACCAGGTCACTTTAATTGCCTTTAGGCCTAGAAACCACGTAGAGTCAATAAAACGTTCTGACCCAATTATTGTGTTACTCTCAGAAAAAATAATTATTAACCCATTCAAATAACCCTCAAATTGGGTTACAATAGAATCCATATCACCCAAGAAATGGGGATGGATCTGAAAAATAACCCAGAAATTTAACTCAACACGTAAAACCCAGGAATTGGTTTGAAGAAATAACCTTTGTTTTTAGAGGGTACTGACCTTATTTCCAACATTCAGCTATCAAATCCACCCAAACCTACTTTACCCTCTATCACTGCTGCTGGGTAAAAATCATCCTGTGAACACGTGTCTGTAGGAAAAAACAGGTTTTGGATCAGGGAAACAAATATGCCTTCAAAGATGTCAAAGGTAATGCTGAAGCTACACAGGAACCCATGATACTCAGACAAACACAACATGATGAAAATCACGTAAACAAAATCACCTGACCGTTAAAGTTCCCATGGATAAACGATGAAAGGTTAGCTAGCTGCTGACCCTGAACTGGAGCCTGTGTAGTATTAACAGACCCGGAAAAGAAACTTTCAGCCACATTCTATCCTTGTTTAGCTCGTCTGCTTCAGATTTGTGTTGATATAATTATTAACCAAGCTGAATCTGTCAATTTACTCTGTTGGAGGTATTTTTTCCTCGTTGAATACCAACCTGTCCATCCCTCTGAGACAAAGGAAGTGTGTGTGTGTACCTCAATTACCGGTGACATCATTAACACCAACAAAGCCTTGAGAAAAACAAACACGCTAACCGAGCGCACACACACACCTCGGGGACTGTACAGCCGGCTGCTTAATGGACCTAATAAAAACAACACGGAGGAATCTGATACACAAGTGCTCTGCGCTCGCTAACGCTCCATCTAAATTCAACACACAGCGGGTTGTGGCACAAATTAGCTTGTTGCTAAATTACCTTGGTGCTGTTATCTCAAGGTGGGGTGAGGGGAATTGATTGCAGCGAGTCACCCGAGTGACAGTGAAGAAAAACAGAGGCAGACAATAGACAACAATTAACTTTTTATTATGAAAGATCGAGTACATTCAGATAACGGAGACGGCCATTTCTATATTTATAACACACCAGTGTTAATTTGAAATCTTGAAAAAAACACTGGTTCCTAACCAGGTAAAAAGAAACGGGTTTCCAGTTATGTCCAAATTAAATGTTCCCTGCTCTAACACACCTGATTCAAATGATTAGCTCGTTATCAAGCTCTGGAATGGCTTACTAACGAGCTGATCATTTGAATCAGGTGTGGGCCTCGAGGACTGGACTTGAGAACCACTGGTTTAGGGAGACCATACGTGCTCTTTTACATGTTCTCTTATTTTAGGGCTGTCCAGCTTTGTCCCGGGGATTTGTATGGAAGTTTTGGGTTTGTGTAACGTGGACTTACTGAGTTTGAAGCGTAAAAAACACTCAACCTGACCCGCAAAACCCTCAAAATTTACTACATGCCACTCCACAACTCCACCCTGCATAGCAGTGTCCTCTGTTTGGGGATTAAGAATATGGTCACCCTAATTTAAACAACTTTTAAAAGCTATATTGTTTTTTTTTTTTGATAGATATAAAATTGGGCGAATTTCATATTGATGCTTTTTTGTGATACGAGAGCAAACAAAATAATTAGAAACAGGATTGATGATTTTTATATTGTAGTTTTTAGTGCCTGAAGTTGGTATAGGGGGGTGTAAGCGAAGCAGTTGAAAGAAAAGCAATTTTTTTCCCACTTTCCACTTTAGATAGTCGCAATAAATAATACATTTGATGATCACAGGCCAGAATAATGAGATTTTTATCTATTTTACAATGCCAATTGATGTGTTTCAGAAGTCAAAACTTTATTTTTTTCAATGTTATTTATTTTCTTCTATTTTTTCTAAATTAAGACTTTAAATACTTCAGAAGTAAAGCTTCATTTTTGGTGAAGCAAAGGTGGTTGGTGGTCATGATGACCTCAAATTCAGAGCACCTGTGTGTTTTTTTAAGACACAGGTGTTCTCAATGATGAGCTGTATTTAGCCCTGTGATCGGCCTTTTGTCAAACATTTGGCATACTCTTTGAAAGCCTGTCTGTGCAGCAAGTTAAAAGAGTGTTAAATTCATTTTTAGGTCTTTTTAGCGGATCATGAAAAGTTTTGAGACAGGGTTTCAGACTTAGACACTGGTGGCTTTCTTTTTAAACATCGACAGACTGCTCCTTTCCTTTAAAACGGTGTTTGTTCCCAGCTTTTTAGAGCTTTAAAGGAAACTTATGTGAACTATTTACTGAAGGCTGAGAGCAAACAAAAGATAGATGGGAGTGTTTTGGTTCATGAGAACAGTGTCATTCTGAAGAAACAAACTAATCCCTTTTAAATACTGATTGATTAGTCAGTCCCACATTTAAAAGACAACATAGAGGCTCTTAAGCTCCAATTGTGAACAAATATATATATGAAATATGCTGCATGTGTGACCATAAACCCTTTTCCCAGAATCCAAACTCTTGTTCGTCGAGTTCACCGCCTCTCCAAAATCTCCCTTCTGAACTTCACACTCTCTTTCCTGCCAAGCCCCAGCTGTATTTCTATCTATAAATACATAATTTACTGTCTGTGAATCCTTGAACTGATTGAAAGGATCAAACTAATCTGGTGACGCACGAGCCGAGCTCTGTTGTTTCAGTGCCAAACGACGCTCTGATGAAAAGATGACTCACTGGTTTGATTAAGGAGGAACTCCGCAGGATTGTGTTTTCATCATGCCGCACAGATACATGGGAAAATATTCTCCTCTCGTTTCAGAATAGAATCACAACAGAGCTGTGCCGGCAGAGTTCAGATTATCTGGATAAATTTTTAAAATATATGTGCAGTAATGTTTGCCCTGTCGATGATCTTCATGTGGACGTTTTTATATTTGACACAGTTAAAGACTGATGTTAAACCCCTCAGTACAAAATCTCATCGCTCTGCTGAGAACACCGAGCAAAAGCCTTGTCTTTGCTAAGATTTGGTAGCACTGTCAGGAATATATACGGTGGCCCTGAAGGTCACTTAAACAAATATTTCAGGAAGACAAAAAATGAATAATTCACAGAACAAGAAAACATTTAACATGAACAAAAATACCTGAAAACTTTCAGAGAATTAAGGATGACCAAAAATTCAAAAGAAATAAAAAAAAAAAGGGAAACTGAAAATATTTTTTTTCATGAAAACATGAAAATAGTTTAGTAACACCGATATATTTTGTAAACATACTTTAAAAAAAAAAAAAAATATATATATATATATATATATATATATATATATATATATATATTTATATATAAACAAGCAAAAAAGTTCTACAAAACACACATTTGTTTAAAAAACCTTTTAGAAAATGTATTTTGTTTTTGCATTTTAAAGAAGTATAGATTTTTTTCTTTTAGAAATGTATAAATCTTGCAAATCTTAAAGTATTTTGGACATGCAAATAAATTTTAAAAACAAAGATATTCCACATAAAACAAATTATGAAAACAATAAATTTTGTTTGTAAAAGTGTCTTAATTTTCAAAACAATAAAATTCTCAAAAAATTTAAAATGATAGAAAATTGTAACTGTAGACGTATCAAATAAATCTTGAAAACAAAAATGCTGAAAACACAAAATGATTTTAAAAACATATAAACTGAAATTAATTTAGGGTTAGGGTTAGGTTTTGAACCTAAGAGTGTGATAAATTTTTGAAAACGTAAATTTTAAAAATATTGTTGTATTTTGGGAATGCCAACAAAATTTGATGATAACCATATCTGTGAAAACACAAACACAGTTATGTTTACAAGTTTGCGTAATGTTTTTAAGTTTATAAAGACAGGATCTCATCACGTAAGCGTCACTTTTTGGACTGGGTGCCATCATCATGAGCTGCAGTCGGGTTAAGTTAGTTTTAAATGTGGTTCTGCTCCCTTTTGAAGACGTCAGTGCAGAAGAATAAGCCTGTTTGTTCTCCAGCTTGTGGTTTTTCCCCTGACTAAAACAGCCCACAGCGTTATCTATGTTAACTATGGCCATCACTGTAAGAAATTTAAAAATATAAACACAACAGCTCCTGGTCACAAGCTTTCTTCGTCTCGCGCTCATGCTGCCTGAAGGCATGTTGTTGAACACATTATATAACATCATTTACGTACATGTAAAATAGACGTTATCCCAAGCTCAGCTGGAGTCACGGTGGTGAATGAAAGTTCTCACTGTGCTGCACGTGAGCTTATTTGTTTTTAGTTCAGTGAACGGCTGCCTGAAGCGAGAAAGAGAGGACAGAGTGAGATATTGTTTAAGTTTTTGATCTTAAAACCCCCAAAAATGAGAGGACTTTACTCTGTGAAAATCAAATTCCATCCAAAAACACAAAAACTTGAAGTAAGACGAGATCGGGACAGGTAGCATCGGGGTAAACATTTCGTAACATTACAACTTTATTGACTTACGGCTTGTTTTTGTTGTGTAACCTAACAACTTTTTTTTTCTCATAGAAAATTATTTTACTAAGACTACTTACTAAGTTTTTTAAAAACAGTGACTTGAAATTGTAATTTTTCATGTGGCCCTAATATATCAATATGTGTTAGAAAGTTCAGCATTACTAGGCTAATGCTAGCTTGCGTTACCAAAACACTGAAAATCTTATAATCGATATCTGAGAACTGAGCTTTAAACTGAGGTTATTAAGGCAAAAAAATCACCACCTCCTCCCTTGAGGCAGTTGATTTCTCTCGCGTGGATCTCTTTTTGGTCCTCCACCGCTGTTGCCTTAGTTACAGGTGAAATTGGCGAGTAAACGCTCTATTCTAGAATGTCACTGCTACAAGTCACTCGTTCTACGCACTGCACCTTTTAGATCAAAGAAAGCCCAAATTAAACCCCGAATTTTGTTTGTGAGGGTCCTTTCACACGAGGACTGTTTTTTACATGCGAGCATTTTGGACTTCAATATTTTTTTCGAACCCGTATCCTGTGAATACAAGCGTTCACATCAGCGACGTTTCCCGTCCTGCGATATTGCAGCATTTATTTTTTCGTATCATGGTCGATTTTTCTAAAGTTTCACATACTGTGTGTCCACTTCTGACCAATCAGATTGCTTGTTGTTGTGACGTCATATTGACCGGTATATCCAACATGGCCGACCGGCTAATTGTTTATGTGTCGGAGGACAGAGTGATTTTTGATAAAAGACACAAACACTACAAAGATAACGACCTGAAGGACAACTTGTGGAGAGTCATAGCGTCAGATTTCTCATATGACGATGGTTTGTGTGCTTTAACAGTTTGATAAACGTCTTTGTTTTAACTTTCATCTGTGCTAAGTAACTTTAGCTCGTAAGCTAACCTGCTTGTGAGGGGATAAGTTTTCGGCGTTCTTTGTTTCGGCACATTGTTTCAACAAAATTTACGAAAGCCATCAAAAGTAGTTCCTCTTCCAGGTTTAATGATATTGATGCTCCTCTGCTAAGTTTCAAAAGTCACATTTAGAGAGAAACTAAGTTTCAAGCCTGAAAGAGCACACTATAAATGTCAGGTCCATGGCAAGTAATTACAGGGAGGAGTGGAAGGCAGTCAGACAGATAAAAAGATAGGAGGGGATGGATGTGATGAATAGTTTAATGTCCTTAGAAAAGGCTATTCTGGTGTTATCTACTCCACCTCCTGCTCTAAAACAGACTCAGAGATCGACACTTTAACAGCCTCTCCTGCTGTGAGGAGGTCAAGTCAGTCAGCCCACCAGGGTTTGTTTCAGGCACCGCTGTTGTCGAAGTTTCCAAGGTGCTTTGTGCAAATGTGCTTTCTCACTCTCTCTCTCTCTCTCTGAGTGTTTGTTTTCTTGGCTCAAGGAAAAAAGCCCAAGGGTTTTCATTAGCCGAGCCCCTCGAGGCCCTGGACGTCGCCCACCAATGCTCTAACCGCTGCAGAGGCGAGGTCTTAACAGCAAAGTCCCCGAGTGATGGCGCTTGACTGTGAAGGAGGGCAGAAGCCTTTTGTAAACAAGCAGCGGATGCGATCACAAAATCTCACAGAATACGTTTGATTTTTGACGCATGAAAGAATAACACATTTTTCATGTTTTACAACAAGTTTTCCTTTATTTTACATTACAAATATATCCTTATGCAGAAATAATTTGGCAGGCAAACGGTGTCTTTAAGGGTGGGGAGGATCAGTGAACCTTCATGTAGCAAAACAGCTTATTTAGCATTGAAACACTCTTCAAAAGCCACGTCTTCCATGTTCGGAAAGCCTGGCCTCGATTAGATCATTATTAGGCACATCAGCAAGCTGCGGATTGAACTAATGTCACGAACCAGACAAGAGACACGGAGCCTGACCTATCAAACGGAAAAAAAACTTAGCTATCAGGGCGACTCGATGGCCCCTCTGTGGTCGACTCTGAATGATTTGACCTTTTTGTTGGACTCTTCAAGCTTCGAGTTCAGATTACTTAAAAAAAACAACCCTGTAGAAACAACAGCAACATGAGTGAAATGCACAAATCTCTGTTTTCGAGTCTGTCCTTTGGTAACCTGCGGATCATTTCGAGTATGCATAGATCTCTTGATTTGCCGCGGCATAAAAACAGTGAACTCACACAGTTAACGGCCAAGTAGAATCTTTAACTTCAAGGGTTTTCAGTCTACACTTCTTCAAGGGTAAACATGTTTAACTAAAAAGAACCAAAATTCAATATTTCCTCTGATTGATTCCAACAAAATCAATGAAACGCAGAGCAATAAATAAAGAGCGTCCACTTTCCTTTCGTAATGAATCAAAAGTGATGAGAGTGAAGATGAGAAGAGTTGATGTCGAATATTAGTGATATAAAAATGCTTTGACCTTTCTTCCAGGTAAAACAAAAGTAAGATCCCTGAAGAGATAGCGAGCTATGGCGAGTGTTTCGATAAGCATGATGATGATGATGATGATAAAAGCAACAAGTTCAAATGAAGACCTGTACGTGGGCAGTGTGGACATGGCAAAGCGTCGATGAGGACAATCAGACCTTTTTGGACTGTGGAGTGTTGAGCACGCCGGGACAATTTGGCTGAAGGTCATATTCACAGTCTACGTCATCGTGTCTCTTCATTTGTGGCGTTTTTCTTTTCGCTTCCTTCACAAGGCGGAGTCCACGCTCTGTCGGCGTGAGCGCGATAAAAAAATATTCAAAAATACATCTGTTCTTTTTCTTTGTAAACAGTTTTCCTTCATAAGGGTTCGTGTTTTTCCAGAAGTTTCGTGGTTGGTTTTGAACGTCATGTCGAGTCCTGTTCGGGTCCGTCAGTCCGTCATTCGCACTCCTCCCCTGCCGTCGCCGCCTCCAAAGCAGCGAGAGCTTCGGCCACCATCGAGTCTGTAATGCTGTCCACGCATTCTTCAACCTCCTCGTCCTCGCTCTTCATCACCGAGATCCCGCTCTCCATCGTGGAAACGTCTGGAGTCTTTGGCGGTCTGCGGTCGTCCCTGGTGTCCGCTGAGGACAGGCTGGTGGTGCTGGTGTGGATGTCCACCGACAGGATGCTCCCTTCGTCGCCGGTGTCGCAGGGGTACTCCGGCGTCCCTCCCACGCCCTCGTCTATCTCGTCTGCTGACGGGATTTCGCTGTCGATCATAATGGAGCTATCCCAGCCGTTCCTCGTTGAGCGCTGTTCTCGCTTATCGTGGCCCCTCTGGTTGTCATACTCGTGTATGTTTGGGTAAACAGGCACCTGGCTCGGCCCCCTGTCCTGTATCCACCTCTGCTCTGGTTGGATGATGTACACCTCCGCAGGTGGTGCGCTGCCCTGCCTGTCTTTCGCAGACGAAGGCGCGGCGTGCAGCCGGTGGTTGACATGGTTGTTGTCCGCCTCGAGTTTCAGCGTGCTGTCGCTGGACTTGCTGTAGCCCAGGTTGTGGATGCCCTGCTTCTGTTTGTTGTAGTCGTTGCCGGGGCCTGCGCCTGAGAGGCGGTGGGGGTGGTAGAGCGAGCCTGAGGAGTCAGACTTCCTCCCTTCCCCTGCCACAGATGGATCGTAGATGTAGCTGTGAGACAGACAGATGGAGAAGGTCAAGAGAGTGTTAGTCGAATATTCACGAGACAACAAAATCAGCATCTGGACAAGTATTGAAAGACTGTGCCATTTATCCCAACGGGTCTGCAGGACTCTAGATCAGTTCAAATATCACACAAATGGGTCAATGGCCCAACGTCGAAGCTGGGATTGGGGTTTAGCTGTACTTTTTTCTGTTAACTGTGTTCAGCATCGTTGGATTGTAACCATAGACTTTATATACTATGGGCAACTTGGTTCCGCCTTCCGCCAATATACGGATTATACAGATATACGAAAAGCTCTCGGAATTCCGTGTTTTTTCTCCATTTCCCGAAACCAAAGTTGCGCAGTAGCATTGTACGTATTTGGCGGGAGAGTTGCTGTGATGACGCTTGGCTGAAACAGCGTATCCCCCGAGTGAGCTACGCAATCTTCGTACGCTCATTGGCTGTCTCAAGTGTCAATCATAGAAAACTTTGGCTTTGTTGGAGGAGGCGGGACTTATGACCTTTACTGCAGCCCATCACCAGAGGGTGCTGTTCTCGGAGTGGCTTCACCCATTGAGGAGGCAGACATCGTCCATTCTATATACAGTCTATGCTTGTAACGACGTCCACTTGCTTGTCAGGTAGCTAAGTTCGCTCATTGCAGGATATACCAACAACATCAACATGGTTTGCGAATCAAAGAGTCTAGACCTCAAGAATCAAGTCGACGAAGGAAGAAAACCGTCTACCAGTCTGTCACTTTGCGGCATAGACTGTCCTCAAGACAAAGCGAGAACTGAAGGCAAGATTTGAAACCAGAAAGGACAAATGTGCAGCCGTTTATCTATCTGAGACTCTCCGCGCAGGAAAAAGTAGATAATAAAAACCAATTAAATCTCATTCGGTCAAAGAAAAATAAAACAAGACAGAAATAATGAGCCAAGTTCGGGCGCAAAGCTGAGCTCATTAAGAAGAGTGACAGGAGCGTTTTCACCTGAAACATCGGCGGAATAATCAGCTGGACAATGAGGCGCTGATACATGATGGAGCATTAATTTGATGTACCTCCTGATGAGGTGTTTCCACCGGTCTTTATTGTGTAAACCACCGGTCACAGATCTCGCTGCTTTTTAAGACGACGGAGGTCAATAAAGGTCTGGGACTAATCAAGGCTCTTTCCAGCTCTACGCCTTAAATAGCCTTCGTCGGCTGTGACGGCGGACCGATCCCCCACTTTGAAAGGTTTTCCTCTGAGATCAAACACTCCCTCTCGCACACGTAGAAGTGTATTAGGGATGTTGGCAGGGGGGCTTTTATTCTGCAGGTAGAGTAACAGGCTGTCAGACTCTCCTGCTGCGAGAGCCTCATGTTTGTATCACCTGTCTCTCCTTCTCTTTCATTTGTTTTCTCCTCCATCCCGCACCTCTCCAGGAGCCTCCCCCACCCTCCTCCTCCTCCTCCTCCTCCTCAACCTCCCTGTCTTCCTCCTATAGTTGCCAATCTACCACCTCTTTGCACTTGACTTCTCCTTGATTCGAGCGCTCTCCCTCAAGCTTTTTCCGTCAATTGTCTCGCTCTTTCTTCGAGTCGTCTTCTCGGCTCTCCTGTTTTTTTTTTTTTATCCGGCTTGACTCCACGCCGCTCAGACTCGAGCAGATAACTTTCACATGTATTGATTTATTCGGGTTAGCAGACATACACAAACAGCGCCCACCTACACATTTATAGCCACAATCTCACACTCTGACTTAAGCACCTCGCTCTCACCCTGGATCCCTCCCTCTGTCTCGCTGCGCGGTGGAAACCTGAGAAAATGAATGTTTTCCATTTCACTCCCTCCTGGGCAGCGCCAACGCTGTGTCCCGGCTGCCAAGGTGAAATTTGAGCTCTCAGAAAAAGCGAGGCGCAGACATGGTGTTTCTTTCCTTTTTTTTAAATGATTTTTTTCTAAAAAGGTCAGTGACTCATAAAGGCGCACAAAAGCGAAAATGAAAGTGTATTTTCATCATCGACAGGAGGCTGCTTTTTCCATCAGGAAGCTGTTTTTGAAGGAGGGGGCTGAGGCGTGTTTTTTTTCTTTCTGGTGAAGCAGATGGAGATGAAATGACAGAGAAGGGTGCACAAGTGTCTTTAGAGGCTGCAGCTCTGCAGTGCTAAGCTCTGATTTAAATACCAAAACAGTGTTTTTGCATAGAAGTAGATGCAGTCGATCCCGGGGAGTTCCTGTTGGGATTCCCTCACTTATTTTAATCCTGTTTATTTTAGACCTTTTTAGAAAGAAACCGTCTTTTCTACATACGCTGTAGCTTCAATGATGCATCTCAAACTGCTGATAGTTTCATGAACGAATCTTAATGACTCCCACTTTCAGACTATAACAACACTTACTCTTAAAGTGAAATTAATTTAGGGTCAAACACACCGTAACACAGAGTTAGACACCCCATCAAGAGATGAATGTTGCTGACCGCTTGCTTCTCTAGTTATACCAACTTTAATTACAACTGCAGGGTAGCAATACACAGCGGTCTGAGGAGCCAAAAACAAACCTCAACCAAAACGCCACTCTATAGCCACAAATAATGCTCAGAACAGCACCTAACTTCATCAACAGTACATATAAGGTCCTAGCCACCAAACGTCTTTTAAACTTTGCCTAATTTCTTTAGCAAAGAGACTAAACACAACTCACCTACTCTCTTCCAGCAGCCGCTTGTTTGTAGCGAGACCTCAGGCCAGTCCATTACGGACTGCTGCAGAGTTTCGCAGCTCAAGGAAGAACATTTATGAGCATTTCTACATGGAAATGCAATCAGACCAAGACGCTACAGCAGAAGAACTAGAAATGATCATAAATGTTCTTCCTTGAGCTGTGTCACCCTGCTACAGTCGCTGGACTCGCCTGGAGGTCTCTGTACAAACAAGTGGCTGCTGGAAGAGAGAGGGTGAGTTGTGTTTTAATGTTGTATTTGGTCTCTTTGCTAAAGAAACTAGCCAAAGTTAAAAAGATGTTTGATGGCTAGTACTATGGCTGAGACCCTATATGTACTGTTGATGAAGTTAGGTGCTGTTCTGAGCATTATTTGTGGCTATAGAGTGGCGTTTTGGTTGAGGTTTGTTTATGACTCCTCAGATTGATGTGTATTGCTATCGTGCGGTCGTTACTAAAGTTGGTATAACTAGAGAAGCAAGCAGTCGGCAACATTTATCTCTCGACGGCGTGTTTAACTCTGTGTGTTTGACCCTAAATTAAATTTACGTCGGAATCTTCCTTTAAACCCTGTTTTTAGGAAGGTGTGGGTGTCAGCCATGTTGATATCAAAACCGCTCTGTTGACCCAGTAACCTACAGGCCCACCCTGCCAAACCCACACCACGGCTAAGCCCAGAAATGTGACACTCTGGACAATTAGGGAGGTATGTGTGTGTCACAAGCATTCACATGTATTTCTCTGATAGGGGGGAAGGAAAGAAGTAAAGGTGTGGAAAGGGGGTGGGGGGATTACAACTCTGGTATGCGAGTCTCAGTCTGCCCTTTCACAGATCTACAACCTGAGTCTTGTTACCCGGTTCTGTCTCCTCTCTCGGCTCAGAAAAAGCAGCGGCGTTGAGCCCTGACAACGCCGCCGTGTTGGCTTTTAATGAATAGACAGCCCTGCAAAGAAATACAGTAACCAAGGGTGATGGCTATTGGCATATTGACTCCAAGTTTGTACAAAGAGCCCACGTGAGACTCGGAGTGCAGACGTTTTTATAAATGGACCTCTCACTATCTGCATGAAACAAGACAAGAAATCATTCAGAGGGAACAGAAACATCTAAACTGGCTGTGAAACCAGAGATAAAATATCTGCAGTGACTTTTAAGCCCTTTGACTCCATCTGATTTGACTGATCCAACTCCAAAGCCCCCTGATTGGCTGTTCCTGTTATTTTCAGAGTCAGACACACTTCTCACCTTTTTATCATCCTGCAGCACTGGCACCCCATTTGGCCTGCTGTGATGTGGACCTGCGGGTGAGAAATTAAAGGAGAAGTTTAACTTTTATCTCCCAACGAAACTCCAAATTGAAAAAATGATCAAACTTTCTCGACGACGCGCTCGGATCACTTTGAAGCGATGACATTTTCCCATCAGCGACCGAAGGAAAGGTTACAGTTGACTCTACGGACAGTACAATAACACAGACACACATATACAGACACACTTTGTCAGAGTCCGAGACTTATCGATTGGGGGGTTCAGCGCCTCTGACATGTGAGTGGTTTTTAAATGAGGGCTTCTCTTGAAGATTTCAGCTCATCAGTCAAGTTTTTGCTTTGCCCTTGGTCCCTCTGCTATTTGGACACGAGGATGAAAACTGTGTCTGCCTGAAGCACCGATAAAGATGTTATTGCCATCCATCACCGCTCTGTGTGTGTGTGACCTTTCCTCTCCCGGTGGTGTGTTTCTCTTGGCTTTGGCATTTCATTGCCTGGGTAAATAATTAATCACGGGGTCTTGAATGGGTTTGTCTGCGAGATGAGGAGAAAGAGAGCGACAAAAGGTAGAGGACACACAACGTCTTTGTGGAGTACGAAGAAGGATGTGTCCCCGTGAGAGAAGAAACGTTTCTATTCTTAAACTTAACTCTCTGACCTTGTGGGGTGTACCTTTACCTTTAGCAGGAACTTTGAAGAGAATAAGTGGGAAAATTTTGGTTTTTGTAAAATAAAAACATCAAGAAAAACCTGAAATTCAACACTCTAATGGGGCGCTCACACCAGGCGCAAGTATACTCAACAACTCGCTTAATTTGCGCGAATCTAGTTGCGTGAATGGAAAGTATTTATTCGCTTCATTCGCTCGTCAAATCTTAAGTGGATAAAGGTTTATGCTAATTTAGATGGTAATCCCTGCCAATTCAAGCGGCAGGATCAAGTGATAGACAAAGGTTTTTTCTGACTAACCTGTCCGACCTCCTCACTCACTTGCCTCCAGGCGAGCTCCTTTTTATTCCAGTTTCAGTAATTTACAGAAAAGGTATCTTATAATTCGGATCACCCTCACATCGACATGATCAATTTGTCCTCCATTTTAGATACCAGTGAACAACTGTCAGTTTTCATACGTCACCTGGCAATCTGCTGGTTGGTTATCGTGACGTGAATATCCGCTCAAGTTGAGACATTTTCAGCTCCCGCCAAATTCGCCTCATTCGCACCGTCAGAGTAGTACGAGCGTCTAATCGCGTCTTTGCATTGACTTAACATGTAATTCATTCGCGCGAATGATTTTACTCACGCTTGCTGTAAAAACTATACATTTAAGGGACTATTTTCAGCTGCGGACTGATACACATCCGTGAGATTTTACAATAATTAGCGCAGAGTTAAAGCCATCCTAGTTTTCTTACTCAAAGTTCTTCACATAGAAAGATATGAATGTCGACAAAACTTAATGATCTTTAAATACTAAGAGGACCATCAGCAAAGAGGGCAGTAATGCATTTATGGTGTGATGTGACTGTTTCTTCGTTACTTTCTAGAGAACATGCCAAGACCAAAGAAGAGCTTCAGGGTTCAGTCAGACATCTTTGTGCAGAGCTGGAGAAAGTGCTTCAGGGATTTCTCTGAAGACCGTACTTCTCGTTTTATTGGTGATTATAAAGCACACTGCTCTAAAGAGGGTCCTCTGAGTTTTATGATATCACAATCTGCCTCACAGTGAACACAATCTTCATGGTCGGGTCACTTTTTTCTTTTTTTTTTTTTCCTCTGAAGGAAGAATAAATTATTTGTGCAAAAGCAGCAAAGCATGACTTAGCAGTCCCACAGAGTCTCATTACCCCCATACAGGTTGTCTTCTGCTGTGAGCCGGGATAACAGAGAAGACAAAATCAGCTAAGACAGAGAAATAAAATCCCTAAAAACAAGTCCTCTTGTCTTTGAGTGCTCTCTTTTTCTGTCTTCCTTCTCTCTAGGAACGGTCTCTGGGGATTTTTTGAACAGTTTTCACCTCCGACATAGTCACAACCACTTCCAGAAAAACCATGAGGGCGTTTGTGCCATGCCAAGAGCAGCTCAGAGTGGCACAGAGCTCTGGTGCTTTCAATCGAGGACCTGGTTTTACACCCTGTTGCACCCCGTCAGCTGAAGTGTCCACCTTGAATTTCCCTTTTGGCAAAGCTTTAATGAAGTGCTTGCCTGTATTAGCTAAATTTAACAATTAATGGTCACATTTAAGTAGATGATTCCTCCTTTGGTGCTGGTGTTTTTGGCCTTATCTATATGACTTATTCATCGTCACTTGTAGCTTAAAAAATCTCAGTTTTTCACTCCATTGAGTTGGACCAAAATATGAATGTTTCAAACAATTATTTTAGCTCTAGTCAACCATCCAAAAGAGTGATAAAATAAGTAATTTAATCTTAAAAGAAATTGTTTGTTGAATATGCATCTTATGTAACAGTGTTATGAGCTCTGTTAAGTGTGACTCTTCATTTATCTGTTGGTTTAATCTCTCTGATATCCCTGAGGAGAACAAGCGTCACAAAGCAGGAGGCACATCAGGAACTTTTCAAGCCTTAAGCCTTCCTCATGACTGTTTTTCCCCCTCGTGTGTCAAATCATGGGGATTCAGAAAAATTAGAAAAAGTTATGATCACTGAAATTGGGCACGCCGATGATCAGGGAAACATTCTGCCGCGTGACAAAGAGGAGGCTGTTTTCATGTCTGGATTTATTCAAGACAACAGTAATGGAGCCAGTTATGTATAAAAATCGTTCTTGGTAACCTGAGGCTAAGACACTCCGTTTTAAGGTTTATGTAACTTGGGCATCTCCAAACTATTCCACAAAGGGCCGCATGACTGATGCTCTTCCAACCAATCAAGAGAAAGCAGTCTGGCCAATCAGCTATCTGAAGACTGAGCTCAGCTGATGAAATGAATCAAGTCTGGTGTGCTACTCCTGCTTGGTTGGAAGACAAACCTGCAGCTGCACGGCCCTTTGTGGAATAGTTTGAAGATGCCTGGTCGATGTGATCAGATCGATAAAGTTTCAAATCAACATTTATCAGGTAAAAGTCGGTTAAACTTGATGTCTCTGTTTCTATCTCACCAGATATTCATCAGTTATTGTTGGATGTGAGGTCTTTTATCTGATTTCTATCAAACACTGCGGTCACATCTTCTGACAGGCTGCCTCACGGTTTGCTAATGACGTCGGAAAAAGTAGGCCTGCGCCGGCATGAATTTGGGTTGCGGATTTGCAAGGCAAAGAAGTGTCTGTGGGCTGACTGATGGAGTGATTGTGAGCGTAAGCGTCCTCAGGCTGAACAATCTACTGCCATTCAGCAGAAAGTCGCCCGCAGTCATGAGGGAGCGAGTCCTCCGGGGGTGGAAATGACAAGGTGCTTCTTTAGCAGGGGAAGCTAATAACACAGCTCCGAGCAACCATGAGTAACTATCGGGTGACGTCACAGCACTGATAACTAAGAGACAAGAAAAGTCAAAAACAACTCAGCAAGAAGAAAATGACCAAGAAAACATGACTAACAGGCAGGCTGAGGTATGTTCTGGCTCCCCTGAGTCTACATCCAGCTGTCATCTTCGCCACAGCGTGTTTGCAGAGTAAACGTCCAAAGATACACAGAAAGAAGAAGGAAAACAACCTTAATTCACATTATTACAATGTCTTTTATAATCCATCATCATCAGAGATCAAGAAGGACGCACAAAGTCTAACATCTTCCAGGAGCGAGGGTTTCCCCCTTCATCAGGCCTCAGTCAGGCGTCACAGATCCAGCTGACGACCAAGATTGACATCAGAACATCAAACTAACCAATCATGTCGTTTCCCTGGAGACTCTCCAAAGTCATAATGAGATCAAGGATTCAATCTGAGCATCAAATCACCATCATTCATTCACATACTGCCCATTGTTGGCCGGCAACAACGGAGTTTTATCAGCCGCCTGCGCCGTTCAATATCTTATATATTGCTCCTGTTTTTTTATGACAGGGGAGATCCGAGGACGATTACTGAAGAGGGGAGAGAGGTTTCAGCGAGGGCGGCTTTGGCCGAGCTCCAATTTTTTCAACTTTTCCTCAGAGGAAATTGAAACATTTCATCTTGGAGAAACAGGTGCAATAAAAGTGAGATTGCTGTGGAGTGTGCCCTAAATGTGGAGGGGGATTGAAATCCAGGGGAAACCCGAGGAGGTGGCAATCAGAGTCATTTTAAAACGATTTCTGAGGGGAGGAAATTTCATCCTGGGAGATAAGGCTTAAAATAAATCTTCATGGGGAAAGAGTTTGGGTAGAGCTGATTTGACCTGTTTTTAAAAAGAGAGGTTTTTCAGGACGAAACCCCCAAAACAGAGGCAAACTGGTAAGATAGTTATTTGTTTACTAAACCTCAGCAAAAACACATGCATACAAATAAAAAATCTGTTTTCTTTTAGACGTTGTAGTATTTTGCTGACAGAGAACTTAAAAATCCAACTGTTTGGAAAATATCAACTAGAACCAGATTAAACATGTCAATACAATATTACCTGACTGTAGTAAAGACTTGATTCTGGAGGCAGGATCAGCAAGAAAGGCATGTCAGTGCTGTTGTCTAGGGTGACCATACATCCTCTTTTACCTGGACATGTCCTCTTTTTTAGGGGCCGTCTGTGTTTGTCTGGAGAAGTTAAAAATATCCTTCAAATGTCCACGATTATGTACAGAAGTTTCTAGTTTGTGTTGCATGGACTTGCTGAGTTAGAAGCGTGTAAAGGACACTCGATCCGACCCAAAAAACTCTCAAAAGTAACTTTGTGTGACTCTGTGACTCCGCCCCCGTGTAGTCGTGTCCTCTTTTTGGGAAGTCAGAATATGGTCACCCTACTGTTTTCAGTCATTTAATGTGAGTCTCTGCTTCCACTGAGGCAGTGAAAAGCAATGCCTCTGCTTTAACACGTCCACTACCAACAACAACAGTGAGTCATCTTCCCAGAGATCACCTCTTGTATGAGTAAACAAAACCAGCCACTGGGGTTTCCTTTGGGTCTGTAATCCCTACACAAGAAGCGACTTCCAAAGAGTTTAAGAAAAAAAGAAAGGTTAGCTTATTAGCTAACAAGCTAGCCCGCTAACAGATGTTGATGAGTTGTTTTTTTTGTGTATTCTTGTTGTTAATCATGCGATTTTCATCCCAATATTTAAACTTTAAGATATAAAACACACCCTCAACCACTCCAGATGTCTTTCTAAGATGTTCTTGTTGTGCCTGGAAAACTATCCAACCGTTTTTGAATTAAGTGTGGGTTCGAGTTGCTGGTCTAAACACTGCACATACCAACATCACTAAACTAAATACGGGTGTAACAACAAAAACAGACGATGAATTATGATTGACACATGCTAACAGGCCACAAAAATTCATGTTATCTTATCAGCGGACTATGATAGCACGCTCAGATAGCAGGTCCCTGTGGGCGCATTATATCCCTGTTGTCCTAAAGACTGTAAGAGAAGTCGGTTTATGTAAGCTGTGTGTTATCGTAGAAAGCCATCATTCATATCTTGACACCTGTTGAAGATCAGCCAGAGCTTCAGAGTGTGTGTGTGTTTGTGTGTTTTGTGTGTGAAGGGACAGATCATGTTCCTGTGGGTGACAAGGGAGGGAGGAGGGGGGGCGGTGATGGAAAAGTGGGCCGACTGGTCTAACGTCCATCAGACAGTTTGCTGTTTATGTTTCTTGTTTTTTTATCTTTCCCTTCATCTACAGTTTAGCCTGTCATGTTTTTTGAATATGTCTGGTTAACCTGGGAAGCATGTTTGACCCAGTTATATTTCATCCTCCATCACCATCGTTCAAATTACACCTGAAGCTAACACGACTTTGTTTGTTTTTGTTCATTTTTAAGTCCATGTAAAATTATTCATGCTTTTATTTTGAAGTCACCGAATCTCTATATCTTCCATATTTTTTGACATGCATGTTCCTGACTTTTTGACCTCGAGTCGACTAATTTGAATACACCAGGTGTGATTTGGTCAGCGTATCCATGGCAACAAATGTATTCTATGAGACAACAAACAGCTGTCTTTTTTTCGTTTACTCGTTTCCTGTTTTCTTCTTCAATCTTTACTGATCAGCTGTTCAAACAAAGCACATGTGACTGTATCATGAAGCTTGGTGTGTATTTGTGTGTCACTGTGCGAATTCATATGATGTGCGGTGTCCAAACATCCCTCTCTCGGGTGGCCTTGAGCAGCAGTCTGATAAAGAAAAAAAAAAGGACCCGTTTCCTCTATTTTACCCAGCAGCCCTCACTTATCAATACCCCCCTCCCCTCCCCGCGCTCACAGAGTAAACAGACCTGCTGCTGTTTTCCTTCCATGATCCTCTTGACCCTTCAGCTCTGAATCGCACTTTAACAGGTAAACAAGAGCCTGAAGGGAGAGCGCTTTTAATAAAAGAGAGCCGGAGATAAAGAGGGGACGAAAGACCAGAGGAAACGACCTCTTCATACTGATCTTTATGAAATGAAACGAAACAAGAATCTTTAATCTATCTTTACACATCTATTGAATAATTGATGCCTCTTATCATCACTGACAATATCCCTCTACATCAGAAACTCTGAACCTCTTGGAGAGAACAGGACTGACTCATTTAGGTCCTTTCACGAATGATTAAATATCATCAAACTCTAAAACCTCAAGATACAGAGAAGCAACAATACTTGGCTTAAACTGGAAGTGTTTCATATCTCATGTGTGACTGAGAGTCCACAGGTTTGAATTCATCATTATGGCAGAGGCAGGTAGACAGAATCCTCATCTAAATAATTAATCTTTTGAATTATTGATCGTGTTTTGTCTCATGACAGTCAGAGAATCGTGGAAATAACATCTGTTGAAATTTCCTACAGACATGAAGACGTGTTTGAACGTCAGGTTTGGTTTGGCCTGTGGTCCAATTTACCCAAACAATCAAATTTAATCATAGAAAACAAAATAAATACATATAAATGCATTCTCTAAATATAGTTGGCATTAATTTCAATTATTAACATCTGATCTTAACTGCAAAATATGAAATTATGATCATAAACTTTACACTTGGGTGTGAAACATCAGAGTCAGTGTTATTGTCTTGGTGTGGAGGCAAACAGAAGACATTAAATATTAAAGTGATACAGATTCAAGAGGACCATAATATAGGCTTCAATTTATTCAAGTAGCTCTACCTCCATTCCTGAATTCTGAAGGTATCTTTCTGTTTAAGTGTTTCAGATGTGTCTCTACTCTCTGGGAACATACAGCACAAGACTTAGTTTTTGGTATCTATCCGTTTAAAAACATAAAGAGAAAGTGGAAACTGTTCTGTAGTTTAAAGGTCCTTTCACACCAGGACCATTTTTTTTCGTGTGATTATTTCGGACGTCAATATTTTTTTCGAACCTGTATCCTGTCAATACAAGTGTTCACATCAGCGACATTTTCCCGTCCTGCAATATTGCGGCATTCATTTTTTCAGATCACGGTCGATTCTTTAAAGTTTTGCATATTGTGTGTCCACTTCTAACCAATCAGATTCCATGTTGTTGCGACGTCTGATTCACTGGTATATCCAACATGGCCGACCGGCTGATTGTTTACGTGTCGGAGAACAGAGTGCTTTTTGATAAAAGACACAAACATTACAAAGATAACGATCTGAAGGACGACTTGTGGAGAGTCATATCTACGGATTTCTCATATGACGATGGTTTGTGTGCTTTAACTGTTTGCTAAACGTCTTCGTTTTAACTTTCATCTGTGCTAAGTAACTTTAGCTCGTAAGCTAACCTGTTCAGATACAACATACCATATGTATTTTCACTGTCTCAAACTCAATCCCGTTGCTGTCACAGCACCATTAGGTCTCAGTTGTTACCTTACATTTATGGATTATAGTTTAATGTGCTTATCTGGTACTGGCCCCGACTCAGTACATGCTATCATGACAGACAGACATCTCAACACTAGTGTCTAATCAGAACTGATAAACAGTCAGTCTGCTGTTGTGTCAGTCTTCACGTTTCCACCAGCGACGCATCTTTTTTCCCCCCGGAAAGTCGCAAAATCGCATCGGGCTTGAGTCAGGCGTGTCAAAATTCGCCTCTGAATATTTTGTAATTTCGCGTTGTATATTTGCGTCGGTCCTGGTGTGTAAGGACCTTAAGAATAGTCTTAAAAATCTGCTCTAGACTTCTCTGAGAAACTTTCTTACAAACAAATCCAAGTCAAGCCTGAGGCAGATGTTGGTAAATGAGGTCCAGTATGCAAATTGATATTAATACCAAACAATAAAGCATCATCTTCAGATGAACCACAGCCCAAAGTAACCCATCTCATCAAATCAGTTTCTAGTCCAAATCATTTAACATTCAACAAATTCTGACCAACTTTTGGGAAAGATGTCAAATGTCCTCATTTACAAGTCAAAAATGGAAAAAGTGGAGCATGTCTTTGCTTTTTTAACCAGAAGTCTTTTCAAAACAAAACCTGAAATTAGGGCACTAAGACATTAACATGTTAAAATATGATTTCATTTCTACACCCTTAATTCTGTATCTATCAAAGTTGAAGATAACTAATGGTGAAGTGTTCCCTTGCTGTTACACAACAACGCAGCCTTTCATTTCCAAAAACAATCCTCATTATGTCAACAGCGGCATTTGTTTAGCTGTGTTCTTATGTTTACATCCTGAACGAGTCAAGTCATGCAGCCCAGCTCTAAAGCAAACTAGACCGACGGCAAACAGGATTTACATACACTTTGAATGTTTGTTCTGTTTAATAGTCTAAAAAGTGGGCGGAGTCTGCCTCTAAAGAAAAAAAGTGGGTTTAGCGAACCGCTGCTTAGCATCCTGTGTAAATCAACTGTCAGGATTATTGTAAATTACTCCTGCCTGCAGCTAGAGAAGCAGGTCAGAAATCCATCAGAGGGGTTAATGAGACACGGTGATGTATGATAGCTGCTTAACATGGCAGACATGACAGAGTCGAGCTCAGGGAGGTTTTAGGTAAGCAGGGTTCACTGAGTCTGTGTTAGATGTACAAACATGGCTCAAGGACATGTGCACGAGTTCTGCTTAACTGATTCAAGACCACCCCTCCCTCTCCTCCTCCTCACTCTATCACGACAAAGAACAAACTATCCAAATATCAGCCCACAGTTCACTCATTAACTTCACCTACAAATGCATGGTGCATTCAAAGCCTAAATGAAATCCTAATATGAGATGTGTTGTTGATTTTCCTTCAAAATCTAAACTTTTGGTGCATTCTTATGTTTGTTGGCAATATTGATATTGAAATAATTTGAATGGCCTTTTTGAAGAAAATGTCAAAAGTTGTAAAAAAATCATAGTCTGCTTTCAAGAATAACTCAAACAGTTTTAGGTTTTTAAAGTGGACAACACATTAATTCTAATTTTTTAAAATGAATTTCGGCATAAAAATAAATAGAACTGCCAGGAAAGTTAATTTTTGTGTATAAAACTTGCCAAGTTAGTTGGCAGGTAATAGATCCCCCAAACAATATTGACACATCAATTAAAAATAATTTGAATGTTTTTTTAAAGAAAATATCAAAAGTTGTGAAAGTTGTTTTCAAGCACACTTCAAACTATTTTAGGTTTTTAAAGTATACAACACATTAAATATAATTTTTTAGATGAAATTAGGCATAAAAATACATAAAACCGCCGGGAAAGTTAGTTTTTGGGTATAAAACTTTATTTAAAAATTCCTTATGTGAGATATGTTGTTGATTTTCCTTTAAAATACAAACTTTTGGCACATTCTTCTGTTAGTTCGCAGGTAATAGAGCCAAAAAAAATTGATATTGATATAATTTGAATGGCCTTTTTAAAGAAAATGTCAAAAGTTGGGGAAAAAAAACATAGTCTGCTTTCAAGCATAGTGCAAATAAATTTAGGTTTTAAAGTGGACAACACATAAATTATAACTTTTAAACTTTTAGGCATAAAAAATACATCAAACTGCCAGGAAAGTTTTTTTTTTCTGTATTAATGTTCAATAAAAAAAAGAAAGAAAAAAGAGTGAACTGCAGGGTGAGTGACGGCCCATCCCAGTAGACCAAACCCCAATATAGGCCTACACTTTTACATGTGGAACCTTTTTAAAGCAGTTTATTGACTTTTCTGATTTTTCATTTCAGGGAGTTTTGAGTTTAAAAAAAAATTAAAACTGAAACAATAAAAAATTAAGAATTTTAGCAGCATTTAGAAGTCTTTCCCAAGTACTTAAAAATCAATCTTTTTTTTAAAATTCGACTTATTCATGGTATAAAACCCTGTTTCAGTTCATACAGTGCAACAGGTGGACACCTCTCATCTCTGTCAGTGAAGAAGCTGCCTGACATTTAGGCTCCTCATCTTTTCAGTGAATTTTATCCGTGAAACCACTAAAAATAACATTTCTAACTTAACTAAACTTACCTAAAAAGTTAGTTTTATTGAATATAGTGAAACTTTTTGAATCTACCATGGTTACAAAGCTGAGCTCAGCTGCCATATGGTTGACGTCACTCCTCGACGTGCACCTGTTGTAAATAACCGTCGACGCCGCCACATCACAGGGCAGGTGAGTAAACGCTTTAAAACACTTTCAGCGCCGCGCGAAGGTGATTCAGGTAACTTTTATCCGCATGAACAACCTAAAAAGAGCAGAAACTGTAACCAAGTGTTGCTTGAACCTACCTGTTGCGCTAAGCGAAGGTGTGGCACTTTGCCCTAGGTATCAAAAATGCAAGGATAACTTCAGTTGTCATTTAAGTTCTCCACTTCCGGTCCTCCACAGAGCAAAAATTCAAATTAAAGTTGGAAAAGTAAGAAGTTCCGCGAAACGCTTTTAGTTTGCACGACTCCCCTCCTTCGGTCTGAGTTGTTGTGGTGTATTTCTGAGAAGAGTTTCCCCCCCTCGGTGACTCCACGGTCCCATGTCTCCTGTTTGAACAGCCGACTGGTGATGGTTAGTTAGTGTGGGAGAATAAAGGACCGTTGTCAAGGTAACGATGCAAGGCGTAGTTGTTTCCTGTCGTGACTTTCAAAGTAAAACCGTGTAAGCTAATAGTTTCTGAAACATAATTTTTCACAAACCTGTTATATCGACGTTATTAAGTTGCAAAGTTGTTTAAACACAATAAAATATGTAGAATAACGTATAAGGAAAAAATAAGAGCCTACCAAAAATTAAAACAGGAACCAATATGATTACTTCTTGTGTTTATCTTTTAATGCTGTCCAACAAAATCTAGTTTTTTTGTTTTATAATGGAAACAAAACTCTTCCTTTCACAATAATGCTAAAATAAAATCAGCTAGGCTATCTTAAGTAAACAAAACTTTACAGAATTAGAAATAATTTGGTTTAAAGAAAATTTATATTTAATGTTCGTGTCATGTAAACAGCTCGCTTAAGCCCCTTTATTGCTGTCCTAAAAAATATTCTTTAAATGCTGTGCCTTTTATTTATCTTACTGTGACTTTTGTACACTTTCATATCACTTATTAAGGTTTTAGTACACTGTACTACACATGTGACATACCTGACTTCCTGTTTTAATCTGACAACTTGCTTTTCAACTTGACTGAGTCTAACCTGACCTGCCTCCTCAGAGTGACTCTACTGGTCATATGACTTGGATGTGATTAGAGTGGGATCACCCCTTAACACTTGCAACCCACTAAATGAAACCTGACTGTAGACAGGACGGTGGGGAAATAAGATAAAAATAGAGTTTAATGAAGTCCTTTATTGAGAGTTTATGTCAACATTTACACTGTGAAAATGTGTCACATCTCTGTGGGGTCGCCTACATGACGGCACATGAAGATAAGATGGATAGACCGATAGAAAAATTACTCACTGAGGGTGACAGAGGACTTAAAAAACCGGTTTGAGTGTTTGCAGACGCACACAGAAGTAAGTTTATCCTTGGAGGAGTCAGATAAAAAGACAAACGGTGCACTAAATGGAGCATAAATACAGGTGATGACCCAGTTTCACCCTATATTATCTTTTAATTTGGAATCATACACCTGATAGTAAGATATATATTCAGATATTTATATTCAGAGATATTCAGAGTTATTCTGAGTATCAATGAAGAAGCACAGGAGATGTTTTTCTGCTCTGAGGTTGACAGGATGGCAGCAAACACTCTGGGAAAGGGACAAAACATGACAACAGTGTGACACCTTGAATACAAACTAGAGCCCTTCGAGACATTTTCAAAGACACGGTCAGTGCGGCTGCGTCAGTACCCCCGTTTTTGTTTTCACTCCACTGCTCCCTTCATTTTTATTTTGATGTTATCCTCTTCCTAGCTAAGCCTCTTGAAATAACCTCATAAAAGTTTTGAAAAAAGGGCAAAGAGAGTCGCCAAAAGCCTCAATTGAACACCTTTGAACCATGTCAGTAAGCTAAAATGGAAATGTTGTATGAGCGAACAGTCTTAAAGGTGAAGAGTCAACTTTTCACTGTATTTGTTGAGAATAGAAAACCAGTGCCGCTTTCAAACTCTTGTCTTACCACAACTTTCTGTATTTGATCAGTTTAGATACCAGTTTAAAGAAGATAATCCGTAATAATTCTGTCGCTTCACTGTCTTCTTGGTGTCCACTGCGAAACAGCAGGAAATAACCTGAATCCTTTCCTTGGTTGTGCATGACCCTGGCCTATTTCTTCGTGTTTGAAAGACCTTTGCAGCTCAGAGTCTCCTCATACCAAAGCCATGACTTTGACTATTTTGCTTTAGCTTTGACATGTAGGATGACAGGAGAATGAATGAGCATTAGCTTGTGTTGAGTCATCGCTGGACTGGCGACAGGTTAATGGGTGGAGTATGGTGTCGGAGTTTTACCATCTCATGCAGTAATGTCATTTCTTTTGGTGGTAGATTTCCTTGTAAACATACAAACAGTACGAATACTTTTGAGAACGACTCAACTGAGTTTTCAAAGAATCTCCACCTACATCCTCCTGTTCACCCAAAAATAAACAGAGTCAGACCTGGCAACCTTGACATATCAGTGTATGCATCTTCCCAGCATGCTTTGCTAGAATTAGGTCAGGGCTTGTTGGTAGCTACCCCCCCTCACGTTGAGAAAAGTGGCGAATCATGACTAAGGTATACGAGAGTAATCAGATGAAATGCTCTGGATTTTTTCCCCTTCTGTAGTTTAACTTTTTAAAATGCTCTCTCTGTCTCTGAGCTGATTGGATTTCCTCGTGCAAACAAGCGATGTTTGGTTTCGGGCCTGAAGAGGATTTTTTGGGCTTATCCTGTGCATGTTTTTTTTCCTCAAATTTCAGCTGCAAGTTAAGATAAAAAAGTAGTAATCAGGGGTTGGTATGGGTGACTCGTAGACGTCCCCGTGCCTGAAAATACAGGTTAGAGTCATGACAAAAGGAGGGCCCTGGCTCATAAGAGTAAACCCTGCTGACAATGAAGCGGCTATTTCAGGGCTGTGTAAATAAAAGTCAATGTCAAACTCTACCTACTGTAGGACAGACACACACCTACAAACACACAGTGACGCTCAGTGTGTGACCTGTAGAGACCTCCCGTTCGACAAACAAGCGGTGTAATTATATGCCTGCAGGTGGAATGTGCTAGTGATAGCCGAGCCCTTGTTGTCATAAGGACTAGAAGCAGCAGCGGCAGCAGCAGCCCCTATGGCCAACAGACATGAGCTCACTGCCATTACAATGAGAGGCGGGGCCAAGTGTGATGTTGCCGTGGAGACAGAGAGCGTGAGCACACACTCATACATACACACACACACACAGATAAACATACAGATTGGCTTAGAGTGCCACCACTGGGAAATTAAAATGTTAGCCCAAAGCAACACAGCATTTATTGGCCAATCACAGCTTTATCCTGGATGTGTTTGCTTTGCAACTTTGTGAGTGTGTTTGTGTCGGTGTGTGTGTGTTAGTGCAGGTGCACTTGCACATGCATCCCATAATTATAATGACAATGTCAGCTGCTGTTGGAGAAATACTCACCACGCTTGTCTGGCGATCGGCATCAAGCACAGTGGAGCAATTACTGAGCTATCCAATCATTTCACAGCTACATCCGTGCGTGTGTGTGTGTGTGTGTGTGTGTGTGTGTGTGTGTGTGTGTGTGTGTGTGTGTGTGTGTGTGTGTGTGTGTGTGCTTGTCAGAATAGTCAGTTTTCTGGCTCAGGAAAACAAAGTACAACAAAAGATAACCTGTTCAAAGCAGCTGTGCAACCGGACTTACAGCTACCTGTGAGTCAGGTATGAGCTAATTTTAGCAAATTAAGAGTTTATTTCTGTCAGTCATTGTTTGCTCTGAAAGCAAGGACAGGAATAAAACGCTATTGTTGAAAAGCAGAAAGTTCACAGTGTCTTGCAGCAACCTTTAATTACAGGAAAAGTCCCGAGGCGGTGCGCTGGAGGCAAAAAGTGAACCTTTTATTACATTAAAATGTTTCATACAAACAATGCATACACACTAGTTTCATATTGCTTCAGACATAAGTTCCTTTTTCTGTTTGAATTCCAGTTAAACAACTCTGTAACAAAATGTAAGTACAACATTTATGAAAATATAAATCTCTAAACAGGTAAGTCAGTCCTGACAATACAAAGAATACCATAGAAACATTCATTATACCAGTATGTCAACTATGAGTTGCAAACATGTACGTTATTAAAAGTCATTCAAGTTACTGAACATACAATAATACCATTTACTGGCTTCCATATGGACACATTCAAATATACTCTTAAACTGGCATTCCAATATATTTCATAAGAGGACTCTTTTTAAACTTTTTAGCAAAGATAGCACATTTTCTCTATCAATTAACAGAATCACAGTCCAACACTGAAACAATTTGGTAACAATATCATTACAGTACAAGCCTCAGAAAACAAATGTAACAATCAACATAATCAAACACAAACTCTAACTGGGACTTTGGCAATTATCTGATATCGTGTCTTCTCTTAATTTAGAAACTCTTGTCTTAACGGGGGTTTAAAGTGTTTTAAAGCTCGATGCTGCTACCTGGTGTGAGATTATCCAAGGGCCATTTATCTCCACTGTTCAAAACCAGTAAACATACAATAAGATGGAATAGCCCTTAAAAGTATACGTCAAAGTGTAAGTGTATGGTTTTCAATCATGCCAGAGTGATGATTGGTCTCATCGGAGAATTGCATTTTGGGATATTACAGACATGCTTAAAAGAAGCAATCAAGGTACCTGCAAGGCACAACCTCAGTTTTTAATGCACCATCTTTTTAGATTGTCGAGATCTTAACAGTTTTTAGTCCAGTCTATCATGATGGTACCAGTGTCGGATGTCTCTAAGGGGTCAAAGAGATTTAGTGACCGCGAAACGATTCGGGCAAATAGCGCTTTTGTAAATCTGTGACGCAAAGTTTTAAAATTTCCTGTGAGGAACTTTTTTTTCTTTTTTTAATTTGGCGCCCCCTGTGGATGAAGCAGGCTGGCCTATCTTGTCTCCTAAATGCTTAAATGGTGACGTTTATCAAAAATCCCCATCCTACTGACTTGACGGTTGACTGTATAATTTATTGTGAATATTAAGTGTTGGATTTGTGAAAACACGACTGTTTTTTTTACCGGATGCGTATCCCTTTGAATCTGTTTCAGGCATTAAAATGAAATTAGGAAATTCTTCAGTCTGGTGGCTGATGCTTTTGCTTTTCTTTTGTAATGAGAAATTATCGATAACAGGATCTTGAAACAGACTTTAATAAAACGGACCAAGAAGTCAATTTGATTTAAAATTTGTTCATAATTATCGCTGAGATGTAGATTCCTCTTTAAAGCTCCAATAAGAAACTTTCAGTTTGTTTCAATTTTGGTGCCCCCTTGTGGACAAAAATGGTACGTTTCTTCCCTTTTTATAGACACAATCAGTCCAGCGTAATACAGTTTTTGTAGGTAATATCAACCTGCTTCACTTCCAGCTAAAATCTCCTCACAGATGATTTAATGTAAAAAACATCTGCTTTAAACTCAAATCAAATTGACCCTTATTTGATACTGTAAATTTCCTTCACTGTCACTTTTTAGATAAGCTCCGGCTGCAGAGCATTTATTTAGCCATACGTAGCATTTATGTGAATAAGCTGTAGCCTGCAAGTACCTGGTTGGCCTTGTATATTTTTTATAGGCAAATCTGAAACCTATTTCAAGACAACTCTAAATCACTTTAAACCTTTTTTTTTATTTTTTTTATTTTCATTTTACAGTGTTTCATTTAAATAAATCTAACTATTTCTCACAAAACCACCCATAAAGTGCTTCTTTCTACAGTTTAACCCTCTAAATATATTCACCACACTGTTTCTGTGAAACATTGGGCTAATCACTCTGTCTTTTTCTACTGTAACATTTGAACAAACTCCACATAACCTAAAGCAAGTACACTGTTTAAGGCGTGAATGTGTATGGTGCTATGCTACACTGTATGCTCATTAGTGGTGTTTCCCTTAACACTAACAGCACACAAACTGATGGAACTGCGAGTAAATTCACATCAAATTTACGTAAACTGTCCCAAGATATTTTCTACAGCTATCATTACGAAGAGCAATGCCATCAATCTCTCATGTTGTTGACTTGATTTCAGAACACTGATCGTTTAGATTTAACGTCAATGCAAGTATTATGTAACTGTGTGTATACTGTGTTTACAAATTCCCTGCATTTTCATAAATCTTGTAATCTGCACATAAAGAACATTTTAAATTCCAGGCACTCACTTTGATTGCATTAAGCACAACATAACATTTTTAAGGAGTTGCACAAATTGCAGCAGCCAAAAGGGATATGTACATATGTTCATAGTTCTTCTTTTTTGTACAGTACTGACTGATGTTGGTACAAACGTAAATACACTCTGTATTTTAAAGACAACATTATGGCTTAATGTGCACGATGAAAATAAAAAGAGTGTGTACAATGAAAGTGGCTAAGATCACTGGAATGGCTTTGAAAACGTTCGACAAAGACATTTGAATAATAACTTTGTTCTTCAAATGCAAAAGGACACATAATGGCAAACTAATACCTCACAGAATGTACATTTTCTTCTTTTTAAAAACATAATCTTTGTAACAGTCTTCATGTGTAAAACAAAGAGAAACTGTATAATAACTCGGACGTAAGGAATACATAATTTGAGTGCAGCGTTTAAAACGGTCGGCCCATTAACTACCCAGAGGGCTGACATCTGCAGCTGAATCACGTGGCTGTAAACAAGAATCAACTGCAACCCCAGAGATTCTAAACTTTGTCACCAATGCTACCCACCTGTACTCACTAACTAACCTCCACCTATGATCCCCTAATCACTGCAGCAGTTCAACCTTTTTTGTAGGCGTGGTCGACTCACCTTCACCAGAGTCGGACACATTGATCGGGCTGTCCCTGGAGAAGACTTCGGTTGATTCCCTCCAAATACAGTCGGCTACCGACTTAAAAGAATGGTTGCCACATTTAGGCCGCACCTTTTGCGAGGCATTGTTGACAATCTGTCGGCTGTTGGAGGTTGCTATCTTGATCTTCAGGGCCGCATCCACACGGTCCACTACTGTGTATGTGCCGATGCTGCCGTCCTCGAAACCAATGATGATGTTCAGTGCTCGTTGGGAAAGAGACAGGAAAGTTGGTGTCTTGTACAGGGAACATGTGCCGATGCTTTTACCGTCAGCGAGGCGCATCACGATCAGATTAGAAACAACACCAGCATCATCGTCTTCATCACAATTCCGAAAACAGACATACACCAGATATCTTCCATCTCTCGATAATTTTTGACGCCAGATTATACCAGCAGCATGGACAAGCCTCAGTTTCCCGCTGTGAAGATCCAGGACATTAATATTCTCATCCCCTTTAGAGACAATTCCTAGTTTGCCATTGGGTGAGATCTGGAAGTCCTCTAGATTTTTGAGGAAGTTGGTTGGCAGCTGGACTCGCCTACAAACGGACTCATCTGCCACACTCCAGAGGATAACAGTTTCTGTGGACGTGATGAACACGACGCAGTCTGGGCAGTCAGGAATGAGCTTGAAGTTGACGATGCTGATACCATCATCACAGACAAATTTCTTGGATACACTGCCCGACCACAGGCTGACAGCAAGGAGTTTGTTTTTGGAGGTCCCCACAAGGAAAGTGTTGGCTGTGGTGATCAGTGCATTCTGGAGGGTGACTAAAATGTTGCAGACTTTGTGCCCAGTTGCAAGCCTCCAGACTCTTGAAGCATTTTGCTCGCAGAGGGACACCACAAACTGGTCATTGTGGGTGATCAGCAGCTGTGATATTCTTTGTCCATTGATTCGGAAGATGTTTTCCCCAGTGGCCGTTTGCCAAATGTACTGACTGGACTTGTCATCTGATGTCACCATAAGATCCCCTGAGGAGGTAAGGACACAGTTCTCCACTATGCCTTCATGCTTAAAGACAGTCTCAATAAAGCCAGTGCCGAAGTTCCACTTGTGGACAGCTTCTGAACCATCCATGGTAAACACATAATCCTCTCTGCCAGACAGCTGCAAGGTCTGGATCTTCTTGCCTGTTTTGTCAATATTTGACATGGCGGTGATGATATCAATATCCCAAACAGACAGGACTCCACTGCTGGCAACAGAGAGGAGAAGGTTGTGGTGGACTGATTTGATAAGTTTGACAATCGCCCCTGAGATCTCAATCAGGCTTGCCATGCACTGCCCACTGTCCCTCCTCCAGACAAAGATGGAGGAGGTGTTCTCCATGGAGGCCACAATGCTTTGTCCATTCTTGGACAGAACAGCAGCAACAAAGCGTTCAGTACGTTTAGCCTTAAACTTCTCCACCATTTTCCACACTTTGGTGTCCAGAACCTCAATACTTCTGGCCTTGCAGATGAGGATGGAGCGCTGGTCTTCAGATAGCTCAATGCCCACCACTTCACTATCATCCCCTCTACAATCGTAGTCCTCCATTAGCCGGGGGTTGGTGATCTCTTTGGTGTTCCACACTGACAAGCTTCCTTCATTGTCAATCATCACCATTTGGTGAAGGGTGTCCAGAACAAGAATGGACTTTACAAATCCCCCAGAAAACTCTGAGGTTACAGTGGACAACTTGTCCCCATTTCCCAGATGAAAGATGGATGCAGTGTTGAGATACTGGCCACAGAAGGCATACATTCCATCTGGAGAGCACTGGACACAAGTCACCTCGTACCAGCAATGGAACTGGTAGAGGGGCCAACCGTAGAGAAGGTCAATAACATTGACGTCTTTGCTTGCCTCAAGCCAAGCCAAGGCATGATGGGTGGACAAGGTAAACCCATTGATGAAGGCCACTCCACCAGCAACTCCACCATGCTTGGACCCCTTGATTTCAACCTCAGATAAAAGGCAAGACTTGTGATTATCATAAATAAGTAATGTGTTTTTGGTTGTGGCCACGACCAGGTACTTTTCATCAGAGGTTAGCCTGATTCCCAGCACAACCGATCTAGCTGTGTCGATCTGTCTTAGAAGCTGTCTGCTCTCTACATCCCAAGTGCTAACAGACCCATCTTCCAGTGCTACAAGAACTATATTTGGGGCTAGAGTGGGCAAGATTTCCACAATCTGCATGTAGCTAGAGCACAGAGGAAGCCTCTCTGGACTGTAGGTGACATCCATCGAGGAGTGGAGAGGCACAATGGAGCAGTATTTTGGGCCATCTTTGTCACACTCCAAGAGGAGGTGTCTAAGCTTGGGGAGGGAAGTGACAACTGGCAGAAGCCTCTGCTGGAGTTCTGCAGACAATGATGCAGGGTTTTTCAGCACTTTTACCTTGATGCTGCGAAGAGTTGTGGCCAAGAACTTCAGTTCTTTTTCTTGGGTGTAGCTGTAAGCTGTGTCAATGTCTGTTAAAGCCTTTTCAAACTGGCCAATCTTTATCATCGTGTACAGCCAGCTGAAGTTCATGATGACACCGAACATGAGGTCATCAGTGCGCCCACTCCTGGTTAAGTGGTATACAAGCTCTGTCATCTTCCTGTGGTTGACAAAGAAAATGTCAGGCTCCAGAAGGTTGCACTGGAACACCCACGGCTGCTCAGGAGTTTGCCTGTCATATGAGTATTTGTCCGAGGATGCTTTTTCATGAGCCTGCTGATTGTGGGGGTTTTTATGATGAGATATATTCAAGGAGGTGAAATGGTTGTTATCATATGTGAAGATCTTTTTTCTACCTCCTGACCATGCCCCGAGAAAGTACTCAGCTAGGAGGCTGTGCATTTGATGGACGTCTTCCTCATTGCTAAGGTACAGCTTCTGTGCGATGAGATGCAGATGCCTGTTGGCCCAAACCATCAAGGTGACATTGCGTACCTGACGCTCCACCAGATAACCATCTAGCTCCTCTCTGAGCCTTGCAACTAAATCATAGGAGATTCTCAAAGGATTTTTGAGGTAAGACGCCACGATGACATCACCAAGAACTATGTTATCAAGGGATAGAATATCTTCTAGTTCAACTTCTGTTAGCCCAGCCTTTGCCATGGTGATGTACCCTAAAGCTCTGAAGACAAATCGTTGGCCCAACTTGTTCTCCACTGAGTAGAAGAGCTGTTCTATGCTTTCATGGACTGTGGAGCACAGGGACCTATCGTCCACATCTTTGTGAGAACGCCAATGAACTACTTCTCTGTAAATGAGGTTGACAAACATTGGCAATGTACACTTGGCAAGTGCTTCATTGACATAGATTTGTTGGCCTGAGGTGACCTTTCTCTTCACCTCAAGTAATTGCTGCTTCAATGTCTGGCTGCAGACCTTGCGGTCCCTCTGTATTAGTTCCACATAGTACCCCTCATCATGGATGAGGTGGCGAAGCTTCTGCAGGATGCCATGTTTGTTTGGCAAGGTTGAGACTACAATGCGGACCGTCCGAGGAAGGTGGATTGGGAGCCACCAAAGCTTACGAACATCATCCGAGTCTGAGAGCTGCTCAAGGGCGTCAAGAACTATTACTAAAGGTCTGTGGAAAGATGATTCTCCCAGAAGGTTTATCAGCAGCTCCTTCATCTCCTGGATCTTGTTAGGCAAAAAGTGAATCAGGCAGCGGTAGTTTAGTGCAATCTGTTCACAAATGCTCTGGAGAAGGGTACGTAGGTCTGTGGAGAGCTGGCTGGAGCCGATGAAACGGACAATGACCACTGGGTCTGTTTCAGGGCCCATCTCTGTCTGCAGCCATGTGTAGGCCTGAAAAACACAGCATTGAGAGTATATCTTTTAGAGGAGTTAATGGTACATATCAGGATAAGTTAAGGCTTTAAACTGCAAACAAAAACAAATCAGTCACACAAAATAACAGAGAACATTTGTTTCCACTGACTGTCAGTAAAATAACTATCTGCTCTGCGCAGTCTGGCTGGAATAACAACCAGGAAACCAAAGCTTGAGAGTGACGGCAAAGGCATCTAATTAATTGTCATTCAAGAAGTATAAAGCCAAGCTCATTAGCACAACAAGGGGGGACGATGTTATACATTTTTACCTTGCTGATGCCACATATACTATCCTGTAATACTGGAAAAATGTATAAAATCAGGTATGTTAACTTTTTTATTTATTTCAGTCAGTAAAACCAAGATTTGAATAGTTTAATGAATGAGTACCAGCCCCACTTTGAGGCTCTGTTGTTAAAATAATTTCATTCATGAATTCATAAACTAAGATGAGCTTCTGGGAGACTTATATGACAGTTTTGGGGCAACAGTGATGACGCCTACTTCACATTTAGCTGTTTATGCTCGAGTGAAAAGAAGAGGAAGAGAGAGATTTTGCCAGTAGAGTGTTTACAGTTTTAACGTACCGGTATGCCCCAGCAGTCATTTCTAAAACCAGGTTTAAAACCAAGTGACTGGGCCTGTTTTAGCAGTGACCCCCAGTTACTTTATTTTTGCACATGTACACTGCCTTATCTTTAATTATCTTTGTCGTTTTTCAAAAACAGCACATTATATTCGGGGAATCTGTTTTCACAATAATGTGCAAGTCTACAAAGCTTTAATTAAGCGTATTCCTTCTTACAGTAAATACCAGCCATTATGACAAAAGCTTACATTCCAGCAGAGTCTCTAAAGACTCGTTCTTGTATTTAGCAATATTCTCTAACTGTGCCCAGAAGCCACTGCACTGCTGGGAACCAATTACAGATTGCAGTTGCTATGCTTTGATAGTCTATTTAACAACCAGAGTAACTCATCATCTGACATTTCTATTTTCATATCTCCGGTGTTGAACTCTGCAAAGTGAAAATAAATGCTCCGAACAAGTTTCCATCATCTCATTTGATATTAACTTCCTCTAACTACTTCATTTTCAGCTTGCTTATTAGAGAGTGTGTGTGTACCGGGAAAGTGTGCAAACAATACCGACAGACGGATCTCTGTAACACAAAGCTATGCCCTGAGTCCCACAAATGTGAGACTCTTTGACCTGGATTCCTCTTGTATCAGTGTTCTGGCTTTAATTATGCAACAAGTGCAACGTATAAATTCAGCGTTGAGTTTTCAAACATGCATTCACTCTTATCTACTTTTCTCTAAGCACATTGAAGTTGCTTCTTTGTGTTTATCTCTAGTATCAGTTTGTAAGATACCGAGGTTGACTCTGATTTTATGATGGCGCACAAATGCGAACACTTACATGTTTTTAAACAGACTTTTTTCATAAGTATCCTATGATCAACAGCAAAATAGAGACGATTATTTTCCTCCTTTTTTTGTTCCCACATAAGCTGACGTTTCTCTCTGTTGTATTATACCACAATAAACAACAGCTCAGGCAAACCCAAAGCAGCACAGCACTTGTTTTTTCTTAAACATCTCCTGCGGTTTCAGCTCATAAGCACAGTCTTAAAAGCTGGGGGGGTCAGATGAATCAAACCAAGCCAGTGAGGTGTGAATTACACCCTGCAGACTTGAACACAAAGTGGTAGCTTCAGAGAGCGTCTACCTTTATCCTACAGCTCTTCTTGCGTGTTTAAGGATTGGATTTCAGGGATTTTTTTGTTTTTTACTTGTCTTTTCTAGAAAATACTAGAAAGAAAATTAGCCAAGAATTAAGATTGGCACTCTTAAATTGCTAATAATGGAGTAAAACTTTATCCACCTGGCTCTGGAAGTTACTATCTTGTGATTTATTCCTAATAAAGTGTACATTTGTCAGCCCACTCACACACTAATGCACACAAGAGTATCACTGCAGTGAGGTTACATGATAAATCAGAGGGCTTATCTGTGTGGGCAGTATTAGAGAAGTCATACAATCAATACAATCGATACAATCTTTGAAATGACTCATCTCATTTATTCAGCTTAAACATGCAAGTCCCTTTGTTCAGAGAGCAAACTCTACGACTCTCTCGACAGAAGAGAGTTCAGTAGGTTTTCCTTTTTCACCTCCACATGTTTGTTTCCACTTGAGGAAACAGTATCAGCGTGTTAGACGGGAGCTTTGAAATGTCCACCAGGTGTTGCAAAAACATGAAAGGCGTTTGAAAATTTTATGGCACCAAAATTAGGCCAAGTTTGGAGGAAGCAGGTAGACTTCTGTGGTCTGACTGTAGCTGAAATAATATTAAGAAAAAGATCCTTAAAAGCCTGTCATTATTTTGTTTTTCCTCTCCACCTCTTTTCCCCTCACTTGCCTCCTCCATAGATGTGTAGATATAGTGTCAGTTTGGACTTTTATCACTGCTTTGTGGCTGTTTTGTTGGCGTAATTTAATCTTTTTGTAGCACTCCATGCAATCATGCTCTGACCCTGGATGATATCACCAGCCCCGACAATAAATAAGTGCATCATTGTGACAGTTATTGCAAAGGTTGGACAGGAAGGCCAGATCTGTGGGCGTGCGCTGGTGTGATCCTAATGTTTTTGGGCAGCCAGATGGCACACACAACAGCAGCAGAGGAGGGTGCATGTGCTTAAACCCAGAGCCACACTCAAATTCACATTAGGAAACACATGTAGAGGGAATTTTCAACAGATGTTAATACATAAAAGCGAACTAATGCACACCTATGAATGCACATGCAGATGCAAATGAACACGTGGCCCCACAGGAAGTGAAAGATGTGCGCGGCCGTGGTTGTTTGGCAGGCACGCAGATGGTCAAGCGAGCGTTTGATAAGGAGCACTGAGCAGTTGCACGCCCCCTCATACTCTGTTGTACAAAGATGGACATTCGCTCAGATCAGGCGGACAGATGAGAGCGAGTGTGATGATGAGGGGCAGCAAAAGAGAGAGAAGAACGGCAGGGGATCAAAGGAAAAAGACAAAACGATGGATTTAAAGATGCCGATATCAGAACAACTGCATGCCCAGAATAAAGCTGGTATTGATACTGATATCAGTGCTGTAAGTTCAGATATTTTCATCACTGGGTCAGCTTCTGTTTGCTTAAAAAAGGCTCAAAACAGCTTTAACTGGAAGGTTCAATTGCCTTAATTACTGTAATGTCACATTAGCTAAAAATACACTAAATTAAGCAGTTTGACAGTATGATGCTTGAGCAAATGGGTCTGCAAGCTGAGCTGCCCATTTAAATAAGCTTGGCCTGTTTGAAGGCGCTCTTCTTGTTTCAAGGTAACATTAAATTTGTCAGTTTGATTGGAAAATCTGCATCTCTCTCATGGTTGGATATGCATAGATGGTCTCAGGGGCTGCAAGCTGAGCTGCAGATCAAAATTATCTTGGCAAGTTTTAAGACATTCTTGCAGATTTCAGGTTACACTTGATTAGGCAATGTCATTTTGAAAATCTGCGACTCTCTGACTACTGGACTTACAAAGAAGGTCCCAGGAGCTCCCAGCTGAGCTGCCCTTTAGAATAAGCTTGGTCTGTTGGAAAGCACTGTTCCTGTTTTGATATTACACTAAATTTGTCACTTTGATTGGAAAATCTGCATCTCTCAAATGGTTGGATATGCATAGATGGTCTCAGGGGCTGCAAGCTGAGCTGCTGATTAAACTTGTCTTGGCAAGTTTTAAGACACTTTTAGGTTACACTTGATTACGCAGTTTTATTTTGAAAATCTGCATCTCTCTGACTATTGGATTCACAAAGAGAGTCTCAAGGGCTGCAAGCTGAGCTGCCCATTAAAATAAGCTTGGCTTGTTTTGAGGCGCTCTTCTTGTTTCAAGGGAACACTAAATTTGTCAGTCAGTAACCTAACCAATCAGTAAACCTGATTAAGCAGTTTTATTTTGAAAATCTGCATCTCTCTCACTACTGGATTTACAAAGAAAGTCTCAGGGGCCTGACTAAAATTATCTTGGCAAGTTTGAAGACACTTAGATTTTAGGTGACATTAAATTTGTCGGTTTGATTGGAATATCTGCATCTTTTTCTGACGATTGGATTTGCATAGATGGTCTCAGGGGGTGCAAGCTGAGTTGCTGCTGTTCCAGCAGGCTGCAAGCTGAGCTGCTGATTAAAATGATCTTGGCGAGTTTGAAGACATTCTACTTGATTTCAGGTTACATTTTCAAATGGTTGGATATGCATAGATGGTCTCAGGGGCTGCAAGCTGAGCTGCTGATCAAACTTGTCTTGGCAAGTTTAAAGATACTTAGATTTTAGGTTAAACTTGATTGAGCAGTTTTATTTCGAAAATCTGCATCTCTCTCACTACTGGATTTCAAAGAAAGTCTCAGGGGCTTCTAGCTGAGCTGCCCATTAAAATAAGCTTGGCTTGTTTTAAGGCACTCTTCTTGTTTCAAGGTAACACTAAATTTGTCAGTCTGCATCTCTCTAGTGGTTGGATATTCATAGAAGGTCCATGGGGCTGCAAGCTGAGCTGCTGACCAACATTATCTTGGCAAGTTTCAAGACACATAGATTTGAGGTTACAATTACTTAATCAGTTTCATTTTGAAAATCTGCATTACTCTGACTTTTGGATTTGCAAAGAAAGTCTTAGGGGCTGCGAGCCGAGTTACTGCAAATATTTGCTGTTCAAAATTACACCAAAAGTTACACCAACCTAAGCAGTTTACCTAAACAAATCTGCATTCCTCTGGTCAAAAAGGTCACCACCTGTTGTCGCTCGGTGCAGGAAGTTCTCTTTTGACACATGGAAACATAGAAACCTGATCTCATCCATACAGTGCTGGTAGCATACAGCTGTCATTCAGGGGAAAATATCATTATAATGTCTCACCTGTTTTGCCACCTCTGCAAGCAGCAATGTCTTCCCCGTGCAAGGCCCCCCATACACCACCATTGGGCTCATCCTGCTCCCCTTTGATGGCATGAGATACTCTTGAATGTAATCCAACGACTCAGTCTTGAACTGATGAAGCGCCGCGTAGCTCTTACACAGCGACAGGTGCTGCAGGATCTCATCATATAGTGGGTCAGTCTCTGTGTCAAAGTTCTGTTGCACCGTGGCCTGGATGATATCCACCATATCCTCGTAGAACTGTTTACACAGACCCTCCACATAATGACTTTCCACTTCTTGGGAGTAGCCGAGCTTCATGTCGCAGTGCGTGACAGAGGAGTAGACACGGAGGTTGGAGGCAGCAACGATGGTGGGGATGAACTCATCCCGGACCTTGAGAAGGCGTTCGTAGGCTTCCTGGTTGCGCATGATCCGGTCGCCGCTCACCACGATGTCCATGTACCGGGTCATCTCGGGGAGCTTGGCGAAGCGGTCGAAGTTGGAGATCTTGCGAATGTAGCAGACACATTTCCTGAGAAAGGCAGGCGTTTGTTTCCCAAGGGCAAAATCGAGTTCATCTTCCAAGGCTGAAAAAAAGGGGAAAAGGACAAATGCAATGTCAGTTTAGACGCAGATTCCTCGACTTTTCTATGTGTAACAACTTCAAAAACCAAAGTAATGGTTTGAATTAAAGCTGATAAGTATCTCGGCTGGATTATATTGTACGACTTGCAGAGATAAACGTCTATCAGATGTAGGATTTGGATTTGGCTGGACAGATTTTAGGAGCCTTTAGCCTTCGATTACACAGATTTCTCCTGAGCCTTACTTAAGTAGAAACAAAGTTGATAAAAATCACATAAGCCAGCATTGCTGAACTGTATCAGCGGCTGACTGGAACTCAGCCAGCGTCTCCTGTGTAGTTTTGCTCACATGGTAGCGGCTAATTAGGTGGGAGAGAGAGAAAAGTGTGAAAGGAAAGATCCAGGAGACGGCACAACTTCCTCCTCGTAGCGAAATCAAGCGCTGCTGAGAGCCCAGTGAGCTCAATTAGAGAGCATAAAAATCGGCAGCCTTTTGACACAAACAGGTGTAACCTTTTGCATGAGGTTACAAGAATTTAGCTCCAATATCTTAATAAGCTCTGAGTTTTACTGTGTGAACAGGCTGCATGCTGCGAGTCCTAGAGACGCCAGAAAAAGTCTGAAACGTTAAATAAAAACTAACTTTTTAGATGACAGAGTATTAAATTCTTATGATAGAAAATTGACAATATTTAGATTTCTGAAATTATTTTTAATGTAAAATAAAATCAATTTATTCTAACCATCTTTTAAATGCATTTCTTTTTTGCCAATCTGTAGGCATGGTATTAATAAATTATTCTTTTTTAATATGTACAGTCGTATCTAATCTAATTAACACCAGTCAAGATTGAACTGTGAAAATGTACAAAAAAGTTAATTGATACCCATGATTAACGATCCCAATGCACAGAATAGAGTAGATCTTACTCTCAAACATGCAAAACATTTTTATTTTAACAGGATAAAATGAATAAACAAATACATTAAAATTTATTTTTCTTGTTTGCACAAGATAAAAATTAGAGGGTGGGAGAAAAAATCAATACAGCACACTTGTAATATTTTGTCTGGTCATATATTGTATAATCTCGTTTACCAACTGTCGTTTTTAAAAATTAATTGCTAATATGAAGTAAAATCTATGATAATAGAAAAATAAAATCAACTAATTGTCCAGTGAGGTTTGCAAAGGTGATATTATAGAGCAGGAGACGTTAGTGCAACAAATATATCAAAGGTTTGCAAGATGTGCGACATGAAAATATAATACTGTGTAAACAGGACAAACATAAAGGAAAGACAAATGCTAAATTAGCTAAACAGTGGAAAAATTTTTATAAATTGCGATATACTGTATCGCAATCCTCACTGTTTTGCAAAATGTTAAAAATCGCAATAATATCGTATTGAGGCCTTGGTAATGTAATATTGTAACATGGCCAAAGTATCGTGATAGTATCATATCGTGGCCCACGTATCGTGACAATAGTGTATCGTGGTCCAGTTATTGTGATAATGTAGTATCGTGGCCCAAGTATCGTGATAATGTCGTATTGTGGCCAAAGTATCATGATAATATCGTATCGTGGTCCAATTATCGTGATAATGTCGTATCGTGATAATATCGTATTGTGGCCCAAGTATTGTGATAATATCATATCGTGAGGCCACTAGTGATTCCTACTCTTGATAAAAATACCTTCTTTCTCTACACTCGGTGGCTTTCCTTTCGTATATTTATCTATTCTCTCACTGTTTCTTGTTCTTAACAGCACTCATCTGTCTCCATAGTTGCCCGGTCTGCAGGAACAGGATTCGGGCTGTTAGAGAAGACCTGTTATCGTACTTCTTTGCTCCTCTCCTTCACTGACAGCCTGAGAAAATGAAAAGCTGTCTTGGTTTAGTGCTGTCAAAACAATTCAGTAATAACTCAGAGATTCCCCAATTGGAGAAAGTTCTGATCTGACGCTCTATGAAAAATCAACAGCAGGTGGAAATGTTCAAATGTCAGAGATGAACTTTTTCCTTCTCTTCTCGTTTTTTTTTTTTTTTTTTTTTTTGCACCAGCAGAGGCATAAAAACTCAAAATGACCAGTTTTATTTTTGTACTTTTGATATTTAATAATAGAAGAGGAGGTCAGCTTGAGCAACAGCAGCACGACAGCAGAGTTAATAATCTGTTAAGCCTTTGATAAAAACAATAAAAGAGATGTTTAATGAGAAAAAAGTCGTGTAAAAAAGTTGCTCGAGGGATCATGTGCAGCACAACAACGTGATCGATCAATCACTGTCATCTGCTGAGCGGCATCTGACAGATCCTGATTGCTTCTCCTCCTCTGGGATCAATTTAGTGACACGATGGTGCTCTGAGCGGCGCTGCCATGAGATTGTTTCCCTTATGGAGGTTAATGATAATCGTACTTACTGAGAAACGCAGCGACTTAAAGTGATCTTTATTGTGAAAACTTGGTAGACTACATGAAGTACAAGTCAAATACTAACAAGGAAAGAAGTAATACATGCAGTGAGCGACTGATCAGACAGTCTGAAATGAAAAGAAGTCTTCAAACGATGTGACATGAAAGGATTAAAAAGAAAGTTGTGCAGAAACTAACCAGAGCAGAGGAATTTCTTGGCCTGAGCGCTCTTCATGGTCCCTTTCTCCTGAAGCTGCAGCACGGCCGTCCTGAAGATCCTCTTGATCTCCTCCGACACGTTCCTCCAGGCCTTGTCGTTCTTCGACTTGGCTGCGCTGCTCGACTCCATCTGAGCGGGGCGAGAGGGCAGCGAGAGGACAGTCTGAGTTTACAGTTCAAACGGAGGACTATCAGTGTGAGACCGGGGAGGCTGGTTATTCATGTTTACCATTACAAAGGGAATTAGCGTCCGTGTTTGATCCGGAAACATTAATTTAATGTCGGCTGAGTGGATTAAATCTCCCGCTAAAGTGATCGAGCCTTGAATGACTTTCCTTCCTTCAAAGATTTCTAAGTATAAATCATTCAAATCTGGATGTTTTGGGCTATAAAGGCTCTAAAAGTCAAGTTTCAAGACCATCAAAGTGTCTCTTTACTGGACTTACAGAGTTCTGGTAGTTCTTGAGCATCTGGGCTTTGGGTTTGAGGTAGTATGCGGGTGGCACAGAGTTTTCATCCCTGCAGTACCACTCCTCCAAGATGTGTGTGTCCAGCCCCGCCTCCACAGCTGCATCCAAGATCATCTCAAACTCTGCCGACTCCACCTCCCCTGGCACGCGGATGCTGCCGTACTTTTCTCCCACCAGACCCTGAAAGAGAGATGATGAACGAGGAAAATAAAGGAAGAGAGAAAGAGAGAGAGCGGAAATACAAATCAACATGATAATTGAAGCTGTTTTTGGGCGCTTTCTTTGAGATCAGGGTGAAAAGTAGACACTTGTGTTTGAATGTGATGTAGTTAAGACATCCATTAGCTGGTTTGGACATACAGGAAGTACTTTAGTGCAATGGAATTTAGGTTCTAAAAGAAAATATTGCTCCTCTATTCCCTACAGGAAACAACTAAATTTGCTGTAAGTTTTGAAAACAGCATTGTCTTCAAGCGAGAAAATGCCATCTACTCGCCGTAACTGGTCGTCCACAATCACCAAAACACTCCAGGAGTCTGTGTTTGTGCGTTTAAGTACTTTGTTTACATATCTGGATCTGATCTAGTACTACCCAAAGAGAAAAAACTGGGATAATGTGATGATAAAAACCCTGTTCAGGTGTCTGAACCAGTCAGTACAGGAATCCAAACGACAATAATTGCACCACTAAAGCCACCTTTCCACTAAAATCACTGAAGACTTCAAGTCCAGTGGGAACAAAAGGTTCCTCAACCATATTCCTATCAGGGTTTCACCAATTTTTCTGATCCTTGAGAGGGTCATCTGAGTACTGATAGTACTTTACAAATTCCAAGTCACCCTCCGAAGTCTCTGAAGTTTCTGAAAGTACCACATATGATGGTGGTAATTGTTTCGGCACAAAGAACCACTTTAAGCACCAGGAAAAAAAGTTCCTCTCGTCAAAAGCACTGAACTTAAAGAAAGTAACACTTGCAGGGACCTTTCGGGGGATGAATAAAGTTACTTGGACTTTATTTGGAACTTGGTTCCCACAGTGGAAACAATGAGCATATGCAACAATGAGTCCGAAGTTCATCGGTGAAGTTCCTTGTATAGAAACAAAAGTTAGGACCTTCGTAGAATCCCGGTCCTCGAGTAAAGTTCCTATGAGGGGAGCACATAAGGTACCTCCAATTTTCTCAGTCACCAGAGGAAGTTCCTGCAATGGAATCCCACTAAGTACCTCCTCAAGTCCAAATAATTTCAGAAAATTTTAACCTCCCCTGACAAAGCTCTTACAAGGGGATAGCATAGGTCAGTTTGATTAAGCTGGAACCTGGTTCTAACATAGTGATATATAGTCCAAATTGAGAAAGTTCCTGCAATAAAAACACACTAAGAACCTCTTTCAAGTCCCTTGTCCCAGGAGAAGTTCCTGGGACAAATACTTACTGAGTTTCTTAAAAAAGTATAAAAAAAAGTTCCTGCAGTGGCATCTCACTTTAAGAGTTCCACCTTTAGTCCCTGTACTTTCAGAAAACACAACACTTGTCGAAGAGACCTTCTATTGAAAATTCACATCAGTCTGACCATGGGTCCTGCAGTGGAAACACAGCAAAGTACCTCCTCAAGCACTCAGTACCTGAGGAGAGTTTTTGCAGTGGAAACTAACCAACTACCTGAATGTTTCTTTTTCAGCGTCTTTCCAAGCTCACTCCAGAAAAAAAGACACTTCATCGGCCCTTCTCGTTCTACAACATCTCCTCAAACTCTTCTTGGCGGACATTGTTTGTGACTGTGTGTGTTTTCCGTCCTTTGTGGGTGACATTACAATGGCGCAAAAACTGAAGTACCCTGAGACCGTTTCCTACAGCTGGTCCTTCTCTTTCTTCGACATAATTTATTGTTTTCAGTAAGAAAGCTGATTCGCTCTGCTGCTGCTCTGAATGTCACACTGTTAAATAAAACATTCAGCCTCAGCCAAATGTGTTAATGCTCCGTAATCAGTGGAATTAACAAAATGAGCAGATTTGCTTTATATGTAGAACAGATGGGACCGTTTTGACTCAAAGGGAATTAATGAGTTAATGAAAGGAGGGGTATGTAGATTCGCAGATACAATCTAAGACCTGGAATTCAATTTAAATATGCCATCTTCTTCATCTTCGTCATCATCAGGCTTATCAGTCAATACCTACATGTGCGCCCAACAACCTTTTTATCTAGGAAGCACTCGACGTAGAAGCCGCATAATTAGGCATCATCAAATCAAATTGTGGCCTTTTCATCCCACTGTTATCTCCCACTCCACATGGCGGATCTACTGTAAGCTCCAATGAGCCCCTCACTCTTCCTCTTGGCTTCTTGGCACACGTCTTTTTGAGTGGCAGTCGGAAACGATCAGGGCCATTTTTCCCCCTCCGTTTTTAACAATGGGAGCGAAAATGAAGACAAAAAAGGGGAAGGGTAAAAAAAAGAAAAAAAACACAGGAAATCCTCCACTTCATGACCAGCTGATCTTTACTCCGCGTTGTCGTTATTCTCATGCAGCTGAAGCCTCGGGGGCGAAGACGCAGAAGCAAGCGAGGGACTGTGAGCTTCGATGAGCAGGAAAAACGACGTCGGTTTTCTCGCTCGCGGCAATGACGCTTCAAAGCCGCTCCATGTTGGACTCCTCGCTCGCCTTGGCATTCGCAGTGGGAACAGATGCAGAGAACAAGCAGAATCAGATGATGGCATGTGGCACGGGCTGTAGGAACGGCCTACTCTCAAAACCCACTAATGCCTCTGGTAGACTAATTTACATTCCCACAGCTTTGGTACAAAAGGTCACTTTACAGCTTCTTTGTACTATCTCTATGTGCATAACCAGTTGTTTTGGAGGAGGAGGTGCTATTTTTCCTGGTCGGTGTTGGATCACATGCTTTGTTTAAGCACTTGGCTGACTAACGTTTGAATCAGGACTGTATAATAAATGTATATGTACCACACCCTGGGGGAAAACACTATAAACACGAGAGAGAATATTCAAAAATCATGCAAATAGGAAAATCTGTGCAATAAAACGAGAGAGAATGAATAGAAAGTGTTGCTGCTATAAGTAATAAACACTAAACCCACTCGCGACCTCAATTTGGAAGCCCATTCATAAAGCCAGAAAAGAGCTCAGGTACTAAATACGAGCGTGGCCATGAGAAGGAGAATACAAAACAGAGAGAAAAAAACAAAGTAGGAAAGGAAATTAATTCCTCTCTGCTCTGTTACTGCCAAAATGAGAGTTTAAGAGATAACAAAACTCTCTATTTTCAGTCGTTATTGATGGGGAAGGTCACGAGCTGTGTTGAAGCCTTCAGTCTGAGAGAAGAGGGGCTGGTTTTGGTTCAGGGTAACTTGAAAACACGGTTATTTTCTTGGAGGAGAAAGATCTTTTAGGGAAAATGAGGTCCAACTCTTTTTGTCCAAATGTCTAATCCTTCCCCTTTTGAGCTAACAATCCTAAATACCTTAAATCTATCAAAAGTCTCTCACTCTACTCTAAACAGATGACTAAAAAGGCTGTTTGCAATTTGCCTTACAAACAAACTGTGATCCAAACCGATTTAAGCCTCAGACTCTAATTCTTAGATCTTTCCAAGACCTCTAACAGGACTGATTCGGTGCCCCGGGCCGCCCTGCAGGTCACCTCATCCACCCTGTGAGTCATTGCACTGCAGAGAGGTGTCTGTGGGTTGGGCTGAACCAAAGTAGTGCTGAGAGAGGGACGCGCTGTATACTGTGAGTGAGAGAGTGAGAGAGTCTCTCTCCAAGTTGCTGACAAAGTCTCTGTCAGCTCGCCTCGCGGTGATAACACAGGATGAACCAAGAGTGTGAGCGACCGAGTGTGTGTGTGTGTGTGTGTGTGGAAGGAGATTAGAGTAAAACCAACTGGAGTTCTCCATCAAAATGACAAAATCAGGTGTTCAGATTCCCACACAGTCACACCTCTCCTCTCCTGTGTGATATCCTTTAGCATTAGCATAGGGGTAAGACAGAATGAACCCCCCCAGTTTTAGCTGCACTCCCCTTTCCTTCCTTCCTCCCTCCTCTCTGTTTTTCATCCTAGCTAAGTGCACTTTATCTGATGAGCCGGTTGGGAAAAAGGCGACCAAGATATTGTGTGCAGCTACAGTACGAATCAACAAATCAATCACTCACACGGCCGATCAATCAATGAAACACAGCAGCAAGTGTGCAGATATTTGCTGCATAAGCTTCGGCACTGCAGAGAGGGAAATGACAAATGAGGAGAAACTAATATTTCTCTTTGGTAACATGTAGATTCGCTGTTTTACTCAGACTTCTCCGACTGCAGCTCGTCTGCTGTTGTGAAAACAGAGCCGCAGACGAAAAGGTCAAAAGCACAAGTTTAGGGCTTTCAGGCGACCTTATAAAACACACGGCTGATGTAAAACGACAACTGTGACGACTGTGCTGGTGCGACTAGGCTTGACTGCTGAGTCTGTGACCAGATTGAGTTGTGTGTAGGTGTAAAGGGACTGTCCTAAGTGGTTAGTGTTGTTAGTCAGGGATGACTGTCTCCATCCTTATTCTGCAGCAGCCCCACGACCTATGGGGTCCCTCAAGGTTCCATCTTAAAGGGATATTCCTTGATTTTGAGGGGAGCCTTGACGAGTTGATCACCGAGTGCAGCGTATCATTTCCTTGAACATGAACATAGATTGTTTATTCGATCAAATATACATACAGTATAATTTTTAGATTTTATGTACCTACCCTCCTATTTATTTACCCTTTACATGTCTTTAAAATCTAGAAATTCTAATGTCGCAAAAAAGTTACCAAAGCTCCAAATCTAACATGAATATGTAACTCATCATTAATACTGAAGCAAAGATCTTATATATACATATATACATCCATACCTATAGGTATATACACACAAATATGCACTTTATATATATATATATATTTACCTAGAATGCTTCAAATTTCTCATTTGTACTTTTAAACTTGAAGTAATAATTATCATTTTCATGCAGACGCAGTAGTTCTTCTGCCTTAGCGTCTCGGTCTGATTCCATTTCCATGAAGTAATGATGTTTTTCCTTGAGCTGCGAAACTCCGCTGCACTCTGTGATCGACTCGTCAGGGCTCTCCCAACAAACAAGCGGCTGCTGGAGGAGAGTAGGTGAGTTGTGTTTAGTCTCTTTGCTAAAGAAATCAGGCGATGCTAAAAAGATGTTTGGTGGCTAGTGCTGTGGCTGGGACCCTATATGTACTGTGGATGAAGTTAGGTGCTGTTCTGAGCATTATTTGTGGCTATAGAGATGTAGACAGCTGTGTATTGCTATCGTGCGGTTGTTATTAAAGTCGGTTTAACTAGAGAAGCAAGCGGTCAGCGACATTCATCTTTCGAGGGGGTGTCTAACTCTGTGTTTTGATCTGTTTGACCATAACTTAAATTTACACCGGAATATCCTTTAAGACTTGTTTTGTTTTCTTTGTTTATGCTATTTTTATAGGTGTCTCTTTCCATTGATTTGCAAATTGATCTGCCGAGGTGTGTCATCTATCTTTATACTCAGGCAATTTTTTGCACAGTTTTTCCAATTTCAGCATCAGATATGGTCAAACTTTTTTGGAATTGGGGTCCCATTAAAAAAATAATAATAAAAAAACATAGCTGTCATATTTCAGCTCTTTCAGATTTGACGAACTATATCATTTACAGGCGTCTTAAACCAGTCGGTTCAAGCGATCATGTTAGCAGTTACATCATTTTAACTGAATGGATGAGACACTGAAAGAGAAGACGAGCCCAAAATATCCTCTTACATGAAGTGAACCGACTGCATAGTTAAGAAAGTAGAAAAAAAAAAGAAAAAAAGAAACAGAAAACCGGATGAGCAGCTTTTTTTTTTTTTTTTTCATCCTTGAGGCGTTTGTCAAGTTCTCTTAAAAATCTTCCAGGCGGGAAATTTGAGACTGTTGGAGAGCGAAGGATGCGGAGAAGGTGAAAAAAAAAAAACAAACAGACATGGCTCATTGACATGCTTAATCTCCAGGTCAATGACACCATCACCATGCCAACCCCCTGCCATCACCATGGAAACGGTCTTTATTGCATCGACAGGTTAGAGAAAAGCCCCCTCATCTCTCAGCCAGGTGTAGCAAATTGGTGGTGTTGTGTGTGTGTGTATTTCTCTCCGTGTATGTGTGTGAATGTGTGTTTAACAGCCCTGCACCGCCACCTGTCTTGTGTTCAGCTGTGCCCTTTGAAAGACACTCGCTGAAATTGATTCTCGCTCATAAAGAAAGACTGACACGTCCAATAAAAGGCGGGTTTATAAGAATTGACTCTGCAAAGACAACTCTGAGTCTTCACAGTCACACGTATCGGCTTAAAACATATTAAATTTTCGCCTTTTAAGAGTCAGGGTTTTCACGGTTTTTTAAAAGAAATAAACTCTTAATAGAGAAAGTGCAACAAATTCCCTTCCCACAGAGGAAGTGTGTTTCATAAAGGTAGAAGGAGGTAAAAATAGGTGTACTATGAGGTCAGATTCAGCAAGAATTCAACCTACACTCCACCTGACAGTCCTCTGTGCTGTTTCTATGGAAGCTGTAATTCCCACTTTAACCTCAGACCCTCCCCCTCCTCTCCTCTCCTGTCATCTCTGCAGACAAACACATCTTTTGTCTTTGCTTTTCCCTGCATCAATAATCAACCTGAATGCGATTTTTCTCCTCCAACATCTTCATCTGTCTTCATTCCTGCGTCTGATATCTGAGGGCCTAAACAGACGACAAACTTCCCAAGAGTTAAAACTGTGATTTCTTTTAAAACAGGAATCTGAAACTAGTGAAAAAGCAAAGGACAAACAGAACAAACAAACTGTACACTGTTACCAAAACAAGAAGAGTCTAAATAATGCTGATGTTTTCTCCGTCCTCACACGTTTATCTAGGTCTACCACCTCATAAAAATAAACAGCGGCACTCCGGAGATAGCCCAAACAACCCAGAACTGTCATAACCGGGGATCTGAGTCCCCGATCAAAGGACTCCAACGCTGGCGCCGCTGCTTGGAGCTCCCCCAGTGTGGAGAAAAGGCCCAACCCGAAGCGTGGCACCAACAGGGAGCCCTAACTGTAGGGACCGGAGCAGCTGGCTCTCGCAAGCCTGTGGAGACTGTGGAGCTAAAATCCCTCTTCAGTACGAGAGCGTTTTACCATCAAACATTCAGGAATCCAGATGGGGAGGAGTTGTGCGCGACGCCTGCATGTGGAGGTGTGTAAAGAGCGTGTATCACCCCGAGTTACCCTGACAGATTCTCAATCTCGCAACAGATGAAACGCCTCGGGTCAAGATGCTGTTTGTGTGTAGGAAATCAGCAAAGACGTGTGTGTGTTATTGCAGTGTGTTGTGTGCCGTTCCTCAGGGGTCAGCCGGGGTTAAGACGGTGAAATTGCAGCAAAGACAGAGGGCAGCGGAGCCGCGGTGAATGAATGAAATAAGCGTGGGATGAGCAGCGCTAAGCCCGGCGGCACAAAAAGGTAGTTTGTGTCGCTTCTTTTCAAAACGCACCTGGACATTTTCGACTGATTGAGCTTACGCCGAACAGCGTTTTGGAGGCTGAATTCCACAATGAAGGAATAAAAAATGACAAAAAGCAGAAAAAAAGACTAAAGAAATGTTTGTTTAGATGCACAGTTCATCTTTGTGTCAAGCATGAATGAGAGTTGTGTTTGCACATCCAGAAACTGTCCACTTGTGTGACAAATCTTCGTTTAAATCACAACACAAGTTCTTTGGATTCAACTGAATGAGACAAATGACACGTGACAAACTGGAGGTGCTGCAGCGCGAATCTAACGCACCTTGAAGCAGAGGGCGGTCTTTTTAAAATTTAAAACTCTAGACCACGCCCACTTTTTTCACTTCCTCCTCTCATACAAACACTATCAGCTGCTGCTAGGAAACCCATCCAAGAGAAAAGTCTGTTTGTGGATAATACTCTTCGCTCTCGACTCTCTAAACTGTTTCTGCTGCTTTTTTTTGACACATTTTTTTGTTTTTCTCCTCGTCTCCACTCCGAGTGTTTCCAGCCTGTGAGGGATTTTCTTCTCCGTGATAAACCTGCCTCACTTCATCAAAGTAAGCTCCCAGATTTTCCTTGCTTGTGCGTTTTGTGCTTCTTGGCTCTGTTCAGCTTCTGTTTTGTGTTCAGTTGTTGTCTTTGTGAGCGTTGGTATCCACTCGCTAACTTGACTGCTGATCTGCTCGCCCTGCTGTCTTTGCTTTACTGGCTTCTTGTTGCTGCTTTTGTGCGGAAATTGTCCAGCTTTTCTTGAGATTGTTTTCTTTTGTGTGTTGAGTTTTCTTCGGCGTGCGAGTTGTCATGGTTTCTTGCTGGTGGATAGAGACATGAAATTGTTTGGTTGATACGAAGTAAGCTCCACTCAGGGTCTTTAGCTTCAATTGAAGTGTTTGAACTGGGTGGTCCCCCTTCTTTAAAGCAGAGAATGTGGCGTCTCAGTTGGACTCATCAGACCACAGGAGAGTTTTCTGCTTCACCTCAGTCCATCTTGGATGGGCTCAGGCCTGGGGAGGTCTCTGGATTGTGGTAATTGTGGTTTGAAGAGCATATGTGGTGATTTACACGACAGAGTCATGTCTGTTTTGAATGCAGTTCCACAGTTTTTCGGCCTATTTTGAAATTCCGCCAGATCCACTAAGTCTTCAATGTTACAGTAAAGCAGACCTGGGCATTTTACAACCCGGGGGCCACATCCCTGCCCGGCCCTTCGTGAGGTCCATCAATCAAGTCATCAACATACTATAAAAGTCTGTCGCGTTTATTTTGAAAACCTAGCTGTTGTTTTATTTCCATTTGGTCACACGTGCGTACATCCTCGATCTGCATTTGAGAACAGAGACAAGTTTAAATATCGGCAAAATATTCGTAGACGCCTCCCACTGAGCATTTTTTGGTCTAAAAGAGGTCTAATAGACGTCTAAATGTGGTCTAGACGACTGGTCTAAAATCAGGCCACCACAGGTCTAAAAATAAAAGTTTTGCGACGTCTAAATTTAGGCCGAGTTTAGACTAGCCAGCTAACAGAGGTCTCATAATTATTTTGGTTAAGTACTTGGACATCAGTTATGCAATTCACAGTTGCTTTTCGAAATAAATACTTATCAAATAGCGGGTTAAAGTGCAACGTCTAAATTCCGTCTACAGATACACAGAATCTAGACGGTTGAAATTAGGTCTAAAAAATAACTAGACGTCTAATAGCCGTCTGTTGCTCAGTGGGCTTATAGTTGCCAAGTCCGCTTATTTAAAAGGACTTAAAGCTTGTTTCTCTCAGAAGTTGCTTGTAAAACTCATGAGTTGCGTTTGCGCTTTTTTGGGGCTTGTTTTTAACTAGTAGTTGCTTATTTGGGTTTGCTTTTCTGTATGTGTGAGCCCCCGTGATATTGTTAGTTCGGCCCTCCAACACAGTTCAGGTTTCTCATGTGGTCCCATGTAAAAATTAATTGCCCACCCTTGCTGTAGAGTCTGATTTTTTGCACTTTTTGACTTTTAATCAGAAATTGTTGAAGTATTTGCTGATGCGGTCCTCCCACTAACTTCCTCCATTTCTAAGAGACTCGGCCTTCACAGTCATGGTACTAACCTGCTGCAAAATACAATAATTACATTTGGAAAGTTCTCTACATGCTTTTGATTTTTTAGCATTATGTAACTTTTTCTGTATTTCTGTAACACATAGTTCTCGAACAAGTAAATCTGGCATCAGAGAAGCATCTCTCCCGTGGAAATAAACGAAAAGAAATCATAAAGAGCGGCTGATGTTCTGCAGCTAAAAAAGTGTTTGTGTGACAAATAAAGAGGGCAACAACTCTTGGATGAAGAAGCGGTGCATGCAGGGTTGTAGGAGATGAAAATACAGCACACAGTCTAGTGAAGGAGATTATGCTCCCTGGAGACCAGCGCTCCTACTCTACCCATAATGCATTACTTCTCCCTGTGATCTCTCACCTCAATTCCAACCTCTGGAAACGGATCTGTTCCATTTGAATAATTCACCATCAATTTCTCTTCCCGTCATCCCTCTCTTCTCTCCAGTCTTCAACCCTTTCCTTCCTCATGCCTCTTTTTTTCTATATGGCCTAAAATTATCTCCAAAAGATCACTGAAATGTCAGCCGTAATAATTACGCATCATGACACTTTGTCTCCTTGCAGGGGTCTTCACATAACTCATTCACAGATGTGTAATTTAAGCTTCTCCATATTTCCAATATCATCGCCTGATATACTTCTGTGACACTTTTTTCTAGTTTTCATGCATAAATAAATATTCTGAGGGGATGGCATCTTAAGCAACATAATACCCCAGTCAGCTGTTATGGTAAAAAGCTTATTTAAAACAACTAAGAGGGTTCCTGTGTGCAGATAAAATCTCTGAAAACAGAGTTTTTTATTTGTAGGGCTTATTTCTGGTGTGATCTTGCCACACCTCCAAAACTGACTGATAATTAGATTTTACTCAATAGATACAATACACTATGACATGATACGATTCGATACCGTACGATTTTACACCATGCGTTACAAAAATATGATGTGATACAATATATGATTGGCGACAATATGATACGATTTGATATTATTCAATACGATATGTTACAATTCAATATGATACAATATAATCTGATATGATATAATATGATACAATATGATACGATTCAATACGATATAATATAGTATGATACAATTCAATATGATATGATACGATTCAATACGATATAATTTAATATGATACGATATGATACGATTCGATAAAATGTGAAGTGATTTGATACGACACGATATAATCTGATATGATACAATATGATTCGATTCGATACCATACGATAGGATACGATACTATACGATATGATATGACATAATATGATACAATATAATATGATATGATACAATATGATACAAATCAATACAATATGATACAATGCGATATGATATATGATACGATACGATCTGATGCCATACGATCTGCTATGATATAATATGATATAATACGATACGATTCGATACGATTTGATATAATACGATTTGATATGATACGATTCGATATGATTCGATACGGTATGATATGATACTATATGATACAATTCGATATGATTCGATACAGTATATTTGATATGATACGATTCAATACGATACAATATGATCTGATTTGATACTATAAGATATGAAACGTAAAACAATATGGCACGAGACAGCACGATACATTACGTTTCAATACGATACGAAACAAGACAATATGATATGATTTAGTTCCAAATTATTCTATTTAATTTGATTGGATTCCTTATGACATTTATGATGATCTGATACATTACAATACAGATTAGAACATGACATCATTGCATTCTATTCCATACAACACTGTATAGAATAGTGCAATACTGTACGATATGATATGATACAATATGGTATGACACGGCATGACACTATGATACGATACAATATAATATAATGGAGTATGAAATGATAAATGGTACTTCATGAAGGCATAAAGGAAGGATAAGGCATGCTAAGGTAAGGTGCAATACCTTAGGATACATGATGAGATATGAGACGATATGAGACAATGAGATATTTTACATTACAATAGGATGAGATATGATATGATGGGATATATAATGTGATACAATAGGATACACTTTTTTGTATCTTTTAGGAAAAACTGTAAAGATTATTGTCGTTGTTCTTAGTTGTCGGTTTGTTTCCCCTGTTATTTAGGTAACACAGATATCTACAGTCCTATCAGCAGTTTTTAAATATTTTTGTCTATTTCTGTGAATGTTTATAGAGAGCAATATCATCAACTGTCAGGAGAAAAAGCAGAGCAGATGCTGATTTTACAGATATCCTGTTTCGTTTTCAAATATGAGTGAAGCCATATGATGATTTGAACGTAGATATCATCTGAACTTGATGACATATCCAATCCTGAGATGTAACTTTAACCAGTGTGTGATACTTACGACAAAACATGGCCCCGCTGAGGTCTGGAGACATTCCTCCAGCAGCTTCATTCTGAGTCTCTGCAGCTCTGGACTGTCCCACTCCTCTGGGTCCACACCCCAGTACAAGTCCACCACCTGAAAACACAAATAGAAGACAAAACGGATGTTTCTGTGAGAGCAGAGAATAGACGAACCAGCAGAAATATGACACAAAATACTTCATCGTCCTTCATATTTATATCATCTTTAAACAGAGTAAATACCTCAAAAAGAGGACGCAGATTTAAGAACTCTCTTCAGGGAACATTTATCTTATTAAAACCAAACGCTTGCTGGTAAGTTTCCAAGCAAAGTCAGATGAACCCGTTGCTCTATCTGAGGGAATTTAAGTCCAGCTGATGCCAAGTTTGACGTTTCCCAGATCCTGAAAGTGTAATTAAACAAAAGCTAAACAGCTCAAATGAGGATAAGACGGCTTACACTCAAAAAATCTCACTTCAGCAGTGACTTACACGCACACACGTACACCTACTCTGTTTCAGGAGAACCCGGTACACCACTTTCACAGCCCAGCAGGGAGAGGCGACATACGCATCCATACTGCACACACACACACACGCCGCAGAGGGGGGTCTCCCTCCACGCGTTCAACACAACTTTGGCAGCTCAGGCAATTTGAGCTGTAAACACGCCTCGGGGGGAGTCTCCCATCAGAGAGAGTGGTGAGGGAAAGTCTACACACTCTTATAAGCTGTATTTTAAAGGTAAAATGCTGTTGTGGGGACATCTCTACATGCAGCTTTTGATTCAGATGCTCTTCCTCCCTGATCGCACTGTCAGAGGAGTAAAATACAGAGGGTGCAGCCGAAGGAGGAAGTGAAGCCAAAGTACTGCTGTCTCCCTTCACGCTCTGCTGCACAGCAGACCAGCTCGCTCAGATGAGTTTAGTCCAGCACACGATGACTGACACATCCGCAGTGTGGCAAAGAACAGAGTGACGACAGCTCTGCATCACAGCCCCGGCGCTGAAACAGAGAGTGTGGGACTTTCCTTTTGACAGTGTGTGAGATATTCACCTCCCTCAGCACTGGTGGGAGCAGCAGGGGGGGAGCTGAGATACACCTCGGCTCATCTGGCTGATTATTGTTGTGCACCTGTGAGCAGCTGTGTGACTGAGGGGGGCGACAGCTTCAACCAGCTGCAGATTTATTACAGAGAGCAGGGATGCTAATGGAAATATTTTCTGTATCAGTTATTTCAGACGCTGGCTATCTTTTTTCTCATCCTTGTGTTCTTGAAGAATAGACTGAGTGTGGCAGCTGTGAACTGAACACACTGGATGGTGATTATTTTTCCATTAAATACATAAAAAAAACAATATAAGAAAAAGAAAAAGCACAAAATACATTATGCTTCAGTTTTGCCCTGTCCTGTACACCAAATCATAAAAATTCAGGATATCCTAAAGTCCAATACATTTACAACCCGGAATAATCATCCAAATATCTGTACAGTACCTTTTACTATTGATAACTGTCGTCATAAAGTAAACACTGAAGTACCTATACTCAAAATAAAATCATCTTTTTTTTGGTGTCGAACAAGACATCAAAATAAAATGTAATAAGTCTTCTACAGCAATACCCAGTGTACTATCAGAATCAGAATTGAACACTGATACCTGCAAGAGCACCAAATTTCCTATACCTGACACCTATACCGATACCAGTATCAGTGTTAATATTCAATATTAACACTGATAGTTCATTTTCAATACTGATACCTATACCAATATAATGATCAGTGTCACTGTTAATATTCAATATTGATACCATACCGATATCATGATTAGTGTTAATATCCAATACGGCATCTATACCAGTATTAGTATCAGTATTAAATACTGATACCTATTCTAGTATTGGTATCTCCTGTTGAAGCTGATTTCTATACCAATATTAGCCATTTGATAGTCATACTAGTATCTATCTTTAATAATGATATCCTTACCAATATCTGTCTCCAAAACACCAAGACCAATATGGTCAGTTTTTTTATTTCTGATTCCCACACCAGTATTCATTCTATTCTCAATACCGATATCTATACTGTTATTTGTATTGGTTTTCAATGCTGATTCCTTTGTCAGTATTACTATATCTGTACTAGTTTTTGTTGTTGACACCAGTACTGCACTGGTGTGGATATCTGTCTTCAAATGGATGCCAATCAATATATCAGTTGCTGTTTTTTGTACTAATACTGATGCTGGTAACATTGTGGTCTTACATAGGGATACCTAGACCAGTAAGGATACTGGTCTCCAACACTCAGTCTTTAGATAGTCATACTAGTATCTATCTTTGATACTGATAGCCTTACCAATATCTGTCTCCAAATCACCCATGCCATGAGTTTTTTTTTCATTTCCAACTTCCACACCAGTATTAATTCTACTTCGATACTGATATCTATACTAGTATTTGTATTGGGTTTTCAATGCTTATTCCTATGTCAGTATTACTATATCTGTACTAGTTTCTGTTGTCGATACCGGTACTGCACTGGTATGGGTATCCGTCTTCAAATGGACGCCAATCAATGTATCAGTATTGGTTTTTAATAGGAATACTGATGCTGGTATCACTGTGTTCTTAAATAGAAATATCAGTAGGTATTGGTCCCCAACACTTTAACTCTTGATGTCATGACAGGATTTTAAAGGGTTAAAAACTGATAAAGTAGTATTTGTCTTTCAGAGAAGCAAGTTTCGCTCCATGTTTGATTCAACCATCATTAATTGTTGGTATTTTTAGAACTTTTTAGTGGGTAGACTATTTCGCTACTAGCTGAGAGAGAGGTTGAAGCACTGCAGGCTTTTACTTTGAAATTCTCTCCTGGCTCACACAAATATGATTAGCATCCCTCACGTTGTAGAAAACTCACATCAGTCACTGTGTATCAGTGTCTCTAATCTGCTTCCAGCTTCCAACGCACATGTGTGGGAGAGTGATCGGCTCTGTGTTGACAAGGACTGCGGGGAGGGAGAGTGGGGGGAAGTGAGGCGGGGGTAGTGAGGTAATAAGCCCCCCCCCCCATCTTCCCGGATCATGACTGGTTTCTACTGGGCTTCAGCAGGTGATGGGGAGGATTCACAGTAATTAAAAGCTAAATGAAGACATTAGTCATATCTATTCATGTGTGTAGATGTGTGTGGGGGGTACATACTCATTAAATTTGCCTAATCACCCGCTGCGCCTCGCTGGAAATCGGAGGGAAGGCAAAGATAGATGACGGAGGAAAAGTGAAGGAATGTTTATCTGAAACAGGCAGGAGCGCATAAACGAAGTTAAGAGGGGAGGTATTTTGGCGGGAGATTAGTTAGGACAAGTTTTTAAACGAGTCGATGACTCCTGTGGGACTGGAGCTCTCTTACATCGCCTCTTTTTCCTTCATGCCAATCTCTCCCTCGTCTCCCCCCGTCTCAACTATAAAAGCAGGGGTGCCTTTGCTTACGTAAGATTCGAAGCTGCTTCCACTAAGCGGCTTTCTAACGCCCTTGGAAGGCATTTGCTCATGGCGGGTCAAGTGCAGGGAAGCCTTTTTTTTTTTTTTTTAATTTATTGAATGTGAGACTATTAAACTTTTGGATTATGCCCAAGATGCCCGGGAAGAAAGGGCGTGAAATCAGGCGAGAGAAAGGGCGGAAAATACCCCTTCGACATGCAGAGAGACTTAGGCAAGAAACAAGAGTAAAAATAGATACACCGCCAACATAAATGTATCTTAAGCCCTCGACTGCGGGCAGCTTGATCCAGAACATGAAGTAAATCTCTAAGAATATTTGATGAAAACAGCTCTCTTAGTGCTGGTTTTAGCGTAAAATCTGTCACTAAATATTACATTTTTGCAGCAGTACAAGTGCAAACTGTTCGCAGAAGCGAGTACAGACGGTTCAGAGCGAGAGAGTTTCAGCTTCGGATCCTTACGCTTATTCCAATGGTTGATTTCTGAATCCAATATATTTGATTTAGGTTGTCAATAATGGGCGCCGGGGGAGTGTTTCGAACACACGCCTCTGAGAAAATCTGTCAGGCTCGGGCACTCCGGGGTAATTACAGGACGGGAGTTTGAGGCGTCGCAGCTCAACCGTAGCTGGTTAGGGTTAAGAGGCGGGCAGAGACGTGAGGTAATGAGGTCACATGACTGGCGATGAGACGACGGCTTCGAAAGTCAACTTCAGATAGGTGATGATTTTTTCAGAATTTTACATCGTCTATCATTGAGCGTCATTTGTTCTCTGTCAAAATGAACTCCTCCTCATGCATTTTCAATTTTAAAACTGTATCCTGCAGCATTCAATCTTCCATTTAAAACTCTCAGTCTGAACTAAAAAGTTAACTCTACTGGCAAAGAGACGCAGCCTGCAGAGAAGGATTCTGGGGATCAACACTTTTCCAGCCAGTGAATGAACTTGCAGAGCAACAGAGTGTTTCTGAGTCAGTCTGGCTGCCGGCTAAAAGAAGGCTGAAGATAGCTAAGCCGGCTAAAAGGCTAAAAAGTGTGGGTGAAAAAGTGAATGTGCCGCCTGAGAAGATTGTGAACTTAATCAAGTTGAGAATTCTTTGTTTTTGTTTTAAAGTTACGGACCAAAAAAAAAAAAAAAAATGCAATTTACAAGCAAGCATTCGTTTTCTGTCCACAGGCAGATAAACAGACAGGGCTGAAAATACAACCGTCACTGTGACAGTAATAAGACATCCCCTTTGTGCTCTGAAAAGTTCCCCTCTGGGTTTTACAAACACACTAGAACTGAAAGCTTGGACAGATTTCTTCAGATGTGATTTTTGATTATCTTTGCTGTATCATCCCCGAGGAGTCGGTTGGCTTTCTGGTACGCTCTTTGCAGGGAATAAATAAAGAAAAACAGAGTGTCGGAGCAGGACGATGAGCAGAGACGGTGGCCTGCTGCCAGTGAGTAAGAGAAGCACAGACTGAGAGGAACAAAGAGGAGGAACAGGGAGCTAGGTAAACAGATGGAGGAGTGAGGAGCACCTTTGTTTTTAAACTCTTAACTGCAAATATATGCATAAACAAATCAATGGTTAGCATAAAAAATATATTACAAACAGTAATTCTCCTTTTTTAGGTGATTAACTTGTGTTTCGGTAAATTTGAAGCCCAGCTAAAAATGTTCTTTTGTTTTTTGAGGGGCAGCTATCGCCAATGTTTGATAATGAAACTGATACAAAAAGAATGCAGTTCCTTAAGTGGCCACTAGAGGCTGGATTCAAAATCCAAAAATTGTGATTATGCCTTTTGTTAAAAATGTTCATTTTTACAAAGGCTGAATAATATTGGAAAAAACTAACATTGCAGTTTTTTTCAACCCTAAAATATATATTGTGATTATGGCTTTTTTGGGGCTGATGCTGATACGGATTATTGGGATGCAATGTGACTATCGTGCACATGTACATTGCGATGACGATGCTCAAACAATATATCGTGCAGCCCTAATTTTTACAGCAGAAATAAATTAGTATGGTCTGGTTTGTAACATGAAATCCGTCTCAAATGCTGATTTGTTTGCAACTCACTCCCTTTAAAGCTCCTTTGAGGAGTTTTAAGCTCGCTAGCTATAAAATGAACACAAACTCTTGTGATTGCCTTTCTATGGCCTCGATTACGTGTTTGTTTTGTTGGCGAGACATTTATCGAAAATCGTCATATCATTAGTCAATGGCTTTTTGTGTGGCTTTTGGCAAAAGAAGTTTGATTTTTTTTTTAATAAGGGAAGCTATCGCCAATGTTTGTTAATGAAACTGATACAAAAAAATGCAGTTCCTTAAATGGCCACTTGAGGCTGGATCCAAAACCCAAAAACTGTTATTATGCTCAGTGTTTGAAGTTTTAACTTTTACAGCAGAAATAAACATTTACAGTTTGGTTTGTAACATGAAATCTGTCTCAAATGCCGATTTTTTTTGTAACTCACTAACTTTAAAGCTCCTCTGAGCAGTTTTTAGCTAACTAGCTAGCTATAAAATGAACACAAACTCTCGTGATTGCCTCTTTGTGGGCTAAAAAAAAACAAACAGGACCATTACCATAGAGAATAAATATCTCTATATAGTTTTGTTATAGTGATACTGCTTGGACCACCGGGGGGTGCCAAATGGACATGAACAAAAAGTTCTTTATAGGAGCTTTAATTAGGGAAAATTTAAGTTTTTAAGCCTAAACTCAGTTTATTTAGTCTCCGAACTAACCCTTTTAGCTGTGTTTGTTTCGTTGGCGGGACATTTATTGAAAACAGTCATATCAATAGTCAACGGCTTTCAAATGAGGAAGTTTGGCCAAAGCTTCTCTGGTGTCACGGTGAGCTTTTGAGTGAATTTGTCCACGCATTGCTCTCTCAGTAGAGTCTATCATGTACAGAAAATTACACAGAATCTATTCAAAATCACAGCATACTCAACATGAACAGCACAATATAATATGAGGAATTCACAGCAGCTACAGCCCTTATTAATGCAATCTACATTTATGACAGAGATTTCACACTCATGCTAATTGACAGGTATTCACTTTCCCTTATTTAACAGTTGAAGCATAACAGCATCAGGATTTTTTAATTTTTTTAATCATTATGAAAAGCCGGCTCGCCCCTCATCTCGCCACTTCTGCCGAGAGTTTTAAAAGACGCCTGAGTGACAGCCGCTGAACACAATCCCACAGCCATAGCGGGGAAACTTTTACTTTAATTACACTGTCTCTGAGCGTGTCTGCGCGTGATGGACAGTGAGTTTGGCAGCCATAGAGCGGTCCGGCCGCATTATTAACAGAGCAGCTTCCAGTAACCCCGGGATCCAGTTTATGCGCTGCATGTGGGAGGAAGTGAGGCATTGTTACGAAATGATTTATGAGTCCCGGAGATGCGTGATGGGTAAAGATAATAGGAATGTAGAGTCGATTGACAGCTCAGCATGTGAATCATGGTGAAAACTGGACTTTAGACTGGATCTGTGGACTTATACTGGCCAACCAGCACCTTAGATTTCCTCTGCAACTACATCCAGCTTAACCAGAAGCAGCCTACCAATACCAGCGCATGTTAGACACTGCACATTTGTTTAATCCGAGTATATGAAACAAAGCTCTCACACTCAAACACCATAGCTGCGAGCAATCTCGCAATATGAGGAGGATGAAAGTACGCAGAAACCTTGTCTGATCCTCATTTTCTAACACATCTCACACATCACTCCATCATTCCCTCGCTGCGTTTTTCCCGCCGTTTCCAGAAAGCTAGCTTACAATCAAGCGATGAAAGAGAAAACATGATAGAGGGCAGGAAACACAAGGGGATTGAAATGGTTAAAAAAGGCATCACAGAGCTTTCAACCCCCTCCCCTTCTCTCGTTTCCGCTGGCATGACTGAATGAGGACGCAGCCCTCGGCCCCTGGGCTGGATTTCCTCCTGCCTGGATCCCTCTCGCCGTCTGCCGCGATCCCGCTCCATCCTCTTACGGGAACACTCTGGATGGAAACTGAGTCAAGTGATGAGGGACCGCAGAGAATCGGGGTTTCATCAGCTTGGCATATGTGTGTCAGTGTGTGCCAGCTGAGAGTCAGGGAGTGTGTGAACAGAAAAGAGAAGAGGCAGGATCAGGGAGAAAAAATAAACCAGAGGAGGGATGCTCGAAGATCACATTCACAAAAAAAACAAACTGCTAACCGGCGCTTTTAACCGAATCCTCACTAGACGTAGGTGAGGATGTAGAGTGAAGGATCTTGGGAAAGAAAGATGAGTAAGTGAGTCATTGTATTAACTCTCTGGCCTCCTGAATAATCATTTCAGCTCACGCTTCGTCACGGCGAGCTGAATCACCAGACAGGCAAACTCTAGCCAGACTACCTCATCTCCCGCTTTATCGTCCATTTCTCTGACGCACAAACATCCACGTTTTAGGGATCAACAATGCTCCCCAGATCGTTCTGTGCATCCATGACCCTTTGAACTTGCTTGTAATAATCGTAGTTTATGTAAATCAATGCAAATTGGCTTTAAGACTCATGTAACACGCTCGCCTTTAAACATTGTATTCGTTTGGACAATACATTTGTGCTGAATCTGTCTATAAAAGGGATTTATGTTGCTTTAGAGCTTCACTCTAAATGATGGATGATTCATCCCATTCACTGACGGGCTCTTCTCCAAACGAAACCATTGAAACGCAGATTTTTGAAACAACAGCAGCGACAGAAAAGCAGAATTACCGCTTTTGTAAATGCCTACACCGAAGAAGAAAAGAGGCTGCAGTCTACCTCCTGAAGTGTTTCCTCCTGTAACTGCGGCTAAGACCAAGTGTGAGTTAAATATTGAAGGTATTTGAGGGGAAAAAAGATGAATCTGAAAAAGCATGAATGGGCAAACTGAAAACCTTACCTAGCACAGATATCGACTGCAGGTTACCTTTAGATGTATTAAAAAATAAGACTGAAAATCCCTCAAATGCTTTAAAAAACGCCTGAAGCTGCCAGTTCAAATCAAGAATATATTGATGCATGCAAGTATTTGGGTTTCTTATGATCTATGAGGTGGGAATTGGATGTCTTGTCTTGTTGATTCTAAACAAACTAAAAGTCTGTAAGGATCTTTGATATTCCACCGACACTCAACTTTATGATGCATGTGTATCCCTGATATTGAACTCTGCTGCAGAAGTGTGGGTAGGGCTGGGCGATATGGCCTCAAGGCAATATCACGATATATTAAGCAGTTCACCTCGATCACGATAAATGGATGATAACTACTCCACAAGCTGCTCACCTCCTCCCACATTAACGTCTACTTCTGTCACCGCTACAACTTTTGAACCGTCCTCCATCTCCTCACCTGTCTTTCCCTCTTTGGGAAAATCCAAAACCAACTTTTATTTATTTATTTTTTTTGACAATAAATATACGAATATAGGCAAAATGACGTCAGTTATCGTCATAACTTTTGGTATCAGGGTGTTTTTTAAAGCATTTGAGTTAGGGCTGGGCGATAAACCGAAAATTTACTAAGTTTCCAAGTTGTCCAGTTCAAATCAAGAATATACATCGATGCATGGAAGTATTTGGGTTTCTTTTGACCTATGAGGTGGGAATTGGCTGTCTTGTTGATTCTGCTGGAAGAATTTTTGGTTCACTTCTTAAATCAGTGGTTCTCAAGTCCAGTCCTTGAGCCCCCCCACCCTGCATGTTTTGGATGGTTCCCTGCTCCAACACACCTGATTCAAATGATCAGCTCGTTATCAAGCTCTGTAATGGCTTAACGATCTTTGATATTCCACCTACTCTCAACTTTATGACGCATGTGTATCCCTGATATTGAACTCTGCTGCAGAGGTGTGGGGTTTCAACTCCAAAAATGTGGATTCTGTGATGAATAGAGCTATTAAGGTGCTTTCTCTGCGTTCATAGATTTGCTCTCTTCAGAGATAAGGGTTGGAGCTCCAGAGTCTGTACAACAAAAGTGTGAACTGTTGCACATCTGGTACGAAAAATGTTCAGTCTAAACCACAACTTAGGATATAGATGTGAATAAAACAGGATTTTTTAATCTGAATTAAATTTCTAATCTATTTATATTTAGTTTAGAATTCAAAGATCTTCCAGGTCTGGTATTTTCCATCTCCTTTCTTCTATCAGTTTCTAAAGAAAATAGACGATGTGAGTTGTGTGATCTGGACGAATTGATAACCGAGCATCATTTTCTTTTACATTGTAGAGAAAAAACGATAACCTGAGAAAGTTAATGTTTTATGAAGTCGCTCCCCAAAAGCTTGAAATAATGTAGCGCTCTGATGAGCAAAAACTGGACCAGCTGTTTAAAATTTTATGCCTTCTAGCTTTCTAATTTTGTCTTAAATGCCATGAAAAGAAGAAAAGACGCCGTCTTCAATAATGGATGTTAATATATCTGTTAGCATTTTCTTCAAATTTGCCCCGAGACGTTAACCTGTCACGCACTCTGACCTTTGATTTCATGAACTCACAGTGTCTATGTAGGCGGACGCGATGATAAAACAAAAACTTCAAACAAGTGGGACCGAAATGACCCCGCAGTGATTTTAACTTTTGACCTGTGAGCACCAAGACTTGTCCCAAATTTAAAGAAATTTCCTCGGGCTGTTCTGGAAATATCACTTAAATAAGAACAGGACATGACTCATGGTGAGTATGTTTTCTTTTCTTTACCCAGACGTTACTTAACCTTCGGCCTTTTGGACCGAAATGCCAACTCGCTGCACTTTTTTTTTTTTTAAACCACTTGGACCTTTGAGAGGAAATCGGTGCACAGCGACTACTCCCACAATCTTTGACCTTTCATCATTAAATTTTAATATGTCCCTCTTTGAGTCTAAGTGGACTTTTGTACCAAGTTTAAAGAAAATCCAACGAGTATGTGTTAAGATATTATGTTCAGAAAGCATAGACAGGTACACTATCAACTGGAGGCAGAGAAAGGAGCTCAGCTACAGAAAAACAACCACCGAGAAAGTTTGTACACCCTCATAAGAAGCATTCAAACTAGATCAAAGCTGAATTAACATTGCTTTAAATTCGACTACAAAGTGTTTTCTAATAATGAAATAATTCCTCCTGGCGGATTAAACCTCCTGAAAGAGGTTTGGTTTCATCCGAGTTTGTCTTTGTACTCAAATACGTAGAGAATGAAAGATAATCCCTCAATTTTACACAAACAAAACACAGAATAATACTGAAAATCTCAACAGCTGGAGTCTCCTTCTTTTTTTTTTACAGATTTTAGATGGTGTGATGTACTCAGAGCTTTTTTTTATGATCCAAACGTTCATAGCATGAAATGAGAATTAGCTCCTCTCTGCAACAATTCAGGGGTCACGGCTCTCCTCGTCGGCTAACAAATCCCCTTGCATCCTTCCAGGAACAATCTGTGTCAGAGATCTCCCCCTGACTGGAGGGCTCTCCTGGATTTGTTAAACAAAACAAACCTCCGATAGCAATCTCTCCAAGTGTGCACCGATACTGATTTGCAATGCAAATCATCTCGATCAGCGGGCACCGCTGGGGGAGAATGCGGCGATTCTCCGGCAATAACAAAAGGAAAGCCCCTCATATCACAGCCACCTCATCCGTGGCCAGATTTGAGCCAGCGTGCGCTGATGGAGGTCTTATCTCTGTTAGCCTTCTGTCTGCTTAAAGCGACAGGAACCTCAGCGCCCAACGACAGGGGGGCCCTTTAGGCGCTGATGGCTGTGTAAGCCATGATGTAGATTTGGAGGCACTTAACAATCAGACCTGGCAAACTGCAGCTCTGGAAGTTAACGGCAGCTCAGAGGAGGAGAAAATTTAGAAAAGGGTGGAAAGCAGGTGGTTACCTGGAATTCAATCCCATAGTTTTCCCTGCAGAAGTCTCGTAGTTTGGGGTAGACGTGCTCTTTCAGTGCGTTCCTCTCTGCCTCTGTGTCTGGAGACAAAACGGGAGAGAAACCGGAGTGTTAGAACAATAAATTTTAACAGCAAACTTAAAGCAGTTCTTAGCAAGAGAAGAAATCTAATGAATGCAACTTAAGAGTTAAAAAAGTGACCTCCTTCAAGCTCCTAAACCCTCTAGACTCAACCCACAGGTAGGAAAGTTGCACGAATGATCTCACGTAGATTCATATTTTTTTAATGATAACCACTCTCCTAAAATGAATTCAAACTTTGACTTTAAAAGGTGAAAGTCAAAGTTAAAAGCAGTAAAAACAATACACAATTGGCGTTTTGTAATTATAATTGGCCTTTTGTAATAATAATAATAATAATAATAATAATAATACATTTTATTTATTTATAAAGCACTTTTACAGGTGCTTAAAGACGCTTTACGAAAAAAAAAACTAAATTTGAAATACAGAAAATTTTGAGTAATTAGACCAACAGTGTAGAACGGTTAAAAAGATACAATATAAGAAGACAATAAAAGAACAGTTTACCGGTTAAAAGCCAATTTAAAAAAGATGTGTTTATAGGAGTGATTTGAAGTTTCAAAATTTCTCTATTTTCATAACAAAATGCTGTAAACTGTATTATTTGGACATGGGGTAAAAAAAATAGTCTATCTGCTAGAACTTTCTCTATTTTCATAACAAAATGCTGTAAACAAATTTCATTAAACACCTAATCTTTAGTAATTTAAAGCTACTGTAAGGAATTTTGGGTACATATTGATTTTGGCGCCCCCTGTGGACAAAGTCATTGCTCTTATTTGTCTTCCTCTACGGTTCTCTGATCAAAACCTCATCTTTTTCTGTGAAAGAGCTCACTCACTGTGAGTATTTGCAGTGAAAAAGTACAAACATGCTATTGTTCAAGCCTGCTGTCAATCATTTGGTTTGACAACTCCCCCTCAGGGTGGTCTCAGCATAAGAAAAAAACCTCAGAAAAATTAGCGTCTTTTCCCTGATTGCTTTTTTTTGCTTTTGATCATCATGAAGAGGCATCGATATCAGTTTCAGTCTGTTTCTCCACAAATGAAAAACTCCTTACAGTGCCTTTAAACCTTCAGTAAATGTGCTGAGTATCTGACTGTATCCTGACTTTATCTAATAGCTAATTTCTTCCTTTTTCCGCCGTACAACCTCAAGTAACCTCCAGAGTGTGACGCTGACACACTGTTGAAGAATGCAGGACTGTCCAGCCTCACACAGGCAGTGATCATATTGGACAGTCAGAGTGTCACACACACACAGTGAGCGCCCACGGCTTGTTGTTGTGTCCCACTTTCTTTTCCTTTTTTTCCTCCCTCTCTCTCTCGCTCTCTCTCCTCTCTTTCTCACTGTCTTCCAAATGGTTACTGTAATGTATTTGGACAGGCCTGGTCTCTCTCTCTCCCCTTCCTTCCTCCCTCCCCTCTGAAGGGGGACGATGGATGGTTTTCAAATCTGAACATCGCCCGACGGAGACCTAAGACTTTGCACATGTGTGTATACATATGCAAGCACACACATGGTGGTTCACTTAAAACAAAAATACAACAAAAAAAAAAACAAATTTAATCTGACGTATCTCCTCCTTGTCTATCTTTAGTAAGGCTCTGGGCCGTGACCGTGCGTGCTTTCACCCACAGCTACACGGGCAAAATGTCAAATCAAAAGCGAATGGCAGTAATAGTATGCAAATGAAATAAATGGCAGTTGCTGCATCAGTGGAGCTCCCATTTCATCCCATCAGAGCGACATAACAGGACTATAAATGTGTAATATCTCCCAGGTGACATCATAAATGCAAAAATAGCAGGTTAATGGAATTCAAATTAAACCTGTTTGGGAAGAATCAAAAAAGCGAACAGTCTACGCCGCGCTGTTACTCTCTCTTCTTCTTCTTCTTCTTTTCATTTTCTATCTTTTGTGGGATGGTGATGTGTTATGGCAGCAAGGAGTATGTGTGCGTCTGCTGTGTGAGCACCCACATGTAAAGAAAACAAAGCCTGGATGCTGCATTCGCCCTCTTCCTTTCACCGCATGTGTCCCTCCCTCCAATATTCCAATCTGTTTATTTCAATAGTGCCGGCCCATCTATGTCGGCCTTTTCAAAAACGCCCTGTCAGCTTGTTATTTTTACTTGTCCTTTTCTTTCCTCTTTTCCTCCCTCTTACTTTTAGGACAGTAAATTGCAGCCAAATGTTTCTGGTCGCCTTCCTTCCTCTATTTTGCACTCACAGCCAAGGATGCAGCTCGAAGTACTTTTAAATTTCTGTGAATGTAGCACCACATCCAAATAGTTATCTCAGACACTTGACCCTTGAAGTTATGTAACAAAACACAATAATAATCTGTTCATACAATCTTAGACAAACAGTCAGACATTTTATGTTTGCAATCTCTGGTTATATTAATCTGATATCACCACCTTGGGAGTGGTAGTGAAGCTTTTAGGAGCTCTGGTTTGGCCAGCAGTTTGCAACGCCAAATATTCACCTTCATTTTCTGGCTCATTACATCATCTGTGGCTGGTGAGTCCCAGTTTAACTGTAAATAGTTGACGATACAGATGCTCCTCTCAAACTTAAATAATCGATCATGTAATTTAAAGTTTTGAAAGTAAAAGATTTGTCGGGATGTTTTCAAGACAGGAAGAAATCTATTTTAAATTGAGGCCAGTCAATACTGAGACGACAAAGACATAATGAGAGGCAATAGGAACACTTCACGTACAATCCCCCTCCCTGACTATAGATCTCAGAGTTTTAAAGCTGAATCTGTAAATAATAATGACAGGGGTATTGAACTGTGGAAACCCTTAATGTGGTTTTTCCTTGGCAAGTGATTGTGAAAATGGAACAATATGGCAGGATACGATATGATACAATACGATTCTGTTCAGTATGATAGAATACGATATGATACGATATGAAATGATAGAATACTATACAGTTCAGTAGAGTTCAATATGCTATAATACGATATATGATCCAATATGATACAGTTGAAAACAGTTTAGTATGATAGAATACGAGACAATATGATACGATAACACATGAAACTATTCGATACAGTTCAATACAGTTCAGTACGCTAGAATACGATACGATATGATACACTTCGATATGATACGATACAATACGATACGGTTCACTAGAGTTCAGTACGCTAGAAAATGATGCGATATGATCCAATACGACACAGTACAAAACGGTTCAGTATGATAGAATCATTACAATATGACACAATACGATACGATATGATACGATTCGATACAGTTCATTACAGTATGCTAGAATACGATATATGACGATACAGTTCATTACAGTACGCTAGAATACAGTATGATTCAATATGATACGATACAGTTCAATGCAGTTCGGTACGATAGAATACGATATGATACAATAGGATTCGATACGGATCAATACAGTTCAGTAAGCTAGAATACGATACAATACAATAGGATATGAAACAATATAACTCAATACGATACGGTTCAATACAGTTCAGTACGATAGAATAGGATATGAATTAATACAATACGGTACAGTATGATACAATACCTTGCAATATTGTATAGTTTGATATGGAATGACACGATGGGAAACATTACGATACAATGGGATACAATAGGTTGCCATACGATGCAATATGATACAATATGATACTATAGAATACAGAACGATATGAACCACATTACATGGTATGGCACCATACTGTACGATACAATACGCTGCGATAATATACTGTACAATATGATACAATATGATGAGATGCGATACAATGCAATTTGTTATGATGGGATACGATACTGTATGACATGGTACGACTCTGAGTAGCTGACAAAACAGTGATCTATGTTTAAGGTAGGTTTGGATTGGATAAGATAGAAGTGATACTGTTTTAAAATGATAACGTATGATTTGTCATGATTCGTTACAATAAGATACGATATATTTCATATTCGGCCTAGTTTATTAATAAAGCATAGTATGGTTCAGTACAGCATTTTATGATACAATACCATGAGATAAGATATGCTTATGATGTAATAAGATGCAGTTTAATACAATCAGTTAAAATATGCTGGTTTGGTACCGCAGGATGTGATTTTACCCTCTCATGAATGATAAATATTAGAGCATCTTTAGATAATAACACTAAAAGCTGATGTGTAATTATTCATACAATCTCACTGTACGCAACGGCGGCATTGTGTAGGATAGCGGTCACTATACAGCTGCCCCCTCTCTCTGTCTCATCAGCACGACCCAATCACTCTGATCTCATCAAGCGGCACACTGACTCTCCAGAGGTACTCAGTATGCAAACCTGCTCCCAGATCTCTGATTTAAAGAGAAAGAGGAAGACGGGACATGTGTTGTAGTAAATGGAACGACGTTGTGATACAGCGGTCGTCCTTGTTGACGTGGGTGATACTCTGTGTGTAGTTCAGTGAGCGAATAGATACAACAAGACCTGTATGGAGGCACTGGAGGCAAACTGTGGATGTGTAACTCAGCCATCCATGAAGCCCAGATGTTGCTGCGTTTAAGGCTATGGATTAGCCGTATACTGAGGGTAATATCGTAGAGGTTATGGTGCCACCATCCTCACATGGAGCTATGTAACAGTTATGGGGGACTCCCTTGTCTCTATGCCAGTAACCTAAATTACGTTTGATTAAGCATCCATTACAGTCAATGCACGCAGAACAACTGTTAGTCCACCCCCCAGATGTAAAAATGCACCCGAACATGTTCGTCGGGTAACATCTGCGCTGACAGCTGCAGCCTCAAAAACCAACAGTGGGTTTTTTAGCATCTGTGTCATAAAATATTCACATTCATGTTTATACACACTTCACATTTACGGCCTAATTATGGAAGGAAACAATATTTCTCAAAACTGCTCACTTTATGTCCTCTGTTCGGGGAGAAACCATGGAGACGGCATGTTTTTTTTTCTCCCTCTGACAGGATCTGAGACTATTTAAATGCAGCAATCAGCCATGGTTCGGTGAAATATGTTCACGCAGAACTGTTGTTTGAGATGGGCAAAGAGCAGTTCAGTGGTAAACACCTTCAGAGGCATGCTTTTTAAATCAGTTCTGCTGCTCTTTTGCCTGCGAACGTACAGCTGGAAGCTTCGTTTTACTACGTCGTTGCATAATCTTTGTTAAATAAGGCTAAATGCAGTAATGGCAGTGAAGTGGTAGTTGTCCTAGCTCATCATCTTAGCCTGTCTTTGCTTAAATAATAGAAAATAATACCAGTATGTGGGCCACACTGGGCTGAAAGCCAGAGTAAGTCTGTCTGCGGTGGACTGGTAAACATGACCTGAGCGTTTGAAAAGGACATCAAATAATTCAAAGAGGGAAAGTGAAAGGACAGGCGAATGTGGAGGCTGGCTGAATTATGTAAGAGAATATGAGGTTAGGTTTTAAGTAGACTTTAGGAGGGGAGAAAACACTGAAACATGTTTGATATTTGTAACAGAATACATAATTAAGGGCCTGTGTGCACTGGCTGCATTTATTTCACTGGAAGGGCCCATGGGCTTTTTCATGAGCGCGTACTGTTGCTAGGTTACAGAAGTATTCCTGCAACATGTCTGCCTTCCTTAGAGGTGGATGTTAAGTCTGTTTAAGGATGCACTATTAGCTTCAGTCTTCCTTCGATTCAAGGACATTTCAAGAAAAAAAATGAAGAAGTCCCTCCCCTTCTTGATTTTGATTGTATGGTGGTGGATTAGCAACAGAAATAAGGGCAGTGGTGTTCTGAGGGTCCAAATATTTTTAATATACATTTAGTCAATGTATTAGATTTTTTTATCTATTTATTTTTTACACTTAAATTAGGTGCCGCCAGAACAGAAAAATGTCATTGGTGGACACAGGCCTTAACTTGTCTTTTGTCTTTTTTTGGCTAAGACAACAGTTTTACGAGTAATCTAAGCACTGCATAAAGCAACTTGTTTTGAACTGAGCTGTCAGAGCTGTTTTCTGTCAGCTAGAAAAATGTCATTGGTGGACACAGGCCCTAAATTGTCTTTCGTCTATAATTGGCCAGGACAGTGTTTTCACAAGTAATCTAAGCACTGCATAAAGCACCTTGTTTTGAATTAAACTGTCCACTAAATATATATTTCTGTCAGCTAGAAAAGTGCCACTGGTGGACACAGGCCCTAACTTGTTTTAGTCTATATTTGGCTCAGCTGATGTTTTCGTAAGTAATTAAAGTACTGCAGAAAGCAATTTGTTTTGAATTGAGCTGTCCACCAAAGACACTTTTCTGTCAGCTAGAAAAATACCATTAGTGGACACAGGCCCTAACTTGTTTCAGTCCGTATTTGGCTGAGCCAGTGTATTTGTAAGTAATTCAAGCACTGCATAAAGCAACTTGTTTTGAACTGAGCTATCTACCAATAAAAATTTTCTGTCAGCTAGAAAAATGTCATTGGTGGACACAGGCCCTAAATTGTCTTTCGTCTATAATTGGCCAGGACAGTGTTTTCACAAGTAATCTAAGCACTGCATAAAGTGAAAGTGAATTTAACTGTCCACCGATGAAATTTTTCTGCTAGCACAGATAAATGCCACAGGTGGACACAGGCCCTCACTTGTTTTAATCTATATTCTGCTAAGCCAGTGTTTTGTAAGTAATTCAAGGTGCATAAAGCAATTTGTTTAGAACCGAGCTGTCTGTGTGAATATTGAACATTTAAAACATGTACTGATTTCCTGGCTTCATACCATTACACCAATGTTAAAGCCAAACCTGCTGTATGTCTACGATAAGGAAGGTTGATGAGTTTTAAGGGAGCTCAGCATACACAATGACTCATTTTGCTTTCCTGAACCTTGAGCAGTCGAATTTTACTAGCCGTGTCATGAAATTTACCCTGGCGCACTCTCCTGTGTTCAACAGTTTGGTTCGGTTTTACATCAGCTGTCATATCTGTTTCCAACTGCTTCACCAGCAAAATATGTTCATCACATCACCATTTTTCTTTTAACAATACCCAGTCTGATTTTTTATATCCCAGGAAACAGTTATTGGGGATGAAAAATCTTTGTGTTCAATATTTTATTTCAGTCTGTGTCCTTGATGTGGTGGCAGAGACTTTTTACTATGTTCAAGGAGAAATTAAGTGTGGCAGACGTGTTAAATATTCATGCGAGTGTTGAACTGCAGTCGCTGTTCATGACAGTGAAATACAGTTTATTCTAAATAAAGGGAACGACATGACATTACTATCTCAGAGGGCTGAGTAGAATTAAATTGAGCTGCCCTTACATATATGAAAGAGGCTTACATATCTATTCTAGCTATTTGGTGTATATTGCTTAAAAATATCAGTCTTTTCATGTTTTAACACCTAAAAAAGTAAAAGTTTACCTGAATGAATTCAAAAAGAGTCAAATTATCTTCATTTCAATCTCACTTATCAGTATAAAGCCGGCAATTTCTCTCCCACTAGAGCCCTCTGTGTGCTCATAAAATGAAATTCCCATTAGTCAGACCCCACTTGCAGACCGCACTAGTTTTCTGGAGGTTAATTACCCTGGAAATCATGGCACCATTTAACTCAGGTGTACCTACCAGTCTGCTCACTATCATCGCCATCGTTCTCCGGTGAAATGTTTTTACAGTGTTCCATAAAACAGCTGAAAAACCTCGGGGAGTTGAGAAGAGAGCGAGAGGGCAACTGCTGAATTTGTCAGAACGGCGTCCTGTGGGGGGGTGGGGGTGGGGGGGGTTCTCCACAGCTCTCTGGAAAAACTTGGAGCGAGGTCAGTAAAAAAGCTGCCTGTGCCAAAAACCAGTCAGACTTGAGCTTCCTCACGACACACAAGGGGCTGAAATAAGCTCTTAGCACGCGTCATAAACCCCCACAATGCCGCAGAACAGACTCGCCCTAAAAAAATCTGGCACTGAGACGCAATTTATTAAGCAAAAAACACCCTTGACACAGACTATCCCAGCTGTCATCTCTCCTTCCTTTGTTCTCTTACACCAGTCTCCATTCAAAAAACAGCCGATTTAAGCGTTTTGAATCAAAACGCCTCCTAATTACTTAAATCTGGAGCAAAAAAAACTTCAATGCAGCCTAAAACAGGCAAAACAGATCACTGGCTTTAACTTGAGAGTGATAATAATGTAATTAGCGGTCTCTGTGGCGATATACTACAGCCTTGATGATGCTACGTTGGAGGGTAAGACGTTTTTTGTGCACCGTATCCCTAAGGCCTTGTGCTTTTATCAACCTTAAACAGCTTAAGTGAAAGCTCGCATACAAATAGCAACCGAGCGCTGCCAGAGCCCCCTCAGGAGGCAGCTACAGCAAGGTAATGGAGTCGTCTTGATGTACTCGTATAGATCTCCATATACACACAAACACACAAAGACACACACGTATATTGACAGATGAGACAGGCCGCATAATACACACACAAATAAATCACATTAGGCTTTTTCTCTGGTTTGTTGCAGCCGTCTAGCTACTGGCAGGGAGCAGAAGATAGCGAGGGTTTTTTTAATTGATCAACTGTGGCTGCACACAACGCGCACAAATCCACACACAAACAAAAACAGATTCCTCCACCTGAGCCAAGAACTTGAGTGATTCATTAACATCATGGCAGGAGGATGTAAATCCACTCAAATGAGGTGTTTGGCTCACAATTTGGCAACATTTGAAAGAAACCCTTACAAATACTATTCCGGGGTCTGTCAAGTGGTGCCGCTAGTGCCCCTGGTGGCGTTTGAGAGAACTGCAGGGAGTAACCTCAATCTTTTTAACACTAATCTGACAAAATTGAACAATTTCGCTCGATTTGGTCACAATTTATGTTTAAAGCTCCTGTGAGGAACTTTTACTTTGGCAATTTTGGCACCCCCTGTGGACAAAGCAGTCTTTCAGTGCGTTTACATGCACAACTTAATCGGACTAAGCTCATAATTTGTTTTTTTTCACCAGATCAGACTTCTCTCCTTGTCTGCGTATACATGCAGCTGAGAAAATCACATTATTGACTTGAAGGTGTCCTCCCCCCAAAACTAGGGGGCGATATGGGTGTTTTCATCAGTTCATTTTCGAGCAAGAAGATGGATCATACAGTGTTGTTTTTGTCGTACATGTTGTACGCACTACTTTTTCTGCAGATGAAACGCACACTACTCCTCTTCTCTGGTGTTTTTGTTCCGTGGTTACAAAGGAGTGGCGCATGGTAGAGAAATTTGAATTCCAATCGCATTATCTGGGTGTCTTAATCTGAGTTCTTTAACTCCGATTATAGTCGGATTAAGTTGTTTACATGCGCTTCAGTTGTCCGGTCTTAATCACAGTGAGGCAATAATTCGGTTTTCTCGAGTGTCATGTAAACGTACTGTTTGATTATCATCATCCAGACTCTTTTGAACGTCAAACTTATCAGCTATTGTGAATAATTTCAGTCCAAACAGAGCTGCTTGCCCGACACCTACCCTCTCGCACTGATTTTAAACATTAACCCTTTATTGCCTTTTGTATCATATTTGATACATACTTTTAAATACTTCTATCAAATCAATATGATCAACAAATTACAAAAAAACCCCACTTGAATACAGTCTGATAAATGATAAAAATGTCCTCTTGTATTTTATCAGTTTCCAAAAACATCTAATGTAACAAACGAGATAAATAAACATATTAGTTACATTTTAAGGACATTTTGATTTTTTTGGTTTTCAGTAGTAAGTGAAATAAACATTTCAGCTCCAAAAAAAATTTGAATTTTCTGGTGATAATTTGTGGTTTCAGGCATTAATGCGCTACAAATAACGATAAAAAATCATCAATCTTGTTTCTGGTGATCTTGTTTGCTTCAACATGTCAGAAAATGGTGTCAATATGAAATTCAACCTATTTTATAACCCTCAAAAACTCCTCACAGGAGCTTTAAAATTTCACTTTTTCAAAGCAAACTTGAACTGTCAGCGAAACCGTTTGTTGGACAAGCCAGTTAAGATGTGGAAATGTGAACAAATACCACAAAAAAATGGTGCGATTGTCGAATTGTAGTGGGAAAAAAAAGGTAAAATCCAGAAAGATCAGACAAATCAGTTCCCGTTTAGAGGTAGCATCCTGAAGGACCGCGCCTTAGACGGCTCAGGGTAGTCTACATCAGCTAGCTAAAATACTGAAGCTAACATCTACTCCACGATATTTGAGTTGATTTAAAGTTTAAAAGCATCTTTTTTTTTTACATTTGTATCAATTTTTATTCTTCTGAATTTATGCCAAATATTTAAATCTAAATTGTGTGGGATACGTCTTGAATTTTTCTACTCCACAGCCAAACATTTTTTTCAGTTTTGATCAGTGAGCTCTTGGCTGAGAATTTACTGTAGTTCCATCTGGGAAATGTTGCTCTATTCCACCTCATTATGAGCTTAAAGCATCTGCATGCAGCTATTCCCCTATAAGGGAGAGACAGTACTTTCCAAGCTGCTGTTTTTGACAGAAAACAACAACAAATATCCACTGGGGTGGAAATGCATCGTAGCTTTATACGGCTTTTGATTGAGGGGAAGAGGGTCAGCGTGTTCAGCAGAGCTGCTGCTATGACCGGAGAGCACATTAAACTCCTGCTTCTGGAGATGACAACAGAGAGAGGTCCCAGGGTTACACAGAGACAATAAAAAGTGCTGATATGCTGCTGTGATGGTGTAATTATCACTGCAGAACACAATGGTAACCTTGCAGTAAATACTGACACTTTTGTAAGACATATATTTGGTTACTGTTTCACTGCACTGCTTCGGGTGCCTGTTGGGGGATTTCTTTTTTGACTGGGTGCAATCCAAGCATCATAACTCTGCTTTATATCCAGTCACTGGAAAGTTAGATAGGCTGTACAGTACATGTACAATAAGGTAATGATTTCATATGAGTGCATAGATAGATAGCCCCCTCTAGTGAACATGAGGAAACATGATCTACAGCAACACTGAGGGCAGAGAGGTCACGGAGAACTTCTTTTTATGCAGTTTGAACTACAAGTCAAAGTTTTGTAAGCGTGTTAGAGGTTTGATTCGCTCGAATGCTGAATTAATTCCACTCAAAGTCTGGTATAAAGGTAAACATGCAATGATAAATCGGCAGATCCTTAGACATAAAACCGATTTTATCCACCGATCTTATCTACCTCAGCAAAGGTCTGAAAGTTTCTGAAACGTCCTCAAACCTTGTGATTTACTTTATTTGTAAAAGCAAAATACTGCTGTGCACTTGATTGATGGTGTGACCTGCTGCGCAAATATTGTTGATTTTTAAAATGTGGAAAATAAAAGACTAAAGGAACCGATATAATTTAGTAGTTTGGACAGCAATATTCTAAACTTATCATTTATATTTGGGAGAACTACCTCGTGCGGTTAAAACGAACAAAAAAAGGTTTGTTTTGTTACACAAGTTTTGTTGAATGTTTTTCATTAAAATAAGTCAGCGCATTGAAGGTGTATGTTGTAAGTTATAAAAATATCGGTATCAGCGAGTCAAGCGTTATAAAGATCGGTGATCGGCCAGGAACTGTGATTGATGCACCCCTAGTATAAAGAAGCATTTCCACGTAGGACTGGGCGATGATCGTGATAAATTTCAGTTCAGATTATGGTGATCAGCCGTGAGCATATTTACTCGATCAAACATGGCGGAAATGTGCGTCACAACAGCCAATCAGAGTCGAGCTTTTCCTGTTCCACTTCTGTAAGATATTGGAGAAGTAAACGGAATGACTGAACGTGGAGCGGTTATGAGGGCAACAAAATAGATGTCAGGCTTGACTTTGAGTTATTCTCCGAAGATGTTATTGTTGAGAAGTTTTTCAACGTTGGTTGTGTGGCGGTGGTTCCGGTATCTCCAAAGTGACGTCAAGCAATTAAGCCGATGTGCAAGGTATGTCGGCGATCAGTGCCCCCAAAAACATGAATGTGAATAAAATGTTGAACTAATCTCTAGTTTCTTTAGTTTTTAGTACAGATGCTTTAAAACAGGCAGTTAAAAAAAATCGTGATAATAATCGAGATCAGACGATATGACAAAATTTATTGTGATCGTTTTTTTTTGCTAAATCGCCCAGGCCTATTTCCACGGCACAAACTTTCTCTCAGGACAAGGAACTTTTAGCAGACAAAACCAAGAACACCTTAACACAAATATGATTCGACCACGATGCACTTGTGGGGGAATCTTGTGTATTGCTCCCCATCTGTTAGAAGTACAATGCTACATATCTACTACAGGAACTTCTCAAAGGGACCAGGAACCTGTAGAGGTACTGAATGCATTTCCACCACTAGAACTTGATCCGAAAGCGAATTAGTGATTTCTCCAAAGTGGAAATCACTGTTTCATCTCATCGTGTTTCAAGATGGAAACAACAACTGGCTGGAGGAACCTTCTGGTCTAGAAAAGAAGCCACCGGGACGAAAAGTTCCTCCTAGCTCTGGTGGAAACGCAGCTTTTAGTTATCCTCTTGAGAGCTGGCACTCTATATTAGGCTTCATCTCCTTCACCAAAGCTTTAACCTCACTTCAATCGAAGCAGCGACTTGAAATTAGCCCTTTTCACAGCTTCGATGTGTTTTCCTGTTTTTTGCCGACAGTGTGAAAATAGATTCTTGGAACAGTCCGCCTCATCGTTTTTTAAGTCTGAGCGGATCTGAGCATTAAATCTGCGCCGTGACGGGATGATGTGAACGACTGAGTCAGCTACAGGTGGCTTAAGAGTGTCGGGACTTTTTACCGTTCACCATAACAGAGCCATAATAAGAGGCTGATTCATTCTTTGCATCCAGTTTGCTCAGAAGGGGCAGTCGACTGACAGCGATATATCACAAAAGAAGCTTCTCCTTTTTTTTAATCCTTACATGCCCTCATTCCCTCTCGTTTTTCATCTCATAGCCTACTCTACTTCCTCTGCCTTATTTACTCCACTTTCTCTGAGCCTATTTTTACCCCTTCAACCCAAAGGGCATATTCAAATACAGAGCTGCAACTGGGTGTCACCATCACAAGCCTGCTGTCTCACACCATGCATTCAGTGTGGAAAATGGAATCTGGCGTTCCCACATGTCATGGGAATGAACCCTGTGATGATGCTCTGTCTTTTTAACATATCTTGTGAACTGGACTGACCTAAATAGAGGTATTTTTGAGCTTGATCTTTAAATGTCAGAGTTAAAGCGCTTGATTTTTGGAGAAAACAGGTAACACAACCATGTGCCTGGATTGATTGTGCCATAAAACTACAGCCTGATAGTAAGATGTGGTGTTATTTCATACCCAGATGTGTGGAAGTAATCCTGAATAAATGCGCAGAGCAGCATGGTGACCGTGTGTAAGATGGGGAAGGGGAGGGGATGCTTCTTACCGTCGGGGTTGGCACAGATGAAGACCCGGACGCTGCGGCCGGTGGGGAAGCTGAACGGCGGCAGCGCGTTGATGTTGCCGCTGATGGCCGCCCTGCGCAGCGCGGACTCCCGCGGGCAGGGCTGCCTGCTCCCCGCTCCCGACGGCCACATGGGGGGCGACTTCCAGCGTGGCTGTACGCAAACAAACACACGCATACAAACAAAGAAAGAGAGAGAAGGCACAGAAGGAGCGACGTTAGCGCAGCCAGGGGCGCACACGCAGGCACATGGACAGACATGCTTGCGCGCTGATTCCCCTGATTCATTCACACACATGGTGCGTTGAATGTGGCAAAGGCATGGAGGCTTGGAAACCTCTCGAAACGCGCACGGGAATTTCATTAAATGCTTAAAATTGGACTCTGAAGGAGGTCATACTTTGACTTTCCTCTTATTACAAATTCAGTGATGGTTTTGAGTGAAAATAGTCCACTTTGCCACACTCATTATGCCCATGTCACACACACAAAAACACACAAACCAAGTTAGAATGAATCCACAAATCTTCTCCAAACACAGGAATGAGATATTGAATGTTTGTTATTGCATTCGTGTGGTAGGGATATAATAATAGGATATTACGCACAGCCTACTACCGTCATGGTGCATGCGTAATTTGAATAGTGCATGTCCTTGGACGCATTCATGAATTTTCATGCCACTGTGGGACAGAACAGACAAAACAGAACGAGACGATACAAAACTCGAATAGACGAGCAAGGCAAGCATCAGTCGTATTCCCACCCAAGAGAAGATGCTTGTAAAGGCGAATAACCGCTACGAAAGGTTATTCCGCCAGGAGTTGATGTCAAGTCGTTGGTTTTCCGGAGTTCCTGAAATCTTTTTTTTCAAAGCCGGAAAAACTAAAAGAAAAAAAGACAACAAAAACAAGCGGAGGGAAAGTTTGGGTAGTCCACTACAGAGACACTACACAGAATCCTCTGAAAACAAGACAACTAAACAGCAGTGAGGCAGCGCATCCACAGAGAGAGAGGACTTGACTACTAGTGATGCTGGAGACAGGCACAACAACAGGACACTTCTTGTTGCTCACATTCATTCGCTTCATTTCGAGGCTTCAGAAAATATCCAAGCGTCGAGGACGGTAAAAGGCGGATAAAAACGCCCATCAGAGTCGCTGTGGCTGAGAGACGACGCCAGGAGACGGTAAAACGGACGCCGTATGTCGGAGTGCTCCCCTTGGCATCCTGCTGTCTCTGCGAGCCGACTGAGCTCTGTGAGGCGGCGAGCGCGTGAAGATAGTAGGAATAACCGCATCACAACCGGTTTGCATTTTCGAAATAAAATAGTCCCTCGAGCGTAAGGGCTTCTACACTCTTCCTATACTTATTACGCAGGCTTTAAATCTAAAATAAAAATATCCTTTATGATTTAAAACAGCTAATCTTACATTAAAAGTGTTTTGTGTTTGCTCACACCTCTGTATTCTCACCTACCTTGTCCTCAAAATTCGCGCTTTTACCTTGAAGTCTAATTACCTAATTCCGGGCGAACTGCAGCCTTTTCGCTTTAACTTGATGGAGGTGAGAGAAAAAGAGAGAGAAAGCTGTCTCTGTCCTTCTCCTGTCTCCCCCTTCTTTCTGCTGGGCAGACTGGTGTTCACTCTGTCCCCATTAAAATTGCACTGGACAGCAAAGTCAGCAGTGATGTGCTGTAAATGACGTTATCACTCCTACCAGTCACATGAACACAGTAGAAGTAATGGTCAGCGATAGTTTCTAAGGGGTTGTAGGGCACTTTAAAGGGATATTCCGGCGTATAATTAATGTAGGGTCAAACACACGGTGACACCGAGTTAGACACCCCCTCGAGAGATGAATGTTGTGGACCGCTTGTTTTCAAGTTAGACCAACTTTAGTAACAACCACACAAATTACAGCTAATTACAGCTTGAATTTTGTAAAAGTAACAGCTGTGTTACTGTAACTTAACAACATTTCAGTGAATCCCGCTTTCTCATCAGTTAGTTAAATTCATTAAATTTGTCACAATTGGGGTGACCATATTCTGAATCCCCAAAAAGAGACACTACTATGTGAGGCGGAGTTGCGTGTAGTAAATTTTGAGGGTTTTTCACGCGCTTCTAGCTATGTTAGTCCATGCTACACAAACTCAGAACCCCGGACATTTTAAGGATTTTATGCACTTTCCCAGACAAGGCCGGACAAGCTGGACAACCCCCCCCCCCCAAAAGAGGACATGTCCAGGTAAAAGAGGACGTGTGGTCACCCTAGTCGCAATGAGTAGCACAACTGCTGTTTTATGCAGCATGAGCTAGCTAAAATGAGAGATAACGAAAAGTAAGCTAATGAAGGAGTTAGCTTGGCATTTTAGCTTAATTTACTTACACAAGGGCTAGCAACTTCTGTTTCACCTCAATGTTGAATTAGCTAAGATGGCCACTTTCCAAAATTAGCCTAATCATTTCTGTGCACTAGCTTAAGTAAGTTGAAGCTGAAGTGTAGCTAGGCCTAAAAGTTAGCTTGGAAATTTAGTGAAATTTCTTATTGCTATATCAAGTCAAATGATCCAGTTCCTGTCATTTCCCTGAGTTAGCTTCGCCAAAATTAGCCAAGCTAATTTTTTAAAACTGGCGATAGAAGCTAGCATAAATGAGAAGCAAAACCAAAACATGAGGATTAAAGATATCAATGCTGATTGAGAAATCTTGGTCCAGTCTTCTTGAATAATGTCTACAAATGCTTTAAATTAGCGTATCTTGTTTTCAAGCTTCACATATTTTCCCTCACAACACAGTAAGCTAGCTTAAATCGTCCACTGAAATGCAATGTTTAGCTATAAATGCAGACTTCTCACATTTTTTGACATCCTATGGGAACTCTCTGCACGGCGACATCTTTGGAGAAATATAAAATGCAGCTTCTCAGATACTGAACATGAAATGTGTTGCTTATTTGAGTAAATTCTGCCTGAGCGTCCTTTGCTATATGGATGGGGGTTGAAACAGCAGCAGTCCTGTGTGCAAAAAAAAGAGGGGAGGAGGAGTTTGAATTGATTGCTTTATCGATAAATGTACCTCTGCTCTGCAGCCTCTGGTTATTCGCACTGGAAGTTTAAGTGCATTGGATTTGTACTAAACGGAATTGATTACTGTGCTGCTCTTGTGAGGGGGGAAACGCTGAACCATATATTTCCACCCTCTCTCAGTCTCAGTGTTTAGCGGGCAGCAGAAAGCATTTCTCTGAATCTGATGAAGAGCGTGTCATTCGCCTGAACCTTAAGTTCAGCCCACTGCACTAATGCTTTAAGTTATGATGGTATAAAAGATGCATCAAGTCCTCAGATGCAGAGGGTCCTCTCCAAACATTTTATGTGACAGTTTTGGCATCTTTACTGGAAGAAAAAAGCTTTACTCATCTTTCTTGGAAGCTTGCAACATCTGTCATGTTCTTAGTAAAACAGATTGTTGAGATTCGAAAAGAGACTGACACGTCGAAAGCAACCAGTAATCTCATTGTTCAGAATCAATAAACACAAGGAGCGACAACTAAACATAACAAGGAGTTACAAATCTTGCTTCCATTTCTTTCACCATATTCATGCAGCTGCTGCTCTAAACGCACATAAATATTCACACAACAAATCTGACTTAATCCTAGCGTATTTTGAAATCTAAGAAGCATAATATTGTGACTGCAAATGCCAAATTTAACACCTCATTTACGTAAGATAAAATAATTAGGCAGTAGATGACTTACTGTTGAGCCGCAGGTCTCGAGGATGATTCTAGCGCTCCGCAGGCTCGCACCGACCCATTTAAGGGAGCCTGCGGGGCCACCAGCTCGCACCAGAACAAAATTCAGTCTCAGGGAAAGCTCAAGTGGAGCGCCAGGGACCGGATCCTCGTTCCCAACAGTGTTGTGACCTTTCTTTACTTGATTGTTCCGCTCCAGCTCATAATCCCCAGTCAGTTAATCATGAGCGCACCTGCACTGGATTAATGCACCACAGTATTTCCAAAGGATGCACTTTACACAGCTTGTTGGCATGATGTGATATGGCAGCGAAAAGTGTGTTTCTGCATATGTAAGCTGGGTTGTCGTTATACTTTCTGGACCTTGGGGAAAATAACCAGGGGAGCCATTTGAAGAATTACCTCTGGCATGTTTCAGGGCTCTCCCCGCCTTAAACCATTTAGCATCTCCACCAATTTGGTGCCCTTAGCTGTAAAGTAAACACCTCTGGGTGAGTGTTCAAGCATGTTTGTGCATTCGGGCATGGTAACAGTAATTGCGACTCGTTGGGTTTATTGGCATGTCCGTCTGTGTGAATGCCCTGAGAAAAACCCCGGACCGCTCGGAGCCGAGATGAGTCATCATGGTGACAAGATTTGATGTGTCACCTGGGAGACACGGACACAAAGGACATGCAGCTGCTCACTTGGAAATATACCACATAGACATACAGTATGATGGTCGGTTCGGTGAAACATCTGGACAGGAATGAAGGTTGCAGGAGTCAGTTGGAAATGTCTATTTCTGTTCCCTCCCAATTGGTACTGCTACATTAACTCCTTAATTGCACTGCCCACTCTGAAGTGGATTTCCCCTGACAGCTGACTCAGAGATCAAGGACATTCAACTACACATGGTGGTGATGTGCCTCTTCAGTTTGTGCTCATTGATAGAAATGTTAAAGGAGACCTTTTCCCGGTGCGATAAAGTCAGACAAAGCTTGTGGGTGTTGCTTTTTACACAGTTTGTGGTCAGGTGTGAGACGATTAGCAGTAAATCACCTGAAATTGACTGTGTGCTGCTTTGACTGCCTTGTTTAAGTATTCTTCTAAAAAAAAATCCTGTTTGGTGATATATTTGACGACTACAGGAAGGTACAGTTTCTTTGTTGATAATTGCAAATTACACATGCATGGGCCTCAATCAGCAAATATGTCTTAGTCCACAGGGGGCGCCAAAATCCACACAAACCAAAAGTTTGACTCTTGGTAGCTTTGAGTCTGAGAATCCATAATTAGAAGCAGAAATATCTCTAGTTATTTTACTGTACATGATTGTCTCTGTGCATTGATTTCAAGTTAACATTTTCAAAAGCTTCTATGTGAAGCCAGTTTTGATGCCCCCAAAGCGGCCTTAGCTTATCTAAGAGTTGTTTTCTGACAAAAATGTCACCATAATAATTTTTGACTATCAAATTTATCTATTTTTGTGGAATATTTTGTTTGGAAATTTTTAAATCACAGCTGTTTCTTTCGCTGCTTGGCTGACGTCTACCACTCCTATACCGTCTTCAGGCACCAAAAATAACAGAATAAAACAGCAATCTTGCTGCTACTTCTCTTGTTTGTCTTTGTTTATCACAAAAAGCCATTTATATGAATTTCGTTTTTTTCTATTTAAAGTGTTCTCTCAGTGGTCTTTAAATTGTGATTATAAAGTTTTACCAAAGATCACGTTACCTGTGTCATTTTCAAAGGCTTTTCTTCTGCAGAGCTCCGATAGATCATTAGCAATTTGCCTCGGAGTCGTGGGTGGAGACAGCGCTGCTCTGCACACTCGCCTTCACGTTAGCTTGTAGCCTAATACTGCCGGTGTAGTAGAAGTGGCAGGTAACATAGAAGCTATTCAGCTCTCAGACACTAATGTCTTCGGGGACACGATGAAATCTAATATCATAATTATCCTTCTTACGAGCACACGCTTGTTCCACAATCGTCCTCTGTATTCCTCCTCTATATGCAGAATGTGTCCCGCATAGCCGGGCTCTGGGGGCGGAGCTTGGATTGCTTACATATGAAATCTCACTGTTTCTGAATCTGCCGTTTTGGGTCTGTGAAAGAAATACTCAGAAAAGCAATTTCGCATTTATTTCTCAGAAAAATGCCATATGAACCTGTAAAAAAACAAGAATAACACGATTTTCATTGGAGTGGGTCTTTAACGGAGCTTTCAAAGTTCCTCACAGTGGGTTGAAACACCAAACAGAAATGTAATGTTAAAAATAATGTATGCTTGACAATTTTTGCATTTTTTAAAATAAATTAAGGTACCAAAGCAGCTTCAATTCAACCCAAGAAGAGACTGAACGTGTGTCACAAATTTCACAACATTTCAAGTGTTTTAGACTCATTTTACACAAAACCACAAATACCAACTTCATGGCGGTGCAAGGCAATGATTCACAAGATCCCCAAAGCCATTAAGATGCATCCGCCGGGAACCACGAAGATTAAAAAGCAAAAACCCATCATAGCAGAGGATACTTGTTAAGATTATTCAGTTTGAACTGCAGCACCAGCCAACCTGCAGACTGGCAACCAGCAGACAGCATAGCTAAAAACATTAGCTGGGTGAATAACACTTGAGCCGATCTTCTTCCAGCATGTCCTTCAATCCTAACCTCGTCTGGTGTGACCATGCATGCACTCAGACCCCTCTCCATCTCTCTCTCTCGCTCCTCTGGTGTTCATTTCAACAGAGCTTTGACTGGATTTGAATTGGCGATAACATCACTGATTGCCGTTGTAATCACAGGCCACTTCAAAGTATCGCTGCCATGACACCTCCACATGCGTGTCCTATTTACCTGAAAAGAAAGAGCCCACTTTTCTATCATTTTCATGCTCAGCTTT